TACGCTCGTTGTAATCTTTCCAGCGTGTTCGGAGGCCGGCAGCCAGCATCGCATTGGAACAAGGGAACTTTCTTCTGTGCGGCGCCGAGTTCGCGGACCGCCTCCTGCGGGAGGGGGTGGGTGTTTGCCGCTTCGGGCCGTCGCCTTCTTGTGTTTACTTTTTTGTCTTGTTTTTAACTCCATCGATCCATCCTCGGGCTGGATTCTCCGTTTCGTTTGAGCTCTTTCTTGTTGGTCACGGGTCGGATTCCGCAAAAAATCAGTGCGGAGGGACAGGACTGGTGTGAGTGCAGGTCACCCATCACCAGGACGAACAGAGAAGACGCTTGGTTTTTTTTTTTTTTTTTTCTTTTCGTTTCGCCGCAAACACATTTTTCCCACAATGTACACAAACACAACTTTTTGAACAAACCGAGAAAAAAAGATATACTCTTCCGCGATGCCAATAACTTGAAAGTTCCTCCAACAATGCCTCTCCCAGTGTGTATGTGCGATCGCCGATGTCTATGACTAGGCGAATAGTGACTACTGTCGTCCATCGACCGATGGGGGAAGAAGTATGTGAGGGCTCGACCTCCTGCATACTTGAGCCCGACGGTTCCAAGACGAGACAGGCCCGGGGCTGAGGTCGGATGCCGTCATGCGTGTTCCAATCGGATGTTTTCGAGCGTGTCCTGGGCGGGCTACTTTCCTTCCTTTTTCTCCTTTGTTGTCTTGGTATTCGAGGTCTCGACCTCTCTCCCGGATGTTGGCGCCCCCTCCTCTGTTTGTCTCACTCGACCGCATGGGAACAGGCCAGGAGGGAAGGACCGTTGGCCTTGGGGTTTCCCGACCCAGCCTTAACCGACACATCACCTGCGGGCGCGGCACATGTGGAGGAGGTTAGTTTCTTATTTTATCTTTTTTTTTTACCTTTCCTTTTTTTTCTTTTTTTTCTTTTACCATGTCATGTTTCGTTTATTCTCCCAGCTAAGAAAGATTCTTATTATTATTACGGAGCACTACTTTTTTTAAGCACCCTTGGACTTGTTTCTTTCTTTCTTCTTTCTCTTCCTCTCTCTCTCTTTTTTTTTTTTTTTTTTTTTTTTTTTTTTTTTTTTTTTTTGCTTTATATCCTTCCCTTTTGGCCAAACGGGGATGGCATTTTTCATGACGTTTTCCGTCCGTTTCCCTCATCGCGATGGAGGCGTTGGTCTCACTCCATCGGGCGTCCTCGAGCTGAGTCGCGACGATTCCGATGGCTGGAACTGAGACGCCGAGGGGTGTGTGTTTTGCGCCTGGCTATGTTTCTCCATCTCCCACTCACTTTTCTTCCCTTGAGATCCGGCTGTAACGGTTCCATTCTTGCATGCTGTCTCTGGCGGTCCCACCCCTGGCCTGGGCTGACGGACCAAAAGCCCATTCCAACGGTTTAGCATGGTTGTTCGGCATAGTTCCTACGCCTGACTATTATTATTATTTTCCATTTGTCACGGTTCAGGCGATCCCCTTACACATCCCGTCGCAGTCGAGACAAAGTCTGGGATCTCACACTTATTCAACATCCAAGACGATATAGAAATCTCGGAGGCGCGATGGGATGGCCCCGTACACGGCAGATTACCGACGCTACGCGGGCAGGGGAACTCGGAAGGACGCCCGGGCCCCCACCCCCCGGCCGTGTCGCTGATTGGAAGCCAACGGGGGGGTTGGAGAAGATGATTCCATTTTCCTGGCCCTCCGGGTGGGGTTTTGGGGTTGGGCGGTTTGGAAAAGAGAAAAGATAAGGCAAGATACCTAGAGTCAAGGTCTGGTACGTTTGGGTTTCGCTTTATTTTCGTCCGATGGACATGGCGGGGGGATGCGACGTTCTCAGGCGGGGCAACGAACAGTCGTCAGCTATGTGTCAGCGACGTGGACGCTATATTTCGTGCACGTATTCGTAGCACCAGCACAGCGCAGGTATTTGTCTGGTAGAATCAATAAGAAGACGGAGAGGTAGTAACGGAGAATGTTGACAAGATCACAAATTACCACCCCAGTGACGACCAGGCAAACTTGGCAAAGTTTAGTCAAGCGCTGGTGGGGCGAAGACGAGGGTGTGTGCGATTGGTTGGGAGGGGGGGTCTAATAGACTAATATCAACCAAGTCGGATAGGTTACCTTCTCGACCAACTCGTTGGATCGCAGCCCGCTAGTTCGTTGATATCGTTTGCCGGTAGATTGGATGAGTAATATGAGGTCTCTTCTCCGGGGAGGGGAGGGAGGCAGGGCATGCGATGAACTACCAGCCGAACTGTGTGGGAGTCTGATTCAAGGCCGCGGTTCGCTGGACACAGCCACCGCCAGCCGGGCCTGCTCTTTTACAGGTACCTACCTATGTTACGAGAGTTACCGGGGGGCGGAGGGAAGGTGCAAATCTCGGGTGCCCGGCGGCACCGTGACGGGTCACGAAGCAGACGCCAAGGATGCAGGTGGTGTTGACAGGCTGCAAGGCATGGAACACTATTGACTCTGTCTAAGAACCCAATCTCAGAACTCCGGGATGATGGGAAAATCGACTTGTGCTCTAAATTGCTATCCGCACGTTTAGAGAAGGAAAGGGAAATTTAGTAAAAAAAAAAGGTGGACGGGCACGGCTCACCGCTCGTAGGACTTTGAGGCCCAAGCTTCTCTTCCCGCCTGAGCTGAGGGCAAGGCACTAATCGTATCCTATCCTTACCTTACCTCGTTACGGATCCCATCCGCCAGAGATGGTCCGGTGAAATTTTTCGAACCCTTGATATCTATCCATTCACGGGATTCTATTGCGTGTCCCACCCGAGCTATTGCCCGGGTTGCCTGTCAGGCCCGGCATTAGGAGAGGGCGACCCTCGGAGCGCAAGGGTTCTCTGTGATTCATCCGTGGTGCGATCGCGGCGGTAGGGGCACGATGGTTTCGTTTTGCTTGATTTGAGATAAAGACATCCTGGCGTCGTGTGCGTCGGTCTTTCTGTTCCCGGGGGTGGGGAGAGGGGGGGACGTGCCTCTCCTGGTTAAGTTGTTATAGACTAGGTATCTATCTGATGGTACGGACTGTGTAATGAATGGATCTCTTGGTCATGATGGTTCGTGGATGACAACGTCTTGCCACTCTTGTTCGAGATTTGCCTCATGAGAGCCTCGCCTGGGCGCTGGAAAAGTGGGTGAGGCGATATAGCATGACAGTCCATCATCATATCAATCCACTGGTGGGACCCTACTATTGTGACTAGAGGCGAAGGCTGCCTCAGGCGTAACGTCCCATCCGGGGGAGTAGAGTCGTCGTTCCGGCGCGCCCCAGTTTCGATATGAACATGAACCTATACAAGCGGAGAGGAGCGAGTCGAGGGTTTTGCCCACAAGCACTGGTCGGCGCGACGGCCTCTATGAGGCCGGTGCGAAGTAATAAGTCTTGGATACCCGTCGAGCGGTGTAAGGCTGTGATGAAACTAATCAGACCATCAAGCATAAAGGACGAACCTCGGTGCAAATTTGGCGCAGCCCGCTGCAGATGAAAGTGGGAAAGAGCGCACACACACACACACACACTGAGAGGACGAACCGGTGGACGGATAGCCCGCTAATCTGCAGGCCCGTCGCCGCCCGCGACCCTAACTAAGGTCCCGTAAGGCCCAACGTCTCCGTTCCCCCTCCTCTCTCTCTCACACACACTCGACTCTTTGCCTCCACAGTGTGGGATGGATCATCAAACAGCCTCAGGCAGAACCGGGCCCGGCGACGAGTCCACATGCCATACTATGCCTGCATGCCCACCGCCCACAGGTCCCGGCTCCTCAGACTTGGGCCTGACAGCCCCCCGGGCGACCGGCAAATTGCCATCTCCACGAGCCGAGAGGATCCAGGTACCGTCAAACCCAGGCCGGGCCTAGCGAGGGTATCAGGCGGATATCTCTAGCCACGGCGGCGATATTGTAAGTGTATCATGTTATACGGTCCGTCCAGGACCCCTAGCAGCTAGTACAGTCCTGGCAACCGACTCCTCCTCCAGGGACTTTGAAGATCCACCGAAGCCATGGAAGAGATCAAGAAGGAGAAGGTGGCCGGCCAGCATCTTGATGAAGGCTTGGGGGCCGGGCAGAGAGACCGGGGCCTTGGACCTTTTGGGCAGGTAGCTGTACTTGCAAGGTCCCGTTCCAAAGGAAACCCTGAGGAAAAGTCTCCATAGCTTCTATTGCATCCAGCTGCCGCGCCGTATCCGTTTCTGCAGCCGTGGACGATCCCCATGCCACGGAAGCGAGAATGTGCCGGTTCACGCTGGACGGATAGCATGAATGAACCCGTCTGCCCCTTCCTCCATATTCCCCTAGTACTGTAGGGTATCCGTACACGCCCGGAGACGGAAGGCATGATGGATATACGGATACAAAGTAATGCATTCGCGTGAGTGAGGGCAGGTACCGACAGCGATGCAGGTACCTCGCGCCTTCTAGCTCCATCGCCCGTATTTTGTACACTGGCGTACAGTGTCCGCACTGTCTCTCTCACACGCCACTTTTGGCCCCCATTCCCACCAAGCGGAGCGGCCCATCGTCACTCTAACATCTCTCTCTCTCTCTCTCTGCCTTACACAATCCAACCTGGGGCTTCTCTCTCCTCACTCATCGCTCCCCTCAAGAAAAGCCGCGGCGTCGCCGCGTAAGGCGAGGCCCTGACAGCAGAGCTGTAACCGTGATTCCAGGGGTCTTCCTTGGCTTTAGGCGAACCAGTCTGTTCCATCCCGCTCTTTACAGAATTGACAGGCTGCTCCGTGACCCCACATTGAAGTCAGGGCCCCCGCCGACCGACCGTTAATTTTGCACAAAGCCTCGCGTGCGTACATACGTTTACCAAGTAGAGGCACACGCCAGGCCAGCACAGCACAACACAGCACGGGATTCCAGACATACTGCAGGCACAAACAACCCACACGGCCGGCCAGACTGCCAAGCCCGAGTTCCCCGTTCCGCATAATCCGAACTGTAGCCTGAGGTCCGACCGCCATGTCGTCTGAACAGCTGAATGTCATCGCCTTGGTCTCGGGCGGCAAGGACAGTTTCTACTCCGCTCTGCACTGCCAGAGGAACGGGCACCGGCTGGTCGCTCTCGCCAACCTCTTCCCCTGTGCCTCCGCCAGCGCCGGCGCCGATGCCGCGCACTCGGCCCCGGAGACCATCGTTTACAAGCCCACGGCGCATCACCTGAAGGACACTCAGGGGCACCAGGGGGGAGGACATGAGACTGGCAAAGGAGTCGATGACGACGCCGACCTGAACAGTTTTATGTACCAGACGGTTGGCCACCAGGTCATACCCCTGTATGCGGACGCCACCGGACTGCCGCTTTACCGCCAGCCTATCTACGGCGGCGCCAAGTACGAGGGCAGGGACTATGACGCCCAGGCCGTGGCGGCACGAGACGGCGATGCGGTCCCCGAGACCGACGCGGACGAGACGGAGAGCATGGTGCCCCTCCTCCGCGCCGTCATGGCGGACCACCCAGAGGCCAATGCCCTGTGTGCGGGGGCGATTTTGTCGACGTACCAACGGACGCGTGTGGAATCAGTTGCGCTGCGTTTGGGTCTCACGCCGCTGGCGTATCTCTGGAAGTATCCCGTGCTGCCGCCCGTCGTCCCGGGAGCCGTAGAGGACGCCCAGCTGCTTCACGACATGGCAGCCGCCGGGCTAGATGCGAGGATCATCAAGGTCGCGAGCGCAGGCCTCGATGACGACTTCTTGTGGGAGAAGGTGAGTGCCATTGCGGGCGCCGCGCGCGTCAAGCATGCCCTGAGAAAGTTTGGCGCTGCCGAGGGATCCGTCATTGGCGAGGGAGGCGAGTTCGAGACGCTCGTGCTCGACGGCCCGCCTAGCTTGTTCCGGAAGGCTATCGATGTGCCGGAATCCGGGAGACGGGTTATCAAGGAGGGCGGCGGGACGTCGTGGTTGAGCTTTCAGGGGGCGAGTGTTCGCGAGAAGCCAAGCCCAAGTTGCTCCCCGCCCCGGGTGCCCGACCTCCTGGACTCGAGATTTCAATCCTTGCTCGAATCCCTTCCTCAAATTCAGGAAGCCCTGTTGGACGAAGACTTTGCGGAATACGGCTGCAGCATATCGGCATTGTCCAAGGTTCCTTCAGATGACATTCACTGGTCTCTGGATGCGGAAGCGGAAGGGGATCAGAGGCTATCTATCGAGCAGCAGACCGAAGAGATAGTTTACCAGGTTCGAAAACGCCTTGCTGATCATTCTCCGCCGCTGCCCACGACAGCCATCACCAACGCCGTGATTTCCCTAAGCTCCATGTCCGATTTCCCTACGGTCAACGGGATCTACAGCAAGCTGTTCCAGCATCCAAATCCCCCATCCCGAGTCACCATCTCGTGCGGCGGGCTCCAGGCGGGAAGCGCCATCAACATCCACCTGACGGTAAAGCCAAACCTGGGGCTCCGTGAGCGGAATGGGCTCCACGTGCAATCCCGATCATACTGGGCGCCTGCAAACATTGGCCCCTACTCTCAGGCCATTGACGTGCCTCTGAGTAGCCAGGCGGCGTTGCCGCAAGATGAGCGAGAAGCGGCCACGGCTGGAGTCAGAGCAGTCACGATTGCAGGCCAGATCCCGCTCGTACCGGCGAGCATGATCTTACCCACTGAGGAGACGGGCAACTTGGAAACGCAAATCGTTCTGTCTCTGCAGCATCTCTGGCGCATAGCTACTGAAATGAAGGTGCAGCTCTGGACCAGTGCGGTTGCGTACTTCCCGCACACGCTGGAGGAGGCGGGAAAGAGGCGCCAGAGCCGCCTTGCCGCCGCTGCGTGGAAGGGCGTACATGCTCCCAACGAAGATGAGGACGAGGACGGGGACAACGGATGCGGACCCGACCTCTGGGATCGCAAGTTCAACCCGGCGTACATGTCCTTCGGCGACGACGGCCCCGCTCCACAAAAGCTTCCGGACTGGTCCGCCGTCAGGGGCGCGACCGAGGAGGACGAAAGAGAGGGTAGAAGGCCGGTGCCCCCTTTCTTCGCTGTTGAAGTCGAGGAACTCCCCCGTCAAGCTGGCGTGGAATGGCACGCGCACCTCGGCCTCTGGCGCCTCGCGTCATCATCTGTTGAGTATCAGACCTACAACGTTGAGCCGTCGCAGAATGTGCCATTTTACAGAAGGGTGTGCCACGTCGTGATATCGGGGGCGCTTGTCCACACCACTATTTCCTGGCTCGCGAGACAGGGCGCGAACGCTCGCTCACCAACGTCCTTCTCCGAAGTCACCGAGTGGATGGAACGCGCGTACTTGGAGTCCATCGGCAGCGGGCAGCGTACGTCGGAGGCCGGCTTCGCGTACCTGATGTACCTGAACGTGCCGGAGTGCAATGCCGCGGCCATGGCACCGGCTGGGGAGGGAGAGGACCAGGACCGCACGACGGCGTACATCAAAGCCAGATCCATCTACGACGAGAAGGGAGAGGTGGTTCTTGCTGTTGGGCTGTGGAAGTAGATGATTCACGAATACAAGCAAGTTCGTCAAAGTCGGCTTTCTCACTGCACTCGGGACAGAGGTGACATGTCGCACATGGTCTGCGCCCTTATCCGTCGTCATAGTTCCGTTGGAGGTGGAAAGAACACATTCTTGCGACCTTGTACAGGCAGAGCGCGTGTCTCGATGATCCTCGGACATCGCGGTTCGAGCAGCCTGTGTCGATGAAGGCATGCCCGCCCACAAGCATGGATTTGTCATTCTAGGTCGTCCCGCCGGGAGATCAAGGACGTGTACTACCGTAACAGTAACGCGATGGGGAGGGGAGGGGGGAAAGGAAGAGAGAACAAAGGCCGGGACTTGCCCCGCCCGCCTTGAAGACACAGACCCTGTAAAACCTCTTGGTCGCCAGGACCCAGAGTAGGCGTGGGGATGGTAGATTATCAAGCCGATGAAAACACGCCGGCATCAAAACAAGTAAACCCACGGGGAGATGCTGTCGGCGTTGGATGCTCAGGTTCGAGGACAGGGAGCAGGCTTTGCGAGGGAGATACTAGGTGCTATTTGTATACTGGGCGTTGCGGATATTTTGGCTTCTTTGTCAAGCAGTACGGGGAGGGAGGGAGGGAGGGAGAGTTCTATCTATCGTGTTCTCCGGGAAGGTCTTCATTAACGAAGTCGTCCGCATGGCTTTGGGGGGCAAAATCGGCATGGAAGCAGTCGAGCCTGTTTCGTGAGAGTATGAGCGCCCATCACGCAGGCGGGCAAGCAAGTGAGGAGAAGACGGGGGCCGTTGCCCAACGTCAAATAGCGTTTCACCGACTCCCCGCAACCAAGACGGACCCCAAACGTGGTGCCCCCCCCCCCCCATTCATCCGGCTTCAGAGGAGTCAAAAGAGAAGAAAATCCGGGGAAATAAGCTTGGTAAGGCTCGACCCCGAGGGTCCACCCCCTTCACGGCCGAGGTGAGGGTGAAGACTGTATCATGCAGAGCATCCTCTCAAACAGAGCTTCTCGAAGAGGGATCTGAGCTAGTTTGTGTCATGCAGTATGTGTCCCGCATGAGTTTTGCAGCCACATGAAGGGACGTGGAAACCCAACTCGTCTCGATTCTTGTTGTTTTTCTGGTGATGTGGGAAAGCTCTCGCAAGCCTGTTATTCCGTTCCAAACCTTACTCCCCCCTCCCTTGGAGCCCGCTATCGATTGCTCCCCCACCACCAGACACCGCTCATTCCCTCCCTCCAATCCCCCTGGGCGCCGGCCGAAAATTTCGGCGCTAGCGAAACGGCGACATTGCATCGAGGAAATCCCGATACAACCGCCCATCAGCCCGGCTCTGTGCGCGCAATCGCCCTTTCGAAGAAACCAGAAATTCCCATTTCCAAACAAACTCTAACCCCGGGGTTTTCTTTTTCTTCTTGTTTTCGTTTGGTTTATTCATATCGTGTCCCGATCGGCGAATCACGTCACGGGACCCCTGCTCTCGCGTGCGCAGCATCATCCTCCGTCGGTCTGGTACATGCAGATGTTCTAGGTCTTGGCTGTGATGGCGTACGTCCTCAACGATGATGATGCCGCCGCAGGGGCTGCACCAGCAGCAGCCTATCCCCAATCTCCTTCGTCCAACGCCCAGCGGCCGCAATCTCCGTCCGCCGCCGACACCCCGCCGCCGTCGCGCGGCTTAAGTTACGATGACAGCTCCCCATCATCGCCGCCCTCGCTCTCCCAGAGACAGAGCACCAATGAGCGCATCGACGAGATCCTAGTGGTACGTTTTTGTGTGAGCCTTGACACCTGCACCTGCCCTTCACAACACCACCACCACCACCACCACCCGGCATTTGGCTGCTGAGGGACCTCTGCGTCCGCTACGGTACCCCTTCGTTGCTTGTCATCCGCCTCCCCGGCCGCCAAATCCCTCCGTCCCTCGGGAACCCTGGCTAGCCGTTGTAACTTTATTTTCTCCCCCCTTCACCGTCTTGTGTCCGCCCCTCTCTTGACTCTTCCGCATCTCCCTCTTACTCACACTCTCGGGAACGCCCCCCCGAGACGCAGGCAGCACGAGGCCGCGCACAAGCAATGGGCGGCGGCAGACTCTCGACGACCCGCTCCGCCCCCACCAGCCCCCCGCGCCGCTACTCCCGCGCCGACGGGTCCCACGATGAGACCGTCGCCATCATCTCCCGCGGCCCGAACCGCAATTACCAGAGCATGAACGCCACGCCGCCGGCCCCGCCCGGCAACCCTGAACCGCCGGCCGGCATGCGGTCCCGCAAGTCGGCCGCCCGGCCGACCCGGACCCGGCTGCCGGCTCAGACCGAGGTCGAGGAGGAGGACTACGACGACCTGGTCGCGCGCGAGCGCGCCGCGCAGGACAGGGAGCCGTGGTACACGGTCTTCCTCTCGAGTTTCCAGAGCATCGAGCTGGAGAACAAGGGTAGCGTGGCCCGCGACCACCTCGCGCTCGGTACGTAACGCATGGCGCGGCGTCCTGTTGCGCCGCCGTCCGTTACTCACATCCCCCCCCAGGGCTAACCCCCGCCTCCTGCTAGAACGGACCTTCCTCGCGTGGCTCCGCACCTCGCTGGCCTTCGCCTCCATCGGCATCGCCGTCACGCAGCTCTTCCGCCTCAACTCGTCCCTCTCCGGCCCCGGCCCCGCAGACCCCAACGCCCACACCCTCCGCCAGCTGGGCAAGCCCCTCGGCGCCACCTTCCTGGCCGTCAGCATCCTCATCCTCTTCCTCGGGTACCAGCGCTACGCCCGCGCCCAGCGCTGGGTCATGAAGGGCAAGTTCCCGGCGAGCCGGGGCACCGTCATCCTCGTCTCCCTCCTCGCCTTCGCCCTCATGGCTGTGAGCCTCGTTGTTGTTGTCGTCGTGAGCCCCACAGGCAGGGAGCGTTGAAAGGTGGGGGGGGGGCGCGCACCTGTTGCGTGTGGGGGCATCTGAGCATGTCCTGCTGCGTCGAGAGAACTTGGGACTGAGCCGGGTGCGGAACTGCACCTAGCAGAGCTGCTCACCGGTATCATAGTCATCATGGCCATGTACATCCCATGTCACGCAGGAATGGGCTATAATGTCCCACCCCTTCTGCACTCAGGCAACCGGCTTGCTATCGTCGAAGGCCAGACTCGAGACATGCCTAGAGCGAGGATACACTTTGATTCGTGTCAATGGGATTCCCAATGTGTACACAAACGGGGAAGTGAAGAGCCCAGGACTTGCACAATACCAGTACCCACTCCGGCCCTTGAGCCCGCAAGGCTAGCCAGAGCAGCAGCGGCTAGAGGCGACGGCCCTCACACCAAGCTGGTGGCGCGCAGCTCGTTCCCCAAGTGCACCGGGAGCAGGGATTTTCTGTTTCTGTAAGAACACGTAATGATAAAACGAACAACCCAATAAAGAGGAGATCAAAACTACTTATAAACGTCCAAAGCCAGAGAGGATGGATGCCTCTAGCTCGCACCGTGTCTGAAAGGGTTTCCCCCCTCGGACCTATCAGATGACGTCAAAGCTAAACAGTACCTCAACTGTGGGCCCCTCGCGCCGTACGGATAGAACCACTTACAACCTCTTCTCGTGACGCACCACACTCGCATACACAACTCCCTCACTTACACACTCTCACGGTCGCTCACACGGTCACGCGCTCACAAGTACTCCCATCCGTGACCCATCGCCAGATACAAAGGTCACAAAATCAAGGCTACAATCAGCAGGAGGAGAAAGCTCAGCAAGCAAACCCGCACGCAAAAAAAGAAAAGAAAAAAAAAAAGCCCCCGAGCGGGTGTGAAAAGAGAAGGATCATGGCGGCACCGGAACCCCTCTCCGTCCCCTCCTTCGCAACGACCCAGATCGCCCTCCTCTCGGCCGAGCTTGCTGCCGAGGTCGCCGAGTCCTCGGCCCTCGTCTCCCACCACGCCCCTGCCGCCCTCCACCGCGCGGGCCTCGCCCTCCCCAACCTCATTGTCGGCGCCCGCCGCACCGGCCTCGGCGGTCGCACCGTCTTGGAACTCGGCGCCGACACGGCCGTATCCTCGGAACTCCCCGAGCACGGCCTCCGCCCGGGCGACATTGTTCTCGTCTCGGAGCAGCCCGCAGGGAACGCCAAGAAGAAGGAGGTCAAGGAGCTCGAGAGCAAGGGGGCCCGCGGCGTCGTCACCAGGGTTCGCAGAGAGACGATTGGCGTCGCCGTCGACGATGGTAAGGGGGAGGAGAGGGAGTTCGCCGGGAGGGTTTGGATCGTCAAGGTGGCCGACGATGTCACGTTCCGGAGGTGAGCCTGCATTGATCCGTATCCCTTCCCTTTGTGTTACGGGGGTCGAAATGTGTCGAGTCAAATTTGGCTGGGTTCAACATGACTATCTCACGAATTTGGATAGCCCGTTGCCGACTACTCACCTGTCGGGCTTTGTCCCCCCGAGAGAAAAACGAGCCTGGGCAGCTGACCGTGGCAGAATGAACCAAACCATGGAGAAGCTCGAAAAGATGACCGAATCAGAGTACACCGCCTTCATGCGCGTCCTCTTCGGCCTCTCGAGCCCGTCCCCCGTGCCCCAGGACCTGGCGGCGGACTCGGAGCTTTCCAAGATCCAATGGATTGACCCTTCGCTCAACGACTCCCAAAAGGATGCTATCCGGTTTGCGCTGGCATCACGGGAGGTGGCTCTCATCCATGGGCCGCCGGGCGTGAGTCCGCCTTAGTCCCTCCGTCTGGTGGACCGGCTACGAGGCACTGCAGCTGACGCGCCTCCAGACCGGCAAAACTCATACCCTCATCGAGCTGATCCTCCAGCTGATCAAGCTCGACCTCCGCATACTCGTCTGCGGTCCCTCAAACATCTCCGTCGACAACATCGTCGAGCGCCTTGCACCGCACAAGATTCCCATCCTCCGCCTCGGACACCCAGCCCGCCTGCTTCCCAGCGTCCTCGCCCACTCCCTCGACGTGCTGACGCAGACCTCCGAGGCCGGGGCCATTGTCAAGGATGTCCGCGCCGAGATGGACGCGAAGCAGGCCTCCATAAAGAAGACTCGCAATGGCCGCGAGAAACGCCAGATCTACGCGGACCTCAAGGAACTTCGCAAGGAGTTCCGCGAGCGCGAGCGCCGCTGCGTCAGCAACCTCATCCGCGAGAGTAAGGTGGTCCTGGCGACGCTGCACGGCGCGGGAGGGCACCAACTGAGGGACCAGCGGTTCGACATCGTCATCATCGACGAGGCCAGCCAGGCGCTCGAGGCGCAGTGCTGGGTACCCTTGCTGTCGGCGAAGAAGGCCGTCTGCGCCGGTGATCATCTGCAGCTCCCACCGACGATCAAATCGCTCAACTACAGGGTGAAGGCTGCGGCGGTATCGGAGGACGGTGCGGAAAAGCAGATCAAGAGTATGACGCTGGAAACGACACTGTTTGACAGACTGCTCGCTCTCCATGGGCCATCCATCAAGCGCATGCTGACCACACAATACCGCATGCATGAGAAGATTATGAGGTTCCCGTCGGATGAGCTCTACGAGGGAAGGCTCATTGCTGCAGAAGCAGTCAGGGGGCGTCTCCTGAAAGATCTACCGTACGAGGTCCGAGACACTGAAGACACAAACGAGCCGCTGGTCTTCATCGACACGCAGGGCGGCGACTACCCCGAGAAGAATGAGGACGATGACAAGGACGCCATTAAGAAGGCAAAGTTCAGCTTGCACGGGGAGAGCAAGAGCAACGAGATGGAAGCGGCGCTGGTGCGCCAGCACGCCCAGAAACTGGTCGACGCCGGAGTCAAGCCGGAAGACATCGCCGTCGTGACCCCTTACAACGCTCAGGTCCGTCTAGTCAACCCCTGCTTGACATCTAAACCGGCATTCGTGAATCGGGGCATGATGCTGACACCTTGGGAACCAAAAGCTCGCCGTTCTCGCACCCTTGAAAGAACAGTTACCAGGCATCGAGCTTGGCAGTGTGGACGGCTTCCAAGGCCGTGAAAAGGAGGCAGTTATTGTCAGCCTCGTCAGGAGCAACTCGCACGGAGAAGTTGGATTTCTTGGCGAACAGCGTCGACTGAACGGTAAGCCCACAAATGATGAACCCGCTGTGCCTGGGGATATCCCAGCGTTCCGTGTGGCGTGACGCATGAACGTTAATGCGCCGTAGTGGCAATGACGCGACCCAAACGCTCGTTGACGGTGATTGGAGACTCGGAGACGGTCAAGAGGTGAGTCCGTTTGAGAATTGCTTCTCCGATTCCAGTTGGCTTGTTGGTCGTGCGACGCGGAAATGTATGCACAGATAGTGTCAGCTTGTACCTGAGACACTACTGAGCCGCCTCCAAGCATTCAACATTTCGAGGTGTATTTCATCTTTCGCTGACTCGCTGCGGCACAAACAGAGGCAGCAACTTCCTAAAGCGATGGATGGACTTCCTTGAGGAGAACGCAGACCTGCGTTATCCGGACTTGTCGTCACTTCAGAGGTCTTGATACCCTATTTGGTATGGAGGTTGCGAGCGCCATCTTTCCACGGACATAGTAGGCCCCCTCAATGTCAATCTTCATGCGAGGAAGAGGATTTATGGTCAAACTAGCGGCGATCTGGATTGTCGACGAACCAGCTTCCTCGGAGTGTAGGCCCGCTTAGTGAGGCCGTCAGCGAAGTGGGATAGTTCCTTATGCGATGAGATGCGCTTGTTCCCCAGCGCTGCCAAAAAGGGAATGGGCTGCATTGTCCAGCTGAGGGTGGCGTATCGTAGAATTTCCAAGCAGCTGTGACCCATGCTCGCCTCCCGCCGGGGTTCATTGAGGGGGGAGGGAGGGAGCGTCCGTTGACGCAAGATGAGAGACGCCAGGGCGCCGGGGCCTAGGCTGTTCGGGTCGTATTGTGATCCAGGACGGCGCGAAGGAGGGAAAAAGGAAAAAAAAAAAACAAAAAAAAAGACTGGAGAGAGGGGCTCAGATGTCAGTCGTCACTCATCAGACGAAAAGAGCGGCGCCCATGTATGTTTCAGGTTGCTTTTAAGCCCGTTCAACCCTTGTTCCAAGTTCGCGTGGCCAGACCCGCCACGTTCTCCTATCGACGAGGACGGGGATGTTTGACCCTGGAAGAATTTGCGCTGCTGTTGGTCGATTTCGCACACCGATAGCTGCGACGCCGTGTCGTTGAGGGTGTGACTGATACCGAGCTACCCGCGACTGTGAGATGACAGGTGTCAAGGGGTCGTATTACTCAGATTTGGCGTGATCTCTCTCGAAGGACGAAACTGAGCATGTATCCGACCGAGGGAGGAACAACAGTTAAAAAGACGCTACATCGCTCGCATCTCTCCCATACGGGATTGGTCTTATGTAACGCGTGCCCCCATTTCATTGTGTTTATCGCCCGTAGCTCGCTTGCAGCGCGGCAGTTGCTTTGGAACAAAATAAGTATAAAGTTGCAACGTATGTAAAGGTTACAGTAGTGTAGTAGTAGAGCAAGCATTCCATGGAATCGCTTCCGTGTAATCTCCCGTCCAGCAGTGCGGTTCGCCTGTGGCAACATGAGACGACGCCAACCCCGGGTCAGTTGCTAACTGGATGTGTATACCGCCGAGAGGGCCGTTGGCGAGTAATGGGCCCTGTTTGGCCAAGTCAGAGCGTTGGCTGGCCTTGTCTGCCGTGATTAGTACGGTTTGTGCTCGCTCAATTATGCCGCTAGGGGCCGGGCTGGGGTTGGCGGGCAGATCATAAGACGGCTACCTCGTTATATGATGCTCCTTCATGGTCCACCGGACAAGCCGATCAAACCGTCAGTGACGGAGAGCATTTGATGTTGGATTTGTGTCGTATCGGGGGCCGTGGCAACAGAGCAAAACTATTATAGTACTACGATGTGCGCAGCTTGACAGTGTAGCCAGGCATGCGTTGCATCATATGAGTCTCCGATGGAACAGCCCCAGTATCGGCTGGGTGGTCAGTCGTGCCACTCATGCAAGAACCATCCCTCAATGCTCGGTCGTCAAGTAACTCTGGCAGGGAACCGTAGATAATGAGACGGCACTCACTCGCAAGAGTTTTTCCGTGAAGTCTTCTCTCGGCTGTCGCCGAAAAAGCCTCCCCGCGAGTCATGGGATACTACGTGAAGAAGCGGGCAGGTGTTGGCAATGGTGGTGGAATTGACACGATGCGTCAAACGGTCGGCGAGTCTCAACCATATCTGGACTAGATTCCGTCTAGGTTGACAACAATGACAAAGGGATGGGATGGGGTTGCTTCGTTGGTCGGACAAAGGAAGGCCTGCAAGCCATGTGGTGTTTTAGCCTCCTGAGCTGCAATGTGGGGTCGGTCGCCGCGCTAGTAGCTCCTCTTCCTCTTCCTCTTCATGGCAGGTCGGAAGGGGGTTGGACGACGCGATCGTTGTGAGAGCCTTGCTGTTTTGAATGACGGCTCAGTGAAAAGTGACGGAAGTAGTCATCTTGCCGGGAGAGAAGCTTGTAGCCGCGCCGTAGCCCCGCGCGCCCCTGTTTCCAACCAAGAATAACACCGGTAGGTGTATATATGCAGGAGGACGTGGCATGTGGTTGCAGCAATCTAGAAGAAAGGCATGGGCCGTCGTAATGAGCGGCCTGACGGCGCATTGGGATTCGCCCATAACACCAGCAGTCACATTTCGCCGGCATCGATCCTCGAGAGCTAGAGGTGGCGCTGTCAAACAATGGAATAACCGTCGTATAGCCAGCCGCCCATCGGATTCGCTGGCAGTTGGCATGGACGAGATTGCTGGGTGGTTTGACGGGCGGCGGTGGTGTTAGTGTAGGCGCAAGACAGGGAAATTCGGCCACAAACGAAGTAGCGCAAACGTCGGAGCTGGGCTAGTGCCGATGGGTGGCGGGCCCCTCGCCTCCAGCACGGCGCCCGACTACCGAGCTCGTTTGCTGATTTCCCAATTGGGTTTGAAGCAGACGTTCAGTAACCCTAGTGCGGCATTGACGTATAGGACGACTACCTACCACCGTAGCCTGCGGCAGAGTGATTGGAAAGCGGAATCTAGGGCTCCATGCCGGGTGAAGATAGCAAATGGGTCTGGTTGGCCATTGATGCTGTACGGACAGGATCAACAACGTCTCTCGCCTTTACCGCATTTGCAGAAGGCCATCCAGTCAGGAGGCGGTGGCACTCTGCCGTGGCTTTGACCTCTTCCTCAACTCGGCATGATAAGCAACCGGGGGCGCGAGCTGAGACTTGGCGGACGAGGCCCGTTGCCGGCCGGTCGGTACTTGACAGACAGACGCTTGCACAGCACGGGTCGAGTCTGGGGTTAGCATCGGTGTCTGACGGCGACAGAGCCATGAGGCGGGTCGAATGAATCAGATCTACAGGAGGAGCCGCAGAGGCAGTGCGTTTGGTGTCGTGTCGTTGGGGTGCCCCAGACCTCCGCGATTGCCTCCAGTAATTATCCGCAACGCAGGCGCTGGTTGGGGGCGCAAGCCAAGAGTCGGGAGATGTTGTTCGTACCGGCGAAGCGAGGTGCAAGGTCGACACGGGCCATGTACGACTCCAAGACGGGACGGGGGGGCGGGAGCAGCAAACTTCGCGGCGACTTCATGCTTGTTGTTTGAAAAAGGGTAAGGGAAAGGGGAGGGGAAAAGACTGAAACAGGACGGCCAATCCAGCAGCGGCTCTCCAAAAAAATCGAACCAGCAGGCCGGGCTGAGCTGGATCCGACAGGACCAGGAACTAGGCAGGCAGGCAGGCAGGCAGGCAGGCTCTTTGGTCGGCAATTATCCGTAGGTGGCTCGCTATTGCCCTTTCGATGGCGACAACTCACTCCCGTGCCAATCTCGACGACAATAAACGTCCTGCACCGGCATTCAACATGCTATGCCTCGCCCCCTTGATCGACCGGAAGCGTTTGTTGACATTGGCAGATGGGAAACAGAGATAGTCCTCCTCCTACATTCCACCCATCCCTCGTGTCGCTGCCGCCCTTTCCAGCACCAGCACCAGAGCCGGTGAGAGAAATCACGCGCAACTGGTGCAGCTCATCCATCCAGGCTTTGCTCCGCGTCCCGCATCGCATCCTGACCCGCCTTGCGTTTACATGCACAACAAAAATAGCTAGTGACTTGCCTTGGACGCGGACGAGAAGACCGGATCCAGTTGGTGGAGGTGTCACGTTGTGTTCTGGGTAGTATTGGCTCGAGTCGATGACCCCCAATGCCATTTCGACCGGGGGGGGGAAGGAAGGTCCCACGGTCTCCTTCCCCACTGCTCTAGGCATCCCAAGCAATGACCTCAAACAAGGGCTATCCCCGAGCCCCAGGAGAGAGGCCGAGGAAGGAAGAGGGATGAACCAGCGGCAAGAACGTTGGGAATTCTCTCAATCTGAAGTTGGTAGAAGCCACCGACCAGCCCGACTGGTCGCCGCGAGGCTAGGGCCACGAGGAATGAGATGGGATGGAGATGTCAGGTCATCCCCCTCCGTGTCTTCCTTTTCGAACTATCTGCCTAACATTACATTGTACATACCTAATTGTAGGTACAGTACGGAGTACGTAGGTACGCAAACAAACCTTGCTCTGATAGAAGCCCGGTATCCACGTTCGATGCAGAACCCATGACGAAACCACAAATCGTTTCTCGTCACTGTCTGTCTTCTCGGCCCATTCCTTCATCTCAATATTGTATACCCTAGGCGCTGCCTACCAAACGCGCACCATTGACGGCGTTCCAATGGTCCCGTATTCTCCCCGTTGTGCATGCATGCTTGTTTCATCACGCTAGCATCTGCATCTGCTCTGAACCTGTCCGTCTCCACGCCCACACCTCTTTCTGTCTGCATCTCCTTCCGTGTCGCGTCGTGTGGTGTCCATCCATCCCCATCCGAACTTCCGCCCTCCGTCTACGGATAGTCTGATCTGGCCTCTTGCACGTCTTGTCCTTGTCCACCAGTCAGTCCCTTGCCTTTCCCACCTCCAAGTCCTACCCCCCCCTGCTCTGCTGTGCTGTGCTCGATCCTCTCTCTCGAAGAAAAAGGTACGATCCATCACCAAAGTACTTTGTACTAATCTCGCGCAGAACCGATACATACCTACGTGCCAATTGGTTTCCCTTTTCTCCCGCCCTCCCATTCTCTTCCCCTCTCTCTTGTTTTTTCTATTCCCCCTCCGCCGTGCTTTTCACTGTTGGGTAGAAAGAAGACGCTTTGTCTGGACCAACCGCGTCTCTCCAATTCTTCTTCTCCAACCTGTCTCAGTCTCAAACCTGCTTCCAGGTACCGATACTTCGCACCAACGTTCCTTGCACCTTGACCCTTTCTATACATACTATTTATCACGCATTTCTCTTGTAATCGTATAATTCCTATCCGTCCGTATCTCCACCATCCCCCCCCCCCCCCCCCCCTTCCAGTCACACGCCACACGCCCTTGGCCCAAGCGGTGCGATCCAGCTCATCCTAATCATCGCTGCTCCTCGGCCTCATCGCCAGCCTGTCGCAGAGCTGCCTGGGTCCTCCTTTGATACGTGACGCATGCGCTGCCAGGGCCCCCTCCCCTTCCTTGTTCTTTAACTACTACACCCAATCCTCGATCCTCTCGTGGGTTTCTTTCTTTTATTCGCCTCATCAATCCTCGTCGTGTCTTGCTCGCCCGCTCGACGCTACTCCGTCTTTTGATCACAGCGTCGCTGCGCCTGTCGAGGAGCTACGCCACCTCTGCGCTCCACTCCCTCCAACAGGCCCGAGGCCACAAAGCCGCATTGCTGGCCGTACACACCATGAATCAGCTTCAAGCATAGATCACCACTTGGTCTAGACATCTGGCGTCCGATCGAGAATCCCAGTTTGGAACTCACAGGCCACCAAGCCATTGCATATTGGTTCCAAGCAAACCCGTTGCCGCACGGCACCGGATATCGCCTGCCATCTTTTCGGGCCTCACTCAACCAGCATTGTCCCTGCCCCTCATCATTTCCCACAAACGGCACTTACTCCATGGCTTACACTGGTCGACGTGCATATACATCGCTCCTCATCCTCTTCCCTCGTTTACTCTCGCTCTAGCCTTGAGCCCCGCGAGCTGTAAAAAACTTGGTCAGAACTGCCATGGGCCTCTTCAAGTCGCCAAACCAATCTCCCGCGCCAGGCGCACTGCCTCGATCCCAGACGGGTCAGTCAATTCGAGGCAAGATATCAGGCCCGATTCCTATTCCTAGCCCCTCCGACGACGAGTTCCCCATGCGCAACCCTGGCACCGGTATCGCCACGACTTTGGCCGCCGCCGCCGACATGAAGGAGCAGCAGTTGCTTCCTCCGCAGGCCGAACCCAGGGCCGGTTCGATTGTCTCAGTCGCCCAGCCTGAAGTGACACCTGCCCCGCGGACGGACTCCGTGGTTGCTCCCGCAAGATCAGCCCGCTCTCGCTCTGCATCCCCTCCTGCATCTGCCACACATGGCAACTCGCCGCAGTCGCAGAGGAGAACAAATATCTCCAGCAATCTGCGCTACTCGGCCGTGAGCGCATCGTCGGGACAAACTGGTGAGAGTCGCGACCGGCCCCAGCGCAAAAAGTCGACTTTGCGCGGTGCGCTTGGGAAACTTTTTGGCCGCAAGAAGAAGACGGGAAGTCAAGGTTCAGCCGACTCGCAACGCATATCGACTTACAACAACGCGTCGAACCAACACAAGAGTGTAAGTTTCGGCACCGGCTGCACCCTGACCTTTACTGTTATTCGTATTTTTTTGATCCGAACCTAGAGACTGACGGTGAATCAGCAGGACCTTTCCGCGTTAAGCCGAGTCACCGAAGCCGAACCAAAGCGATCGGTATCTTTGCCGATCACCGAGTACGACAGAGCATTGAGGTCTCACTCTATTGGGCCTCATGATATTACTGTCATTGAAAGCGCGCGCAATTCGATCAGCGTCGATTTATCTGTGCTGGGTCACAGGAGGGCTGCGACCGCTACCACTAGCCAGATATACTCGGCGCCGTTCAGAGGTCGTGAAGGCGAATTTTCAGGTCTTTCGCCCCGTCCAGCAAGCAGTCACGTGCGCGGGAGTCGACTTTTTGCCGATAACGACGATCCCGAGGCAATTGGGCGGGCAATTACCAGTGATGTGGGCCAAAAGCGACGGTCCAGGAGCCTCAGTGGTCTCCAGAGCACTGAGATTCGCGCTGATCTCCGACGCAGAAGCGACGAGATTCGATACTGGAGAGAAAGTTACGTGCCGACTTTCATTGCATCTCCGACATCATCCAATCCCCCGGACCACGAACATCAATTCGCGGGCGTGGGCTCCGAGGGCATGCCGGACTCGCCAGTGGAGCAAGGACAACAGCAGGTGCACACGCCACCTCAGCCATTCTCCTTTGGCAACTTGACTCACATGAATGTCATGGCTGGCATGAAGATCACACAGGCAGCCAGTATCGAAACACGTATAGATACGCTCGAAGAGAGGATGCACCGCATGGAAGATGTTGTAACACGACTCTGCAATTCGGTTCCTGGTTTCCAGGTGTACGCCAACCCACCACGCCGTCCTGCACCCTCTATTCCAGATTCCAATCCATCCTCTCAGACGACGACGACTACGGCAGTCAACCCGGTGCTTCAACAGGTGTTGCGTCAGGATGCATATGCGTCTTCGTACGGCAGCTCTGCGCACTCTAAAGAACCCCGTACTTCATTTGGCGAAGCTCCCACGCACGTGGGCTCTCTGCAATTCCCTGCATCAATGAACAGACCGATGTCGAACTCCACTCTCCGGGGCGTAACCAGCTTACCTGCGATATCGCATCTTGAGACGAGCAGAGCGACAGGAACGTTCACGGCAGATCATTACACGACGCTTCTCACACTTTTAGAGACAGAAAGAGCCTCCAGGAAAGCCCTCGAGTCTCAAGTGAAGAAGCTGACAAGGCGCGTGAACATACTTTCAGGGCCCGTCGGCCCTGGTCGCATCTCCTTGCAGATGGAGCCGCCGCCAACGGCCAAGTCTTTTGGCAGCGTTTCGGCATTCGACCAGGACTCGTCCGACGACGACGCTTTTTCCAGGAATCGACGGTTCTTGGCCGAAGACTCGGGCGTCGGGACTGGTCTTGGAGACGATGACTCGTATTCGGAAGTTTTTGCGACGCCAAAGGAAGAGTACCCGTACGGTTACGGCGCGTTTGGAGAAGAATTACACGACGAAATCGAAGATCCCCAACGCAAGAAGGCAGCCAGGACCTTGTCTCTGAGCCAGATGACGTTGAGCAAGAAGACTTCCAACACGGCAGTACGAATTTGACATAGTTCGGTACACTACGACGCGCTGTTTTCTTTTTTTAAAATTTGTCATTATACCCCGGGAGATTATCTCCCACTCACGAGGCGACGACGGTGGTTCTTTTCTCGACAGCTGTTACGTTGAAGACTTGCTATCGTTGCGATTCGGCATCGATACCTCCACTGAATCTCTGATGGGTTCGGCACTGTTATCATAGCGAAACCTTTCTGCATTAACTTCTTTTTCATTTATTTGTCCATTCACATAGCGGCTTGTCTTTTCCATCTTGCAGATGTGGCCGGAACTGAAGCCAGAAAAGCTCCGTTGGAATCCATCTAGCTGGACAAGACGCCTTCTTTTCTCAATTGGGGGGTTCTGTCTTTTCTCTTTTTTCTTTCTTTTTTCTTTTCTTTGTCACTTAGTTGTCTCAGTGAGACGAAGGTTTCTGGGGGCGCCCCCAGTCAGGTATGGACGGAGGATGCGGTGTCAGAACATTGACAGGCTCGAAGGTCGATTCCTCGTCTAGGCCCAATATCCGGTGGATGTGGAGAGAACCGTAATATGTAGTCAGGTCGGCCCGAACTGGAAATTTGTAGGTCGCGTACGTGTGCAATATAACGAAACATACTTTCGGCTCGACTTTGATGATAATGGAACCCAAGCCGCCCGTAACTCTCGCTGCCTGTCATCCGGCGCCCATGCTAGCTGAATCAATCTTACGCAACGAACTAGGTTTGGCCGACAAACAAACAACGGGTCGAGTGATATGGCCCCGGTCGCAATTTCCGGATCGTTATCTTGGGGAAAATGAGCCAGAATGTTTCGAAGAGACTTCTGGATCATTCCCCGGGGGGCCCACGATGATATCTGGGGGGGGGGGGGGGGGGGGGGGGGGGGGACCAGCGATGTAGAAGCAGTAATATGGCCGAGACGGTAGGGGGAGTGATATTAGTTCGCGACAATGTGGCAATTAGGGGCGCAGTAGAGTTGATTTGGCATGCTCCCTATAGAACTATAGGTCGGAGAGTCCCGAGTCCTACGAGTAGGACATGGCGAGAATCCCGAATCAATGACCATTAATTGCCAGTAGGGTTATTTCTTACACGAACCCAATGCAAAAGGGCCGCCGGACGGCTAGTGTAGTAACAACAGATACCCGTTTCCCGACATTTAGTAGAATCACCTCTCGCACACGCAGTAGGAGATGTTGGAGTGGCCTTGTCTCTACGTCAGCGGAACTGTAATGGATCTCCAAGACTGAAGGGACGAGGGGGGCACCTGAATCCCCGATGCCCTCGCCATTGCCTCGAACCCAGGGTAGGGGGGGGGGGGCACAATTGCTCTCTGCGAGTTGGCCTGCTTTCAGTTACGGCAAGCTTACCCAGAAACGGGTTGTTCTGCTGTGTATCCGTACTCCGTACATAAAAGAGGTGCGAGATGCCGACCTGCTGGCACAGCACAACCGGGCAGGCATCTCACGAATGCACGCCGCCGGGCCTAGGTCCTCGACCGATGCTTCACTTTCCATAGATTTGGCCAATATCGCTAGGCTGCCCCCCCCCCCCGCCGGCGAGACGAACAATGTCAAACACGTGGCCCACCACCCCCCTCTCCCAAAACGCCTGGGCCTCGGGGCTCCAATAGTTAGAACGGTTTCCGTCCGTCTAACCCGCAAGCTCTGCTTCTCGCGCCGGGTTTGCAACGATGCTTAGCCGTCTCCGCCCGTCTCCCAGCGGAGAACTGGGCCCGGCGCAAGCAGAAGTCCTGCTCGACCCGGTGGGCTTTCTCGAAGCCCGGCAATGTCTTTTGAGGGTTCTGCCGTAGTCGGTCGTGAATACCTCCCCGAAACGGACGATCTCAGTCGTCTCTCACCAATGGAGCCTGGGGGAGGGGGGGCAATGGGTCTTGGCGACCGAGCCCCATCAGAAGAAGGCTGGATGCGGAGGAGGAATGAGACTCCGTGGACAGTGGCTCCGGCTAGCGGCTGGTCTGCTAAAGCCGAGGGCTCTTGGAGTCCAGAGGTCGAGCCAGGGGAGAAGAAGCTACCTCGTCTTCGTGTATGATGGATAACGCCGTAGTTTAGATGTGACGTGTTTGTGAGCGGGGTGTAATGAAGTTGACGAAGGCGAACACCGGCAATGGAGTCTGCAATGGAGCATCGTCCCAAAGATGCCATATCCTGAGCAGCCCATCCATCCCATCAGGAACCCTTACACATGCGGTTCCACAAAAATATATACCATTTCCAAGGTGATATCGAATAATGTCGGGTAATATCCGTTGCAAGGAGCACTAGCCTGGCAATCACTATATACCTGGCTCTTCAGTAGCTTCCCATGGAGCGATATTGCCCATCCTCGCCCCCAGCAGCTCGTCGGAACGCCTCGGCTTCGGGAATTTGGGCAATATGCGGTCCTCCACTATTGATTCCATGGTTTCGTGAACGTAGGTGAGAGTGTGCATTGACCCACGCGTCAGTCGGTCTCAGGGAGACTTCGACCTTCGGCCCGTGTAATAAATACCTGACGCGAGTTATGGGAAGTGCTGCATCACTGGGGACGGATATCGTGAACCACAGAGGTGGCGTGAAGCAATGACCGTCACGACTCCAGGCTCAGAAGGACTTCTGGCTATGCCTTAAGAACTTCTAACGCATACAGGCCCGATTTGTAGTTATGGCTCGACGGCATCGGTTTATCCTGCGAGCTCTTCGGCGCGTCATCGAGAGCAGCTTGATGTGGAGAAAAGCCCAAAAAGCCAATGCCGGCCTTCCAGACAACCAATTCGCCTCGAATGTGCTCACTTTGTGTTGTCTGGGATGAAGGTTGGCACGTTATACGCATGGCGCCGATTGCACCATCGAATATGAGAGCACAGCGGACTGACCCGAGACAGTGTTCTGGAAAAGGCCCGCGGCGCCAACTACCTCTTCGGAGACGACGCCGCCGGCTCCATCGCCACGATAAGGCCCCCGAAGAGAGGTACTTTGTCTCCGAGCGGAACGATGTAGTAGCTGGGCCTGAGTGCCAGTCAAGCGGTGTCCACATTGGCAAAATGTGCCTCAACGTGTCTCGAATGTTACCAGGGGCTCGGTTTGGCGGCAATGCGACGTTGGATTGCCATCGTAGGAGTTTGTACTCCGTAACCTGCTTCCGTATGGCCGCACCACGACTCGAGTTTCCCCGGAGAAAGCCGCATTGGGAATTCCAACCAGACGGGGCGCGAGTCTACCCCCCCTGACAACCTGAGAGTACCGTGCACAATAACTGATAGGGTTAACCTGACAGTGGAGTAGGTGATGAGGTTCTAACCAATAGATATGCATATACACGTCAGAAGGGTCTATAGGCCTAAAAAGAACTAGAAATTTTGTTCATCTTGCTCTACATAGTCTAGCGGTGAGTAGTGTTCTAAATAATGTGAAGGCTATAGGTTTAACCCTAGTCTTTTCTAACTTTTTTCAACTTTTTCTTTAGGTAATTTTAAAACAGCTCTACTAGGGAGGGTTAGAATAGTCTATCCTACCCTACTTCCTTTACTACGCTCTAGGTTAGGATAGGCTAAGACTATCCCTTGTGTTTTTTTTACCTCTCTTTTTTGCCTCTATTTTTTGCCTTAGTTTTTTTGCCTCTATTTCCTACTTTTTCCCTCTATCTATACCCTTATCTATTAGCTATAACTGTATCTATTGTCAACTTAAGCCTGCACAGGCCAGCACGCACGGTACTCTCAGGTTGTCAAGGGGGGGGCATTATCAGCTTGTCTGATCGCTCGCCAACATGGCAGCATTCTTATCAGTCGCAATCTTATCCACTCCGCAGGAAAAGAAAAAACGTGTACAATGGATGTGGGCTTGTCGCCAAGTTGGGTTACATCCAACCACGTAAGCAAAAAAAAAAACCCAAGGACCTACGCACAACCACCAACCGCACCGGCTTGCTTGAACGACGTGCGCACATACCACACGCCAGAACCAGCCTCCCGCGTCTTCTTTATGTGAAAGGGTGCATCGAATACCTGGGCAAACTTAAGCTTGCTTTATTTTATTTTACCCCTCCGTCCGACCAGCCCGCCGCCGCCGTCATCTCCACAACCACCACCACTGCCAGTGTCCGTCCCGCCGCGCGCCGTTGCCTCACAATCATTGCGACGTACACCACAACCTCCTTCGCAGAGGACACCCGACGATACTCGAAAGTGTGCCAGCGACACTGTTGCGCGCATTCTGTTCCCTCTTCTCCCCACTCCCAAGAAGCAACCGAACGACATCGCCCAACATGTCCGGCTGGGTGGATCGGTCCAAGACCACGCAATCCTCCAACTATCGCGGCTCGACGTCGTTCGCGACGTTCATGATCATCGGGCGTACGTTCCCCTCTCACACCCTCCCCTGCTCAATCGCGATCCCAACCCCGCAAAGGATGCTAACGAGAACCCTCACCCCACAGCGACCTGCTTCTTCCTCGGCGTCCTCTTCGCCTCCTTCCCCTATGACTTCCCCCTTCTCTGGACCTCGGCGCCCGTCCCGGACACCTTCCTCCAGCACCTCGAGACCCACCTCAAGTTCATGCACCAGTCCCCGCCCCTGATCGGCCGCCTCCTCAACATCATCGTCTTCACCGGCTTCCTCGGTTTCTTCATCAAGCTGTTCCGCCCCTCCGAGGCCAACGTCCTCTTCGACGGAGCTTCCCTCGTTCTGTACCTCATCGGTGTCGGCGTCTACATCACCAACATCGTCAAGGGCCTGCGCTCCGTCTCCGCCGGCATCTGGGACGACCCCGACTTCACCGGCGAGGTCAAGGACCCGCGCGTCGAGGGCGAGATCATCCTCGGCAAGGAGGACAGCCTGAAGGTCCTAGCGGCGAGCAACACCATCCTCGCCCTCGTCCTCGTCGGCGTCTTGGTGTTGCAGGCCGGCCAGTGGTATGCCGAGCGCAAGGATCGCGAGGACATTGTCAAGTTCGAGGAGGAGAAGAGCAGCAAGGGGTCTGCGTCGCACAAGAAGAAGCAGTAAAGGGGGGGAGGCCGTCGTGCTGTATACTCCTCCATCGCTATTGCGACCTGACCGTGGCATAGTTTGGCGAGTCTGCCGGCCGTCCAAAGCCGCAGCTTGACGCACAGATGGATGGGTACAGGCAGGTCCTTAGCTTAAGCCAGGCGTGCGTAAGGTCGCAGCACTGAGTGTATCTTGCATAATGTACACAGAAGGGTCTCCGCGCGAGATGTATCACATACAAAAAAAAGACTTTGACTAATACTCGTCACATACGATATCTGAACGTCATATTGTACTTCTTTTATTCTTCCCTTGGCCCAGGCCTAGACAAGATACTCGCGACAAACATATCTTTTTCTACAGGCATAATGTCATGCCTCCTGCACCCCAATAGCAAAAATGGCCCCTTGCTTTTTCTCCATTTCGACTTGTCTTACTCGAGCTTGAGCTGCTCGAACTGCTTAATGGTACCCTCGAAACCCCTGGCCTCAGACTCGAGATCGATCAGCTTCTGCCTGTCCTGCTTCTGCACGGCCTCGGCGACCTTCTCCTTGTAGATGGGGTCGTTGAGCACCTTGTGCTGCTTGTCAATGTTGGAGCGAGCCTTGTCAAGCTTCTTCTTCGCCTTCTCGATTTCCGCGTCGATGTCGACGCGGCCCTTGACGTGCAGGTAGACGGAGGCAGAGGAAGCCACAGGGAAGGCAACGCAACCGGCCGGACGCGCGGCATCGGCATCGATGATGTCAATACCTGTGACGCCCTTGCCGCTGAGAGACTTGATAGAGGCGACCTGCTCGTTGATTGTCTGGAGGGAAGTGGCGTCATGAGACTGAATGATAACTGGGGTTGCGTTAGCGAATAATACACAAGCCATGAAACTGGCAAGATCGACTTACTTCTGCTTTCCTCCTTCTGGGCGTACTCGCTCATGAGCGATCTGGCACCGCGGGAGCATCCCAGGACAAGCTCATAGGCGGCCTCGGACTTGGGGTCGTCGAACTTGGCATCGTAGACGGGGTAGCTGGCGACCATGATGGACTTGGTCTTGTCGTCGGGGCGGCGGGGCAGACGTTGCCACAGCTCCTCCGTGATGAAGGGTGTGAAGGGGTGGATCATGGTCAGCGCACCCTCGAGGGCGGTGTAGAGAGTCTGGATGGCGCTCGCGGCCTCCTCCGGTGTGCCGTCCTGAATGATTGACTTGCTGTTTTCGATGTAGACATCGCACAAGAAGTTGAGGATGTACTGGTACACAATACCAGTAGCATGCTGGAAGTCACGGTCGGCCAGGGCGGCGTTTATCTCCTTTGCGGCAGTGTTGAGCTTGTGAAGGATCCAGCGCTCGGCGAGTGTGACACCGACAGCAGGCTCCTTGGCGGGAACAAAGTCCGGGGGCAGCTTGCCGAGGACGTACTTGGACGCTTGCCAAATCTTGTTGCAGAACTTTCTCCAGCCAGTCATGACCTTCACATCAAAGTTGACATCTCCGCTTGTCGAGGTAAGAGCAGCCATGGTGAAGCGCAGACTGTCAGCACCGTTGCGAGGGAGGCCATCGGGGAAGGCCGACTTCTGGTACTTCTCGGCCTTGGCGACCTCACTCGGGTGAAGGTTGCCCACGCGAAGCTTTGCGTGGAGGTCTTCCAGCTTGATACCGGCAATGGCATCCAATGGATCAATGACATTGCCCAAGCTCTTACTCATCTTGCGACCCTCGGAGTCACGGACGAGGCTGTGGCAGTACACCTCGGTGAAGGGGACCTGGCCGGTAAGCTTGATACCGAGCATCACCATTCTGGCGATCCAGAAGAACAAGATGTCCCAGCCAGTCTCGAGAACCGAAGTGGGGTAGAGCTCCTCCAGATCCTGGGTCTTGTTGGGCCAACCCAGGGTCGAGAAGGGCCACAGGCCAGAGGAGAACCACGTGTCGAGAACATCCTCGTCCTGCTCGAGGGTGAACTTCTTGCCCGGAAGGGCAGCCTTGGCCTTGGCCTCAGCCTCTTCCCGAGTCTTGCCAGCGAACCACTGCTTGTTGTCCAAGGAATCCGACTTTTCACCCTCAACCTTGGCCAGGTAGACGGGACAACGGTGACCCCACCAGAGCTGACGAGAAATACACCAATCGTTGATGTTGGACATCCAGGCGTAGAAGCTGCGCTCGGAAGACTCGGGGCGAATCTTAATCCTGCCGTCCTTAACGGCAGCAACGGCATCATCAGCCATGCTGCGCATGCTCATGTACCACTGGGGCTTGAGGAGAGGCTCAATGACCTGCATTTTGTCAGCAATCACTCATTTGTCATTTGAAAAGGGGCACCGACATCCTTGGAGCGCTCGCAAAGAGGGATGGTCATGGCATTGTCCTTCTTGTCAACGTAAAGGCCGAGCTGCTTGAGCTCCTCCTGGATGGCGTATCGGACACTAGATTAGGGGTCAGTCTTTGCAATTCTGACCGCAACGCCGGCAATCACTCACTCGAATCTCTTTTGGCCCTTGTACTTGCCACCGTTCTCATTGATGTTGCCGTCGTCGGTGAGGATGTTGATGAACTCAAGCTTGTGCTTCTGGCCGAGGTTGAAATCGTTGGGGTCGTGCGCAGGGGTCAGCTTGACAGCACCAGTACCAAATTCCTTGTCAACGTAGGTGTCGGCGACAATGGGCAGCAGACGGCCCTCGATGATAGGGTGCTTGGCTTTCTTGCCAATGAGGTGTGAATATCTGGGATCATCGGGGTGGACGGCAATACCAGTATCACCGAGCATCGTCTCGATACGGGTGGTGGCGACCTCAATGGTCTCGTCGGAACCCTCGAGCGGGTACTTGAAGTGAATCAGGACACCAAACTCGATCTTCTTCTCGTATCCTGGAACCTCCAGCAACGTGCGGCCGGACAATTCCTTGTTGACAACCTCGAGGTTGGAGAGAGCAGTGGTGAGTCGGGAAGACCAGTTGACGAGTCTGTTGGCACGGTAGATGGTACCCTCCTCGAAGAGTCTGACAAAGGTTTCAGCCACGGCGGCAGACAGGTTCGCGTCCATCGTGAAGGCCTCGCGGGTCCAGTCGAAACTTCCTCCCATCTTGCGGAGAGCGGCGTTGATCTTGTCGTGGTACTCGCCCTTCCAGGCCCACACCTTTTCGACGAAGTCCTCGCGACCCAAGTCGTGACGGGTCTTGCCTTCTCTCCTCCAGAGCATGTTCTCGACCACACTCTGGGTTGAGATACCGGCATGATCGCAACCGGGAATCCACAGGGTCGTTTTGCCCAACATGCGGTTCCATCGAATCATGATATCCTGCAGGGAGTCGCCGAGGGCGTGGCCCAGATGCAGAGAACCGGTGACGTTAGGCGGGGGGTGGGCAATCACGAACTTGCCCGCAGGCTTGACCTTGCCTTCGGCGGTGAACTCGGGTTCTGTAGGTAAAGTGTCAGCTCGAAGGCTCTGATGAGGGGGGGCACGTGCCGCATACTGAAGAAACCCTCCTTCTCCCACCAGTCGTACCAGGCGCTCTCGACGGCTTCGGGGTGGTAGGCCTTGAAGTGAGGGTCCTCGAGGGACTTGAGGCGCTTCTTCTCTCCTACAGGGGTATCTTCAACGTATTCGGGGATGGCTGCTTCCTCCTTCTTCTCGGCCTTGGCCTTCTTCTCCTTGTTCTTGGACGTGGCGGGTGCGGCGGCGGCCTTTGCGGCCTTTTCGGCCATCTTCTGCTTGAATTTGGCGTCCTTCTCGGCCTTCTTGCGCTCCTTCTCCAGTTCCTTCTCGGTTTTCACCTTCGGGGGTGCGCCGGCGGCGGCACCGGCATCCTGGCCGGCAGCATGGGTGGCGGACGTCGAGGAGACCTGGGCCTTAGTTTCGGCCGAGACAGCAGGAGGCGCTTCCTCCTTGAGGCCCTCAGTGGCGCCAACTGGAACAAGAGGCACATGGTCAGTTAAATGTCAGAGGATGGCACGATCAGGGTCGGCCAAGGAGGCATCGCGAGGATGGTGGGGGTGGGTGGAGGGATAGCGCACTGGGGTTTCCGCGTCCGCTGTCGGTAGCCATGGTGGCACGTGTCTGTAGGAACGTTTGTAGAGGTGGTCGTGGACGTGGACTGAGTGATGGAGGGCGCACACGGAGTGCTCGAAGAAATATTGATTTGGACGTGGTGGGTACTTTGGCGAAGAAGCCCGCGGAGGTGGGCTTCGACTGATGTCTAAATACGTACAAAAAAATCTCCAAAAGGTCTCTGATGAGGGGCAACGCCGATATGACTCGGCGGTCTGGTTGCAGCACTTCTCTGAATTTGACTCACAGGATTGGGTGTTCAAGGAGGAGCGCTTTGGAGGGGTCATGCAGCTAAGAAAAAATTGGGCCTGAGTCACCTAGCCCAGGGACGCGGACCGGACCTACCCACGCTGTTGCGGCACAGCCACAGGGGGGATATCAATGACATGCTTTATCAACTATCGATAAGACCTTGCAGCTACTGATGTCTTCCCTAGAATTATGCCGACCTCAGGCAGGTTCCAGGAGATTGATTGATTGACCCATAGCCAGCTTCAACCACATTCTCCAACCAGAAGTTGAAGTTGTTGACTTACTCATTGTTGGTTCAGTCCCGGAGAACCGCGTTGCTCTTCACCACTCGGCTGTTGCAAGCCTTCTGCTCTCTTCGCTCTCTTCGATGAGGTTATAACCCTCCAACATACTCTAGTGCTGGCTATTTCTTCATTTTTTCACTTTCGTTCTATCTCGTTCAATCAGGTGAAACCCCCGGACAAGCTTGAAAGTGGTGACACGATGGTGCGCGTCCCGGGATATGCCAAACTGATCGCTCCAAAATCACACCGGGGTCACGCTATCTTCTCTGTCCACGGCAACGAGAGAAGTCACAAGGTGATTGGAGCTTATACATCTGCCCAAATACAAGCAAGGGGTTTTGCTGACCATCCCACTCATAGTATGGACTTGTTGATGTCGTACATAAAACCTTTCATGGTCTTCGACGCGGCCCCCTTGAACTTCAGGATGCACTGGTCGTGCTTGCTTCCCGGCAATACGCTTCCTGGTTGCAGGACAATGAATTTATGGCGACATTGGTAAACCTTTTCCATGGGCGCCCCTCAAACAAGAAAAAGGATAGCCATCACCCAGAATTCAACGTCCTCGCCGCAGCCGTCGACGGTCTGCATCCTCTTCACGCAATGGGCGATACGCCCCATGGATTCTCCTTTTTTTACGGTCCCATGAAGCGTATGATGCCGAACTTGTGGCAGGACGACGGCCAACCAAAACCTTTGCGCGAATCAAAGCTGCAGGCGGCCATCACATTCCAGTTCGAGCACCGGCGCACTCTGGACAAGCTCGACTGTACGCTGCCTCTTGCCAACACCATTTTCCAAAATGGACTTCATTCCACCTTGTTGGCGAGCCGCTGGCGTCGACCATCAAACAGGGCCATGCCGGAGTTGCTTCAGATCAAAGAAAAGCAGTCCCAGGAGGTCGCCTATTGGCCTCCGAAAAGCGCTTTAGATGTCTATGTTGATTCTCCAATCGTCCCGATCACTGTCCCTCGCGAGATTGTCGCAGGCCTGGGCAACATTGTTAGTCAGATCAGTGTACAAGGCCAGACAATGCCGGCTTCGGCAGAGCTCGAGACAGCCGTGAACGAGCTCTACGCCAGACGTACGAAAGAAGGGCACGAGTTCCCACCGGGCCCCGTAGGAGTCTGGGCTATCGTTGTGCCAGATGGCCGTTTTCAAAAATCAAACTTGAAGCTTTTGCGGGAGTGGACGGGGGACTTGAATCGAATTCAAACCGCGTATGATGAATGGATCGAGGCTCTGGCCTTCAAGGATTTGGTCCAGCAGCTCTTGCGAAATGGCAGTAGGGTCTACAGGATCCGTAAGTTCGACATCAATCCTGTTCTACATACATCCCCACGATACTAACAAGTGCTAAGTGAGCGGCGGAGGGGGGTGGGGAAAGAAGCAAGGCCTCCTTTCGCTGGACCCCGAGACCACCTACTCTTCATCGTCTGAGGAAAAAGACTTGGAGAGCTTCATTCGCTCCTTTGAAAGCCAGCACGACGGGGGTGGTCAGCAAGGCGTGGTTTCCCCGGGATCTTGGATTCAATACTTTGTTTCACCCCCAATGAGCGCCCGACCGAATCCTCCGAGACCGCACGGCGCGACTATGGAAATTGCTCTGGGAGCATCAGAAAGCGCAACGTCGGAGGAACCACCGTCGACCGACGGCCCTTCGGAGTGGAAGGTCATCCCCGAACACTTCGGCGCGGTTTCGAACCATGGGCTCTTCCTCAAACGTGAAGCATCAGGGTTCGTCAATGAGTCGAAACTTGACGTGCCGGGGTCGTGGGTGGGATGCTTAAAGCTGGAAAACCCTTGAAAGAGGGATGACTCTATAACTATCCGTGCAATGGGCACCAAGTCCGTGTATAAAAACACGTAACAGTATAGACTGTGCGATTGGCCATCATTTGATGGGCCTGATTATATGTTTCCTCACTTCTCGTGGTTAGGGATACACCTGGGCGGCGGCCGGCTGTGCGTCCGAGGTGTGTGTGTGGTTTGGACTGACTATGCGCGACAACACGTACAGGGCTGACGCAGTGCTGTAACCCGCGACTCGACCTGCATTCGCTGGATGATCCAAGTGGATGCTTTTCCCCGCGTGCCACTTTCTTTAACTTCCACAAACCTGATCTAAAGTGATAATTCAAGGCAGACATAAGCGGCCGTTAAATTTGAAAAATCCATAACCGCACAGAGAGAACATGGCCACAACAAGCAACGTGGCGCCCTCCAAGGTCGGGGTCATCTCGATCGGCGACATGGGCGTTGGCATCGCCAAGCTTCTCGTTGCCAAAGGCTTCCGTGTCGCAACCAACGTCAAAGGACGCAGGTAACCAACCGCCCTCCCTCACCGTCTGCCGTGGCCTCACTCATGCTTACCTCGCCCCGCAGCGAAGACACCGTCCAACGCGCCCGCGACGCCAACGTTGAACTCTTGGACTCGGACTTGGACCTGGTGTCCCAGTGCGCCGTCGTCCTCTCCGTCGTCCCTCCGCGGGACGCCGAGGCGACGGCGGATCGCATCATCGACGCCCTCGCCGGCGTCTCGCGCGATGCGCCTCTCTACTTCGTCGACATGAACGCTGTTGCGCCCTCGACGTGCAAATCTGTTGCCTCGTCCTTCGCCCGCGCCCGCGTCCCCGCGCTCTTCGTCGATGCCTGCATCATCGGCGCCCCGCCCCGCCCACAATCCGCCCCCAACGCCGGCACCAACGTCTCCTCATCCACGCCTCCACAGGGCGAGGACGGCGACGACGGCTGGTACGTCCCGGGGATGCCCATGTCCGGCCCGCATAAGCTGGCCGACCTCTCCCTTCCGGGGACAGAGGGTCGTGAGACGGAGACCTTTGGCGCCCGCCTCAGCGCCGTGCTCGGCGGAAACCACATCTCCCCCGACGTCGGCGCCGCGAGCGGCCTGAAGATGTGCTTCGCCTCCATGACCAAGGGATTCACCGCCATCGCCACGCAGGCATTCACGAGCGCCCAGCGCATGGGCGTCCTGGACCACCTGCGCAGCGAGCTTTCGGTGCGTCTGCCAGGCAACCTTGCTCGCGCTGAGAAGGGCATCGTATCGATGCCGCCCAAGGCGTATCGATGGGTTCGCGAGATGGAGGAGATCAGTAAGACGCATGCTGAGGAGGGCGGCTTCGGGCCCGAGCTGTTTATGGGTGCGGCGGGGGTGTACAGGGCCGTGGCAGAGGACTCTCCGCTCGGAACGGAGAAGATTGGCAAGAGGAAGAGGGGCACAACGGTGGAGGATGTGGCGGCGGCGTTGACTGAAGGGTTCGAGAGGAAGAAGAAGAAGACGGATTAACGTTGCGTGTGATGCCGCCAAGGGACCACGATAAACCGATGAGAATATGGTTAGATGTTCAATGCAAAGATAGATAAACACATGGTCTTACGCCCTGCGACCCATTTCCTATTCAAAAGACAGAGCTTTTTGTGATAAAAACAGCCCGCCTTGAACGCCATCCGTGTCATGAACCACGTGCTGCCGACCCGAGCCTGTTGCCGCGAACCCATTCGCTCCTAATATTACATCGCCATCCATTATGCGCCATTGCAGATACCGCCATGTTATAAGTTCACCTCAAATTTCGTCCCCATGAATCCAAAGCGCACATTACAACACTGACAACGTCAAATCGCCCATGAGCTTTGCCCTGATTTGGATGTCCACCTCCAAGTTGACTTTCAGGTCTACAATGAAGCCTCGTTCTCCATCATGGACGATGTCGCGTGGGTTCTTGGTTCGCTCTGGCAAGGGTATAGAGAAATCAGGACCGCCAGATGGAAGCTTACCAACCTCCTCGGGTACCCCGCGTAATGGTGCTCTCAGGGAGAGATCTTTTGATGTACGCCTACGAACGGGAGGACGCCTCAAGGGCCGGAGACTTGATGATGAAGAACTACTTGTGGTATCGGTGTCCGATGCAAGCGAGGACGCACTGCTCTCCCCGAGCGGTGGTAGTTTCGTCGGCGCCGTTCGTCGTGACGGGACCCCCGGGCGGAGAGGCACCGGATCTACCAAATGCTCATCGCCCGCAGGCAGTACTGACGCTGGTGTGGCTCTAGGTGCCGAAGGACGTCTTCTTCCAGGCCTTGGCCCAGACTGTGTTGAGTTCGAGTGTTTGGATAGAAGGTCGCGGGGGTCCTCTCCAGCGTCGCTCTCGTGCTCACGATCTGAGCCCTTCAGCACAGATTTGCCCTTGGTATCCGACGTTGACGACCGTGGTTTTCTTCGCGGCTTAGAAGATTGAGATCTGGTCTTCGAACGTGATTCTTGCTGGGAGTTGCGCAGGATAGATGTGTTATTGTTGTCGGTAGATGGCAACGAGCCCTCCATATGTTGGGCTGATTCCATTCCGTTTAAGTGATGGAACTTTCTTTCGAGAGGCCCGTTAATTGGAGATGACGGCGTGTACGCTCGTTAATAGTGTGATGAAATGGTCCAGGATGTGCTGAGTAGCACGAAGACGGTTGCGCATGTCTCGCAGATCCCAGAAAGCAAAATGTAAGAGCCTCAAAGTTGAAACAAACCCTCGTGTCGCGCTCGTGCAGTTGGTTATGTCTTTTATGTGTCGATGGTCGTTCCTACGATCCAGTCACTCGAGGAATGGCGTATGAGCGGCCTGCGTGCCCAAAATCTATGATTTGGGTCGGACCTTATACCAGCAACCGTCATATTGTTGCTTCGCTCTTCGTCGGGCCGTTTTAGTGTTGCAAGTTCAAATGGTACTCCGATGTCTCCGTTTGTGCGAAATGTGGTGTATTCACCGATGGCTCCCCAGTACGGTTGCAACGATTTCCAAGGTTTGGAATGATGGTGGGAAGAGGGAGGCAAATAAGCGCTGGGACCGACCTGGAGGGGAGGAGGAAGACCAGAGGCGCAGACGGGGGACCGGGGAGGAGGCGTGGGCAGTCGAATGTGCCGAACCTCCATGGGCAGGCTCGAATGTGCATGCACCCTGACGTTGCAGCCCGGACGTGCGCTTGGCGGGGAACATGGGCTTGCGATTTTCCTTGGTTTTTGGGGAACGTTGCCAAGTTGCTAGTCACATGCATGGAGGGTCCCCATAATCGGAAACTTGGTTTTTAGTTTGGACTGAAGAATGCCAATTTCTGCAAGCCCGAGGCATAGCTCTTGTCCAATTCGTGATTTTCGTACCAGGAACAGGGCTTGCAGGAGTGGAAACGTTCGAGAAACTGGGACTACGGAGGCAACGCCGAAGAAAAGGTTCCCCACGTTTGACTGGGTTCTTGTTTTGACCTGGGCTACAGCAAATTGCCATCCGGGTTTCAATCCTGCTCTTGAAGGGGAATAGAGTGGCAATTGTTGGCCTCTACAGCAGCTAAGCTAAGGGGTCCACGATGCTATTGGTGTGGTGTAGATGAACCACGTTGTATGGCACTCTGAGCGAATGGCTATCCGCATGTCCGTGACCTGGCATTTGTTCCAGTACATATCTTGTTCTCGCGACTAGTCCGAGACACTGCGCACAGCATAAAACTAGGTAAACCGATCCAGCTTTTACTCGATCATGTCGATATCATCGTGCGTAGCGGGTACAGCGGCGGCAGCGGCGCCGCCGCCGTTCGCCTGAGGCGCAGTCTCACCCGAGTTTTCTCCACCAAAGTAGTCTGCCATTTCGGCATCCAGTTCTTCTTGGGTTTTTCGAGTGCGCCCGTCCTTGCCAGAGCGGCCCCCTCTTCCGCCGTCTTGATCTCTCCCCCCGTCTCTACCTCCGTCTCTACCTCCGTCTCTGCCTCCCCCTTCCCTGCGAGCGCCAGGTCTACGACCGCCGCCGTTACCGCCACGTCGTCGGGGCATGGGGCTGCGCGAGCGGTTTCTGGAGCGTCCCCCGGGTATGTATCTGTCAATTCCCCTGCTGGCAGCTTCATCGACGTCGTATTGGCGCCCAGGCGACAATGATCTGGATCGGCCGCCGGGAGCAGAGATACGTTCGGCCAGGGGACGGCCCGGCATCACTGCTGAGTCGAAAGGGTTTCGAGATCGGGGCCCAGGTCCACCAGGCATGATCGACAACCTGATAGGTTGGCCTGAGACGTGTTAGACTTCGAGCATTGGCACACAGAGACTCAAACCACGTACCGTTGGCGTTGGCGCCGTCAAATTCCTTAACCGCCTCCAGAGCATCCTCGCGGGACTCCATCGTAACAAAGGCAACACCCTCCGAGCGTCCAGCTCGATCATACTTGAGATCCAGCTTGGCGACAGGTCCGATCCTGTTGAAGAGCTCCTGTATGTATCTTAGCAACCCCCGGATCCATTATCCGCATATGTCCAATAGCTCGTACCTCCAAATCCTCCGGAGTAAGTTCGTAATGGATGTTCTCGACACGAATCTTTGCGCTGCTAGAATCTCTGCGATACGAGGTCAGCATAGCTCTGTAACTGCTGTTCACAGTGAGGCTACCTCTGTTCCGGTTCGTCGCGTCTTCGTCGCGGGGCTGGGCCGCGACGGGTATCTATTTACTTTAGCTGCTGGTCACACGGGGTCTTGATACCAGCCAAATCGTACCATGTTCTTCAAACCGATCGTGAACCCATTCGCTAAGTAAGGGTTAGCTGATGACGTGTTTCGGCCTCTTCCTTCTACTGAGGCTTACCTGTCGAGGTTTCTAGGTTCGTCGCGGAAAGACTGTATCGCAAGATGGCGACACCTGTTAGCTAGGCCCTTGCAATTGATACAAACCGCTCCCGGTCTTCAACGGGCCGTTCAGCGCGGACAGCTGCGATAGAATCGATGCCGACCGGGATGAGGGTGAGGGAGGATCTTTCAACCTAGACGATTAAGTCTGGAGATCAAGCATAGGGACAGTTGGGGGCTTGCGCCGTACCTTTCTGACGCCATCGCGGGGGTATTCCTGACGTTCGCGTTCACGTCTACGAGGAGCACCTCCGCCGCCTCCGCGGCGGTTGCGAGAGCCGTCATGCCTCTGTGATGCGTCGAGTAAGCTCCGTGGTCGCATACGGTCCAAGGCTGCGGGTGTTCGTACCTTTTCACCGAGGATCTCGTCAAGGCTGCGGTCCAATTTGTCCGCCATGATGGGTGTCTGGTTAAAAAGATGGTATTGAGAGAATTGGCGCAGCTGCAATTGTCGAGTCGATCAGTCGAAAACTTTCTTCGCCTTAGGTCTCGATGGGCGTAAGTTTCGTGGCAGGATGTGATGGGACAACAATGCTAGTTCGCGACTCGGACACTCGTATCGCTGAGCGCGGATCGACCAAAAGACACTGGGGTGTGGCGCTGCGTGGAGAGCATACGTACATCGTACCTAGGGTGGCTGAAAGCTTGCTATCCCAGCGGGACCTTTTCGAAATCGCTCGCTGTAATTGGCTAGCAGGAGCGCCCATGAGAGGCGCTCTCCAGACTAGAGGTACAGTGGCTGAGTGGATCATACTGCAAGTCTCAGGGGTCCGGTACCTTAATGTCTCCTCGCGGCATTCCACCGTAGCGACTTCTGAGCCATTCAAGGTCTCAGCACTATTCAGCGCGCCCGTCCCGCTGGTCGCAAAATTACAGGTGGTGTCTCGTCTGTCTTTCAGCGCCCTACGTCTGTCTGTTGATGCGAGGCAGGATGGATCCGGGCCGGAGTTAGTCCTCGAGGGGGTGAGGCGCTAGGCCCCTTTTGTCATACCAACTGTAACTTTAGTGTAGAGCTGTCCTCCCTAATGCGCATCCCTTGAATCGATCAGCCCGTCAACGTGGGAATCTCGTAACTGGCCAAATTTCTCACTCCTTCAGCCAGAGACACACGAGAAGGAGTGCCCAGTGTCATCTTCTTCGACCACTGCGCGGCCGCAATTTCCTGCAAGCCAAACAACGCGCAACCCTCTTGAGCCTGTTCTGAACCTCAAGACGAACCACTTATCCGAAAGCTACAACATACCCAGAAGCGCGAAGCCAAGCCAAGCCGAAGGCCGTCGACGACAACCTCTCAATCCACGACCACCTTTATGGTTTTCGCATCCTTCTTCATCACGTAAGACTGCCACCCATGGCTCGCCCCATGGGGTCAGTTCGTTTGAAAAAGGCGAACCCGGTGACCCTCCTTCTTGGCGCAGTGCTGTGCATCTTCATCATCGTCTTCCTCGTCGGGCCCTCCAAGTCGACCACGGCAGAGTCGTCTGGTACCGCCTCTCACCACCTATCACCGCCAACCGCGCCCTATCGAAAGAAGGCAAAGGGCGACACAAGACCACCGCCGGTTGTTCACTACAACCTCAACAATGTTACCATCACAACCGATCCCATTGGCAACCGCGAGTCCGTTCTGATCTTGACGCCAATGGCTCGTTTCTACCAGGAGTATTGGGACAACCTGCTGCGCCTCAACTACCCCCACGACCTCATCTCGCTCGGCTTCATTCTGCCCAAAACTAAGGAAGGAAACGCCGCGACGGCGGCGCTGCAGGATCAGATCACCAAGACACAGCGCTCGGACAAGAACAGCTTCAAGAGCATCGTCATACTACGGCAAGACTTCGAGCCGGCCATTGCATCCCAGGATGAGGGCGAGCGGCACAAGATGGAGAACCAGAAGGCCAGGCGGGCAAGCATGTCCAAGGCCCGCAATTCGTTGCTGTTCACGACCCTAGGACCCCAGACATCCTGGGTGCTGTGGCTAGATGCCGACATTGTCGAAACGCCGCCCTCCCTCATTCAGGATCTGGCAGCGCATGACAAAGCCGTCATTGTCCCCAACTGCTTCCAGCGGTTCATCAACCCCGAGACCAAGAAGATGGAGGAGCGGCCCTACGACTTCAACAGCTGGCAGGACAGCGAGATAGCACAGAAGATGGCCGAGACAATGGGCCCCGACGACATTCTACTCGAGGGTTACAAGGACATGCCAACGTACCGTGCATTGATGGCGTATCTAGGCACCGATGAAAACGACAAGAAGGTGGAAATTCCCTTGGACGGCGTCGGCGGCACTGCATTACTCGTCAAAGCGGACGTCCACCGTGACGGCGCCATGTTCCCGCCCTTCTCCTTTTACCACCTGATTGAGACGGAAGGGTTTGCGAAAATGGCGAAGCGACTGGGCTGGCAGCCGTTCGGGCTCCCGAACTACAGAGTAAGCAGACCTTGGTCACCGTCGATTGGTTCATTATCTCACATTTGCGCAGGTCTATCACTACAATGAATAGTGGTGAGGTGCCACGACGGTCAGAACACACACGTCTACCGCTGTCTTTACGGTAGCCAAAACTCCTCCAAGAGCACCGACAGCAGCATCACGAATTTACGCGCGGGTCTCATAAGAAACACATGCCTTTTGAAACCATTGCACAGATACCCCTTTTTCGTATATTGCCAAAAAAACCCATGATTTCATTCAAAATATTGGCGACAGAGAAAAAGGAAAAAGGGGGCAATGGTGGTGAGAGACAGGCGTTCTTTGTAGCATATTCACACAACCCCATCCACCCATCTACGTACAGCAACTTCCTACACACTTGGGGTTTTCCTCCCTTTTCCTTTTTTTTTCTTCCTTTTTTTTTCGATGGATCAGGAGTCTGGGGGTTAGGGGATAGCCGGAAGGGCTGGACTTGAGCGGCTAGGTAGCCTCATGACATGAAGGCGGTTGCGTCCGAGGGGTGTAAGAGTAAATACGAAAGCGCCAAGGGACCCAAAGAAGGGTGGCGGCGGAGATGGGTAAGAGGGGAGGAGCATTATGGGATTGCGCAACATATCAGCATTAGAAGGAGTCTCCTATCCTTCAAGTCGAGAGCTCCGGGCGTTCTAGACCAAAATCATATGTTATCCAACAAGAAGAAGAAAAAGAAGGCCCAGTCCATGTTTCTTTTCGTTTGTAAGAATTGCGCTCGCCGTATTATACGCATTCCCTTTGACCCGCGCGCCACCATTCCCGCCCAAACACAAGTGACGATAAATCTCCCGTAAATAAAATAAGAAAGAAAACAAACACCCCAGCACGCTTCCAGAAACCCAACCCATATTACTCTCGATTTCCTCATCTCCGGATAGTAATCGCCCGAAACCCCGTGTTCCGACCCAATCCTCCCCGCTTCCCCTGTGCCCGCCTCTTAGGATGACAATCTTACGCAGGATACTATCACCCCGCGACGCACAGGGAAGCGCACGAGTCGAGACGCCAAACGAACCGCCCTTGTGCACTACTGCCCCTCGTACCTCCCCTCGTCATCGCGGCACCAGAACTCGACGAGCGCGCGGGTGCCGAGCACGTCGCCGCCGCGCAGCAGCGCCGCGACGTCGACGTTGAGGGGCGAGTCCGTCTCGGGATACGCCAGCAGCGTGCGCACGGCGCGCACGCTCTCGAGGACGCTGTAGGCCGGCGTCCAGGCGTCCTTGAGCAGGTCGAGGCAGATCTCGCCCGTCTGCAGCGCAATGTTGGCGTGCACAACGGGCGTCACGAACCGTATCGTGGGCGGCCGCAGGGGATAGTCCTGCGGGATCTGGATGGCGAGGAGCCAGCGGCCTTCTGTTTTGAGGGGGAAAGAACAGCAACACGTTAGCCACCGTGACTCAGGGGGCGTTTCCACCTCGTGGCGTAGGTAGGGAGGGATGCGACGCATGCCCTCTGGCCGCGACCGGCCTCGCCAGAGGGGAAGCGAAGGAGGGAAAAGGGGGAAGAAGGATGGGCGGGGGGTGTTAAAGTACCATCATATCCATTCCCAATCCCCCGTCCGTTGATCACGGCTTCCCAGGTGAGAAGGTCCTCGTCGTCGACGGGACCCAGCCTCTCGATCCCCCGCTCGTCCTTCTGCTCCGTCCGCCACACATCCAGCTCCTTGATGAGCCTCTTGATCGCGCCCCGCCCGTCCGACGATTTGGACTTGGACTTGGACTTTTTGTTCGCACCCGCAGAGTTCGACTGGGAGTCGGGCAGGTTCTGGATCCGCCACGACATGTCGGCGAAGGCTGGTGGAGGAAGAGCTCTTGTCTGCTCGGTCGGGTGCGAGAGAGAGCAAGGTGACGGCGCCAGCTGCAAGAGTGGACAACAGCAGTGGTCCGAACGCGGGTAGTAGTGGTAGGTTGCTGGTCAATTGGACAGAGTGACCCAAAGCGGATACGATATCTCGCTGTCTTTTCGACTTGGGTTCGTCAAGAGTGAATGCTGAGAGACGAACTGCTGGAGCTCTGGAGACAGGTATGGACGGGGGGTTCACTTTGGCCAGTAACTGGGTCACGCTTCCCCAGTATGCAATTGAGAGGTACCTTGTAACGCGCGACAGCACGGGTGGGCCGCCGCGGCCTCAGCCGAGGTCTACAGGCGTGGACCGGCCTTCTACCTTTAGTTTTCGGGCCCTGATCAACTTCACCCGTCGTGCCGAACAACCTTACGTGTCAAAGTCTCATGAATCGTAGCCCAAGCTATCGACGTTCCTCACCTTGGAACTCTCAACATCTCTTTACTACCGTGTTCTCAGAAAATGTTCATTAATATTTGTCTACGTCGCGATTTGTGCCATCTTTCCATCATCTAGAGGACTGAAACAGCCAGCCGACCAAAGAACTAAGAGGGGCGCCACAATAGTGTACCCCGACTTGTCTGCCTCGCCATGTTTTTGCCGTACTAAATTCGCTGTTCATCCCCGATATGTCCGAGTTGGGAGACGAAATCAGTGAACCACATGTTTCCGCGCCTCGCAGTTGTCACGAAGACATACAGCCGCGTACCTGCTATGCTCATGCAACTTGCTGCTCATGCTATCATCACAAAAAAAACGCCTAATCCATGTCCCAAAGTATTTGGCCCGTAAGTGCTGCTCATTCCCACAGGCATGCAGGGCTTAGCAACGAGCAATAATTGCTCTTCCTCAATAAATAAGGGCGTGATGGACTTTTCAGTCGCCAATGAGGCCCACAACTGAGACGTTTAACACCCCCGTTCCATGGAGGAAGAACATAACCCCGCCGAACGCGTCCGACGAGAGAGAGTGCGCAAAAGGTTGTACAAGAATTCCATATACATGCGTCGTGAGGCCACCTTTGTGATATAAGGTCGGGGCCGAGTGGATGATGACCTATCACTCGGTCATTGCGAGGAGGGGATTGGGCGAAATGCATTTCCCGAAAGAAATTCACGCTGCAGTGTCATCCTTGGGCTTCCAAAATCGCATCATCCGGCTAAGTCGCTTCGATTTGCTCGTTTTGTTCTTCTTGTTCTCACCATCGCATGGGACTTCCATTGAGAGCTTGCTGCGTTCGCCGTGAGAGCTGCTGATAAGCCTGCTTAGACTGGCAAGACTGGATCTGCGGCGGCCAAAGGCTGCCGAGGATACTGAAACTGGCCTTTGCTGATCGGGCCGAATGGGATCCTGTCTCAATTGACTGCTGGCTGCAAACGAGCTGTCTCTGGTCATGGTTGAGTGACTCGACGTCAATGAAGGAATATCTACAGAGAGCCTGACCTCCGGGCCAGGCTCCCCAAGTAGCAGTGATTGGAAATTGTTCTCTTCATTGACCGAAGACGGGGCCGTAGAAATTCGCTGCGCATCGTAAGACATGGGCGAACGAGGCGACGGGAATGAGGAGGCGTGACTCATTGAGTAGGGACTGACAGGAACATGAGAGGGGGTCGGGAGGTGAAGAGGACTGACGTCAACCGGAGACAAATCCTTGCTCGCAAGAATTCTCCTCGGCGAGGGAGTCGCGGAGGCAGTCGATTCCGCCTTCTCTTGGAAGACAGAGCTTGTGCGGAATTCAGACATCTCCGGAATGAGGGGCTCCTCGACAATTACGTCGTCTTGCAAAGAAGCTAGAGATTCCCCGGATTTCATGCTAGCGGCCACCTTAGTCGCATCCTTGTCGGCGGCGGCAGGAGCTCCGCGGATGCTCGCATCGTCTAACGCGACAGGCGCAATATCCAGTATGGGTTTCTTAACGGGGTTGGTCGCAGGCGGCGTGGCCTCATCACCGGACGATTCCTCGCTATCTTGCGCAACCCTCCTGCCGCTGTTGGTGTGAAGCGACGCGGACTTGCCCGTGTGTTCGTCGTCTTCCTCATCCTCCTCGAAGACATCGGCCATGGTTGAGCTGCTGCCAAAGCGGTGGATCCCAAAGCGAGCAGCCTCAAAAGGTACCATTTCGGGAGCACTCTCGGCGCGCCTATGGTAGTGCATTCCTGGGCCACTAAAGCCTTTCATGCCTTGCGCGCTATGAAGCTGGCGTTTGGTAGAGGCGGCGGCTCGCTGAGCGGCATCCCATTCAGGATTGTTGCCTAGAGGTGTGTTGAAAGGACCTAGAGCAGCATCCAAATCGATCATGGGGAAAGAGGTGTCATCCTGAGCCGACAAAGGACGCGGTTTCCACTCTTGCAAGTTCTGCGGTTGGCTAGAAGTGTCCGTGACCACGAGTGTCGGCGTCACCGGCTCAATGTTGACTTCGGGCTCAGTCATTAGAGTTTCGTCCTTTGGTTCAGTGATCTCGAATTGTCGTGCTGAGTCGCCTGAGAGATCCAAGTCCTTACATTTCTTGTTGCGCGGCTTGCTTTTCCGCGCCAAGATGGACCCCGCCCAGTTTTTAACCTTCTTCTTCTTTTTCGACTTTTTGCCGTCAGGTCCTTGACCGTCTTGCTCCGAGATGCCTGCAGTCGTGATCGGATCTGAGACGTGCTCAGAATTAGAAGAAGATGCCGAACTGTGAGGCTTGGATCCGGAATCAGAAGAGCTGGAACTCAGAGGCCTTACGCGTAGCGGCGATGCAGCGGCGGCAAAGGGGTCAAGTCCAAAGAACGACCACCGCTTCGGGGTCTTGGTTGGGCTCGGCATCGGAGGGCCAACAGTGCCCGCTTCCGGCAAGTTCATGAGTGTGGGAATCGAGTTCCTTCGTCTTGGAGACGCGCCCACGGATTGAATGCTCTGGGATCGTTCGAGGACGGCCCCGGCAGTGCTGGGTCTCGATTCGTTGGTCTGCCGTGACGGAGTGAGCACGAGAGGAATGACGGGCTCGTTTTCCGCGTTGATGGTGGTGGGAATGGAAATGATAGAAGATATGCTGCCAGACACAGAGTGTCCACCAGGTCGTGCCGTCACGGTGCTAGAAGTATCACTAGACACCATTGATAGGGGGCGGGGAATGAACTCGAGAGTGTCAGAGAATCCAACACGGGCACGGGTCACAGGCCTCTCAGCGGGTAGAGCTCTGTCACTCGAAGTGCCTGAATCGGCAGTCACGGGCCTGGTGAGCTCTGGTGGTACCCTGAGAGCCGGCTCGGATTCGACACCCTTCAGCGTCTTCCCGTTCAACCCTCCGTTCTCATCTCCCAGGCGCCGGTCATAGTCGGCTGGACTGGTTGGCGCGCTATTACCTCGCATGTTTCCGGGTGCTGTGGGCTGCACGATGAGAGAAAGGTCGTGGCTTGACAGTGCCGCAGATCGTCTGTGGGCGTGGCCACGGCGGTTGACGGGTTTTGGGGGTGGGAGTTGGAAGTTGGGGGATGCGAAGCCACTCTCGGATCTTGTCGGGCTTGTACCCGTCACTGTGATAGAATCTCCAGAACGGATGCTTCCTCCGACAAATTCGCTTCCTCCTCTTCTGTGTCCGACCCCAGTTGGTCGTGAAGGCGAAGGCACGAGTCTGGGGGACACGGGCGGCGGGGACAACGGAGGGCTAAGAAGCGAGTTGGTATCCGGCGACAGCGAAGCACCCGGGTTGAATGTGAAGTTGGGGAGTAGAGGTGATCTTGAAGGTCGGTCGGCAGAATCGGCAGCCATGCTGAAGGTAGACCGGTCATGAATCTCGATCGCGGATAATGGTCGTCGCCCCGTTGCTCTAGAGATAGACGAAGGCGCAGAGGCGGACGATGGCCTTGCCGGGAAAACAAAAGGCGGATTCGGCAAAGGAGGCATTGTTCGAGGGGAGCCTGGTCCTGAGAAGGGTATTGGGGAGGAAGTAGAGTTATCCATCATTACTGGGAGAGAGATGGCTTGCATCGAAGGCTGGTCCAAAACCTTTGTACCGGCGGAACCCGTCATAGTCTCAGGTCCAGCAGTCGTTGCCATGTTTAACTGAGCCGCTCTGCGGCTACAGGATCGGTCAGCAACTAGAAGAAGGACATATAGAGGGCGCGATTGCGAGATGGCCGTCGGTGAGAAAGGGAAATCGTTTGGTTCTTGACGCGGACAGCGCGTGTCGGGCGATTTGCAGAGGCGATGACGGGGTTGGTGATTAATTCTGTTGCATCAACGTCTAAGCAGACAGTGGCCTTTTATAGTGCGAAGCGTTCACTACACGAGATTAAAGCTTGAGGCCGCTGGGCGGGTAGGCACGTTTTCGTTCGGAGGGGGGATGTCGAATGCGGCGCGTTGACGATGGGAATTGGACGAAATTGGCGTTCACGATTGCGTACGTGACAGAATCGGTCGACCAGGTAAGACAAATGCTATTTATCGAAGATGAAGGTTGAAAAGGTTGTTAAGGAGCGGACGGTACAAAACCAGAAGCAAACCTGCGAGATTTACAGCTGGAATTGAACCACGAAACAGAAGTCAGTGAACGACGACGGCCTCGAAAGGTTTGGGGGGGGGGAAAGAGTTGATAGGAATAAGAGGGGGTTGCGACGCGGAAGACTAAAGAGAGGATGAGATGGATGGGTGGACTTGGGGACAGACACACACACACACACACACACACACACACACACACACACGCACACGCACGCACACACAACACACACACCAACGAGAAGCGACGAGTCGGGTCCAGCGGTTGGGGTGTGGATGATGGGGGCAGGGGGTGCACAAACGTGGACAGGGAGGGGGTGGTGAAGGGAAAATCTCAGTTTGGTTTTGACTGACTGGTTCGGGGAGAAGAGGGAGCAGCGGCAGGGACACGCTGACCAGGGGTGAGATTGTGATTCCAGCAAGTCAGTCAGGACTTCTCCAGAGCCCGGACACAAGCAAGGCAGGGACAACCAGGGGGGGCTTGCTCAGGTTGATGGGGCAGCAGCCGTAGCGTACTCACACCCAACACGCCAAAGAACAAGCGAGCAAGTACTCGACAGCGCCATGAACCGCCAAAAGGGTACATGCGCTGCTGCGATACGAGAGGAAGCAATACGGCGGTTACAGTGTACATATCAGACAGTGGGGGGGGGGGCCAAAGGTGCGTACTCTACTGGCAACATACCAAGTAGGTAGATAGAGTTATCGACCTACGTAGTAGTAGTACATACCTAGGTAGGGCACGGATAGCCTTCTACAAACAGAGTACGGATATGCGTAAACCTATACTACGTGCACACGGCGCCGAGTGCAACATCCAGTTGCCATTGTTGTTGACCTACCTATCTAGGCAACTCATCGGGACTCGTAGTTTACAGGTATGTCTCGAAGTCTGATCGACGAGCAAGGCATCCCTGGACCGAATCGTGACCACCGCTGCGAGGAAGACGCTCAACAACAAACCCTTTGCCCGGCGCCCGAACCCATTCGGTTATTACCTAGGGAGGTATCTTTCCACTCGACTTGTCTATGGCATTCTCTGTCTCCGTACCTATCTTGGACGCACCTGTAGCTATCCTAGGTCGTAGCGACTGGACGGGCCCTGGCAGATACCTGCCTCGCCCTGCAGCTGTACCTGCACTCCCTCTTGTCAACCATCCACTCAAAGCCGCCCAGCTCCTGGGCAACCTGGGCAACTGGCTCATGGTACCAAGGGGGGGGACTATGCAGTAGCGTATCACGACACCACACCTTATGCTAGGGCAAGTATTCGCGTCGCTGGGGCGAGGGTGGTGAGGTGCTGGTTGCCACACTTTTTGCTAATCCCTTTGGTGCTAACGGGAGGAGCCACAGCAGTTCGTACTAAGAGCCGGTACTAAGAGCCGGCGGCCGTCGTTGGGTGGCCAGCCACGCAGCCCATCTCTCCTGAGTACCCTTAGCGGTCCGACATCTGGTCATAAGGCCTCTGGTTGGCGTGGTTAGTCTGGCTAACTGGACGAGGTTGCCCCCCTCCCCCAGTTGCGTTGCCTTCAAACGCCGTTTGACTATTCTCTTTCATTTGTCGCGAGTCCATGGCCCATTGTGCTAACCTCTTGTTCTCGACAAAGCGAATCTGCCTCTTATTGGAATGGCTCTGCAGATAGTCTGAGACTATATCGCCTAGTTGGCGGATCTGACGATGGTTGGGTCGCTGCAAGTCACAAAGGAGCCTGGAAAGGCAAGTGGGCAGGAGACAGGGAGTGGAGGCGCTGAGAGCTCAGTGCACGCTGTGTCGTGCTTGTTATTTTTGCTATTCTGTTTATCAAGTTTTTTGCGAGTTGCGGAAGCCGCGGTATCCTGGGCTCAATATTCATGTTTTTTCTTTTGCAATTTATGGCCTTCCCAGGCCGGCCCAGGAGCAGAAGGGGGGATAACACTGACAAAGATATACCAATACAGCACACAGCTAGCTGGCAGCCTGTACCCGGTGTTTCTTTTCGCCGCCCAGAAGTGGCCGACCAGGACAGAAACCAAGACAAGATTGCACAAGCATACGAAGAAGTCTCCCTTGCCCAGGGCAGTCAAAGAAATGAAATAGAACAAAAAAAAAAAAACCCGCAAGCATAACGGCTCAACAACATCAAAGTTCTATGGGCCAGTCAGCTAAACCCACTGACTACTTGCTTTGAGCACCGCCTCGGCTCAGTTTCGCTCAGCTCGGCTCATCTCACGGCCACCTCCGAGGGTTTGATCAGGTGCCTCTTGGAGATCTTGAGAGACCTAGACCGATGCTGCGACCGACGACCGGATGAGCTGCACATGGCAGCTGCGAGCCAGACGAATCATCGCAACGTCTCCCTCCTTGGCTAACAAACGCCATGTAACAACGGCTGCCAACAGCTTCTGCAAGGTACCTAGTGTACCTACCTAGGTACCTCCAAAAACGGCGTTGGCGGCGTCGGCGGCGTTAGCTCCATTGGAACACACCCCCTCCATCACCATCGCTGCCATCCGCCCCTTGCGGCACTTCTGGGAGGAAGCCACCACAACAAGCCTTGACATGGTCAACAAGAAGAGACGAGACGAAGAGAAAGAAAGAAGAAAGTAGGTACCTAGGCACAGGGCCAAAGTTAGGCCGAGTCTGTGCAAATCATGTTATGATTCTGGTCAATCTTTCCCGGGTTCTACGGCCTTGCCCAAAGCATCGGAAATACGCTTTCGCTTCGTCCTAGAACAGGACTTGTCTTGGGTCTTTCAATCCCGTATCCTGAACACCTTCTTTTCTTTTGCCCGACCCCGGGTGACCCGGGCAAGTTTCAACGCCCAACAAAGACACCGCCGGACCCATTGCCGACTCGATTCAACTCGACACCTGGGATTCGATCAACGTCTCCGGTTGGTTCCACCTCGATCTCCATGGCCAGAGCAGAGCCAAAGCGGTCAGGCGATGTGTGCGGGCTCAATGGGGCGTCCGATTGTGGCTTTACGTACCTAGTAATACCGGATGGCAGCATGGGGCGCTGGGGCGGCACAGGAACCAAATTCCTCCTCCGCGATCAAATCCCCATGGTGGCCTCTGACTGGTTAACGGTCTCGAGAACGAAGAACGACGGTCAAGGGTGCAAAACGCATGTGCCAAGGCCCTCCTTCCCCCCTCGTCACTTTTATCCCACTCTTTCTCCATTGCTGGGATTGCTGGACATCAGAACGCCCGCGCACCCCCAGGCGGCAGGCCCAGAGAAACGAGAGCCCCTCCTCCAAGCCTCAAATATACCCCTCCCATTCTCCCCGTATCAAATCAATCGGCGAGATGACCGATGGCACTCGGAACAGATCTGCTTGCTTTTTCCTCTCTTTCGCTTCCTCCTAGTAGTACCGTATACACTGGCTTAATCCGCCCACATCCACTTTGAAGGCTAACCGTACGGGGTATAGCGGCCTTCTATCAGCTAAGCCTATCATGGTAGGCGGTCAATCAACCCACCCACCCATCCACCTACCCAGTCAGCCAAGCTTGCACCCAATCTTCCTGCTGACGTACGTGACTGCCCCTACTTTTGCCAGTATCTGATCTAGGTTTCTGCCAGTAAGCTAGACCGATTACAGCGCCCGCTATATCCATTACAGTTAGCCTATAAAGTGGATGTGGGCGGATTAAACCAGTGTATACGGTAGCCTGCTGAGTATGTAACCTAGAGAGAGAAAGCCCTGGATGCCGAATTATGGGACCACGGCTGCTCATGGTAAGCCATCGAGTGCACGCGTAGGTGAAGGATCAAGTACCTCGCGTTATAGGAGGCGTTCCGAGGGATACGGGTAGTGTTGTCAATATGCTGCTTCTGTTTGGCTTTTTCCGCCCTGTTTTGGGACGGCTCAGTGCCCCCCCTCCCCCTCCCTGGGCACCGCACTTGAAGCCGGACCTCGTCTGTAAAGTGTCGTCTGGAGCCGGTCATAGCAATAACACGCCGGGGGAGGGGGGCATACATCGTACTGTACATGGTATGGTCTCTAGATGATAATTGGCAGCATACAAACGCGTATGGGATGGGACGGGATCAGTACCTTATTTCTCCCATGTTTCCCGTATTTGACGCCCCGTTCCTGATGCCCCCCCTTGGACCTCCTTGTGGGGCGGGGGGCATGTCACGGTGTTGGAGCTGATGGGGCCTGGAAGAGGGAGGGAGGCAACACAACGCAACCCCAGAATCGGATGCACTGATGACAGACCAGAACGGTGATGCACACCACTTCCTACGAAGTGTGTCTGTATGCACACGGCGCCCGTTTACCGAAGCACAACGGCAAAAACGACGGCGTCCAGTGCTTCAACCTCGCATGTCTCGTCCTCTAGCACACCTTCAGCGGCGCAAACGGCGATGGCGGTCTTGTCGTAGTAGCTCTCTAGTGGCTTGCTCCTCTACACTTGCAAGTCTGACAGGGGAACAAAGGCGTCAGCATCGCGTGGCATGGTTCGAAAGTTTAGTGTTCTCTTTTTTTTTTGTTCTTTCTTGTCATCGTTGCCACGGCTGGGAGCCTCATATTGACTCGGTTGCGAAGACCGGTGGAAAGTTTCTTTGTGCGACGCGGCGCCGTCACCCCGCGAGTCCACGACAAGGACTCAAGAAGACGCCAGCGCGCATGCCCAGCTTGCTTAGTGCGGCCTAGCCCTCAGCTCTTGACCCTTCACTTGTTTCGAGTCGGCCATTGCGAGCGACGAGACCAGCGCCGCCATCAACAAACAGACGGCCACCCCCCCCCCCCCCCCCTTCCCGCCCGTTGCTAGCCGACCACCCTATCTAGTAACCAGTGTGCTTCTGTACCTACGCATTGGTGCCTTTTTCCCACCCCGTTCTATTCGTACACTGCACGTCCAGGGCACTACTCAGTTTCTCTCACTCACTCACCCTGAGAGTTGCAGATGTAGCTGCATACGAGGTGCAGATGATAACCTCCGCGCCTCCGCGTCGCCCCAAGCACCAACCAGAGTCGGGCCTGTCAATTGCCATGTCGCATCCAAGCCCACCACGCGTATGCAGCTCGCAGTGGGCACAGACGGACCTGCATGACGCGACGGACCAATTGAGGAGGGATGGCGGCTTGATAAGGACGAGAGGGATTTTGCCTTGATTCGGCACATTGGGATCTTGGTCGACACTTGGGATAGCATACACTAGGTACGACGGCATAGCACATCGGTTTGCAGCTTAAGATGACATGCCGACTCGCATCGAGCCCGCCACGAGTTAAGCAAGAAACTTGCATGGGGAAACCAGGAACAGTTACCCCCTTGGGAAGCCCTCATCTCCCGGCAGGGGAGCAAACTTCTCCTCGTGACGATGCTTTGCCTCCTTGATTGGAACCCATCCCCACCAGCCCGGGGTGCGCAATCCCTAGGTATTATAGCAGAGTCCCATTTCGTTCTGTTCCCCTTGTCCCCTTGTCCAATGTTGTTTCTTTTCCCCGACCTCTTCTCCTCTCATGGAGGCTCGCCAGTCATTGCAAACGTGGGTCCGGCCTAAATAATCCTGACTTGCATCATTTCATATCCGATCCGATCTGCCAAATGCTTCTAAGAATACACATCTTTCCTTGCCCACGCCAGCCTGTGGGCAGTGGGTGGCCCTCCCCGGCGACCGCAACGGTTCGTTGGCGGCAAAGCAGAGCGCACCGGACTAGGTCGAATTGCGGATGACCCAAACTAATTTCGCCTGGAAGATGACCTGCCGCCGCTTTCAACCAGCGACCCCACGCCCCCTCAGTAATGAAAATGGAGCGAACGATGGTCCAGTCATCACAAAACTTGTTGGATACCGCCGCGGTTCAAAATTTGCGCCAGCCACCCAAAACCCCTCAAGTCTTTACCAAGTATCCCATCAATATTCACCGGACATCCCTGCTCGGCTGGTTAAGAAGTCATCAGCGAAGATCACTCGAGGCCTTCTCTTCGGAAACCTGGGGTTGCCATCTGGGATATCCAGGTTTGGGCAGTGCAGGGCACAATTAGAGAACTGCCCCAATGGATCCCGCAACAGGGGTCAAGACTCCGGAATTCGATATGCCTAACCCAGTCGGTAACTGGCAGAAGGAGGAAAAAAAAACATCTGCCTGGATCATCTCGGCAGCCTCGCGCGCCACCGGAAAGTGTGGGCATCAGCCGTCATCTGTCTGGCTGAGACAAGAGAGCGAATTTGCAAGTCCACTTCGTCTCGTACTTCGTTTCCGTCCAGATGGATGCTCATCCGTCAGTAGCATTTCTGCCCGCCGTGAGGCAGCTATGCCCATGCCAACGCCCATCTGAAGCTGGCCTTGTCCGAGGCATAAAACGACGTAACGATGTAATGTCTCAAGGTCAGGCCTAGCCCTAAGCCACAACCGTTGGAACAGAGCTGTTGGCGGGTAGGAAATTTCTCGGGGCGAATATCGGACACCGCATCAAAGGGCCGAGATATCAAATGATCGGCTGAAAGGCCTCCAACGCGTCCCACCAGATGTATTCTACCCGAAGCGTAAAGGAAGGGACATAAGCCGGGTCGACTCCGACGGAAAAAGCGAACAGAACATAAATCGCCGCAGCGATTGCGCACCACGAATCGTCAGCGGGAAGCCGGAGACATACTCCCTTGTTTGCTGGTCGCATTGATGCCGCTTCTGTCGCAAACTGGTCAATCAATTGGTTGTGCATTCCCACGCGCCCCCTGGCTTCCGGGAGGAGAAGGACCCCTGGAGAGCAAACTGCCGTCAGCCACATGCACGGGTCCTTAATATATGGGGTCGCACCGCCACGTCTGCTTTTGACTGGCTGATCGACAGCCTTGCCCCCTCCCACTCGCCGCATTCCAATCAGACGTACCTAGAAATTTTCTGTCCCGACAAGGCAGATTTCAAGCCATCTACAGAACAGTGAATCTCAACTACGCAAATTAACGTTCCTACAGCTTGGATCCCGCAATTCTTCAGAAGTTTGTCATCATGTCGGCTGCGGAACCCCAAACCACCACTGCCGTTGGCAACAAATCTCTTGGCATGCGGAAGAATGGTATCTGATCAGCTCCATTCTTGGGCAACCTGGGCTTCAGTGAACTAACCCTGTCTCCCTTCCAGGCAAGCAATGGCACGAAACGAAAAGGGCTTTTAGGCCGACGTCAGGGTTGACCTCATACGAGAAGCGCGCCAAAGACCGTGTTGCGATGGCCGCGATGAAGGCCAAAGAGAAGGAGATGAAGGACGAGAAGGAGGCAGAGCGCAAGGTGAGTTGCACCATCTGGGCTGTACTCTATCACAGGCCGGCGAGGCTGATAGTTGTTTCTAGCAACGAATTCAGACCATCAAGGACAGAAGAGCCGCCAAGGAGGAGAAGGAGCGTTACGAGAAGATGGCCGAGAAGATGCACAAGAAGCGTGTGGAGAGACTCAAGAGGAAGGAAAAGCGGAACAAGCTCATCAACTCATGAGCTGCGTTGCGGGTAGGCCGCTGTTGGAGCGGGCACTGCGATCGAATCTCGGCGCCGATAACCTATCAGGAGAGGCAGCACCGGTCTTCCATGGACAGAAACCGAAACATATTCGGGGGAGGAAGGAGTCTGGTCTACCGCGCCCTATTTTGCACAGCTTGGCGAACAGGATACACGTTACAGGGGCTCATGCGAGGGCGAACGTTGTGTGCCAAAAAGGCGGCTCCTCCTCCTCGTCGAGACACGAGGTTGCGACAAGAAGCGACATACAACAACCATACGGAGGCCAGGCTCAGGGCCGGTGGGTGAGGGGGAGGATGAGCCAAACCTTCGAAAGCATGTGTACGCCTGTACTACAGAGACGTAGCCCGATGAGGCTAGCCATCCGAGCTTTTTCAGTTGGTGTCATCAGATCAAAAGGAAAAAAGTAAAGAAAAGGCCAGATGATGGAGTGGAACTGATCCAGACAAGGGGTTCGAACCATGGTCGCATAGTGTGCATAGACGCAATAAGCGCATAGCATGAAGCCTCTTGATGTTATTTCTTCTACCTCTTGCTTTTTCGTTTTTGATTACGAGTATGCAAAACCTTGTGAGCGTGCTAGTTGTGAAGTTCAGACGACGTTTCATGACAATGGACGACTGCATGTGAAAGTGCGTCATTGGCCGAGAGAGAGCGCACCGGCCGTCAACCAGCTTTCGCCTCGACACCGTGCACATTCCACCTCCACGCCTTTCCACACCGCGTCCTGCCCTCCCATCTGCAAGGAAACAGCCACCAAGCAAGCCTGTCCATCGCCCATCTATCAGACACACGGTCAAAAGCATTGACCGTCCCAACAGGGGAGCCAAGAGGGGTGAAAGTTTACCTGGGCCCATCCCAAAAAGCGGTTGGTCGGCAGCTGCGCACTCACTGGCGCGTGCGGTTTGCGCGCGGCGGCCGTGGTAGAACGCCTTTTTTTATCAAACTCATCCGAAAGAGGGAGAGGGCTAAAGAGAGAAGAGGGGTGCAAGAAACAGGGTGAAACCATGTCAGCCAACGACGGCCTCGAATTGCCGTCGGCGTCGGCCTCGACGTTGGCGACGGCAGCCGCCCTCGGCAACACTCTCAACAACCACGACCACGGCGGGGGTAGCAGCAGCAGCAACAGCAGCAGCAACAGCAGCAGCATCAACAGCAATAGCAACAGCAGCAGTATTCAAACCCACAGCAAGAGCGGTCACGACGAGAGAAGACCCTCCGCACTCGCCACCGCAGCAGCCCAACTCCCCGCTCGGCGACCGCGGCACCAGATCACGCGCTCCATCACCGAGTTCTCGCCGCCGCTCAGGATGCACCGGCATCGGCACAGCCATCACCACCACCCGACGCAGCACGCGCTGCACCTCAACGTGCAGAGCCGCCGGGACAGGGACAGGTTGCTGCTGCTGGACGAGAGGGCGCCGGGCCCCGGCGCAGGCGGGCGAAGCTCGCTTGACATGCCGAGGTCGGAGCATGTGACGCCCAGCAGGACCCCTGATTCGAGCCGGAGGACCAGCGCGCTCGTAGGGCCGATGATTGGCGGCGGAGAGAACCCAGCCCTGATCACGTCGCCCAGGAGGACGAGAAAGGTCGACAAGGCGGCCGTGCTGTTGGAGGAGAAGAACCGAACGGCAAGCCGGGTCACGTACGTACACACACACACATCCTTTTTTCGCGGGTGAACAATCAAAGCCATACATGGAAGCTGACTCTCCTTCGTTTTTCCTCACCACAGGGGCCTAAAGAACTCACTGGTCGAGCTCAGCGGGTTTTCGACGGCAACGACGCGGCGGCTAGACGAAACATACTACTCAGTGCTGGAGAAGAAGAGCATGCTGCAGAGCACCGTCGCAGCGATCCAGGAGCTGGCGGTGACCTCGCGGCAGCTGATGGGCGAGTTCAAGGAGCAGGCCGAGGAGATGGAGCGCGACGTGGCGGCGCAGCTCGACCAGTTTGGGCAGTTCGGCGAGCAGGAGGCGCGGATCGCGTCTCTGCAGGGCCGTGTCGAGACGGGGCGGGCGCGGATCCAGGGGCTGAGCGGGCGCGTCGACGCCGTGAGGCGGCGCATCGAGGGGTGGGAGAACGCAGATCGCGAGTGGCAGGAGAAGACTCGCAAGAGGCTGCGAACTATATGGATCGTCATGTCGGTCGTGTTCGCCGTGCTCATCGTGCTGTTCGTCGGGGCGCACTACCTCGGCGGTGACAGAGGCGCCGAGATCGGTGACAGAGGCGCCGAGATCGGGGGCGGGACGGCCCTCAAGGGGCTCGAGAGGGGGCTCAACAGGAGCTCGGGGCCAGGGGGGAGACTTCTCCCGTCGCTGTGGGAGGACCGAAACGAGAGGGAAGAGGAGGACCGGCTGAGGGTGTTTGACGAGCTGTGAAGACTCGTGTGGGGGGGGGGGGGGCGTGGTATTGTTTCTCTCTCGAGACTGCAGGGAAGGATGGAAATTGCATTACGGCTACCGCATACTAATATTTGATACCCTGGAAAGAAAGACGTTTGTTACTTGACACCCTCCCACTTATCGCCTGTGAGTGTGTTGCAATCCTAAGCCAGGGACAGAGTCTCCCATGCGTGTTCTGGTGTGCCACTCGCTGCAGCAGTCAACTTCGCCCCCCCTGAGCATAAACCACGATAGGAGTCTGCGCATCAAAGGGGGGTCCTGTGAGGTGTTTGCCATCATATTGGCCCTTTGCCAGTGTTGGAAGGGCGTATATATGAGGCTTCATGTAGTTTATCTCCTACCCTGCCATGCTTGGTGGTCATCGATATGGTCTCCTGTTCGATGTTGACATGTCTGTGGGAACTGTGAGAGTCACATGGTTTACTTTTCCATTAAGCCCCTGGACAAAACTCTCAGTCCACCTCCTCGTAAGTCTCTGGGCCGTGTTACCCCCGCTGCTGCTTCGATCGAGCCGGGCACCGCTTTGAGAATGTCTTTGGCGGTCAGATGGGCCCGCCAAGTCGAAGGGTCCTTTACAGATGCCTGCAAACCACGTCAGCGCGGGAAACGCACATGGCCAGCCCTCCGGGATATGGATGCCTGACGAGCCGCTACGATGAAAGTTTAGCCTCACCCGTGGCCCTCCCTCCTCGGATGGACTGCCTTGTCAGATGAACGGAGATGGTTGAGCAGTGAGCTGCATGGAAGCCCGAACAGAACGAGGGCCATGCCATTCGTCGGCTCTCCAGGTAGCTTCGAAGGCAAAGCAGACGAGGGTCGTGAATCAGTGGAATGTGGCTCAGGTGTCTAATTAATGGTTATCCAGGGGGTTTGGGGAGCAACAGATAACCGCATCAAGGATGCTGGTTGAGATTTATCTCCATTCTACTCTTTGCTAATGAGTATACACAAACACACACACACATACACACACTATATATACATACACATATACAAAGTGTTATCTAGATAGCGAGCACCTGTCTCTATGATTCGAGAAGGTATACTGTTTAGTTCCTATGTTTGTAACATTTCGTAACTCGGAATGTTGATCAGCCAGGGCGATAACGACGACCTGATAGCATGGCCTACATAACGCTCATACTCAGTGAACCCGATATCAACAATGTGAATAGAGAGCCTACCAGATGGAGGAGGGGCCAGAAATCCTTGCAAGATACAGAATGCTGCAAAGGCTTCCGAATGAATAGCATGTCGTGTGTTTGCATAGACCCGCCGCAGAGAGCGGGTCTGGATTGAAAGACCTCAACCCGTTGAAAAGGGAACTCCTGCAGTCACCACCAGCTAGCGAGTTACGGAGCATGAGTATACAGTGACGTTGATACGGCATGGAAGGCACTCCGACTACCTGGGTTACTGCGTTTCGTTGGGCCCGTCCAACGCCTACATAGCTAATCTGCTTTTTTTTTTTTTTGGTTTTTTTTCCCAGGTCGACGTATTGTACGTAACGGCAGTGGTGTGTTCTGGTCTCGTCACACGTATCTGTGGCTGTCTCGACTCATCTTCCCTTTTGCTTCGAGTGCCGGATATCGTATCCGGTCCGAGGCGCCATTCACACGTGTCTAAAGTAGTTGTTCACGGACGCTGTGTCGACGACTTCGCACTTATTCGTTCGTGATAAGGGCGTGGTTATTGACGACACAGACCAGCTGGTGATTTGACTGGCACAGCCGGATCCAACCAGGGTTTGTATGAGGCTGCCTGAACGTGCGAAACGAAACGTCTCACTTGACTTGTTTGGATCAGCACACAAAGCCGTACTGAATACGGAAACACGCGGCAATGAGATGGCCAACCTCGGCCAACCCCATCATCCCCCCTTGGGGAAGCTCCGACCCCTCCATTCTGCCCCGACGAGGAAGCAGAAACGGACACGAGTGGATGACGCTGACAGACTGCCATCACCCCATCTCGTCATCGAAGCTAGTTGGTCGGTCGGTAGTACCGGTAGCGTGAGTAATCCGGAGTCATCAAGCCAGCAGCAGGCCACTAAAATGGTTAAAATGTTATGCGGCACAGGTATGTGATATGCCGTCCCGGCGAGCCTTGGGGCCGGGCAGGCCGAAAGGCGGCTTAAATGAGAATTATGCACATCGATGGCCCCCGTTTATTTTCTCCTCCTTCCTTACCTCCTCTACGATACTTACCCGAATGGGCGCCGCTCCGAAAAGCCGACGGCGCGACCCCACACCCGTGCGTCCACGTTCTAAGCGTCCCGGCAACCCGTATGTAGCCGGATAGGCACAGGTAGGTATTGCAGCGTTGCTAGGGCCGAGTCCCGTCACTTCTAGGCTCTCCAAGCGGGTTTCGTTTCATGGACCGAATGGAGGCTGCGCCCGGGCCCAAACGTAGAGTTTCCGCCGGCCGCGGGTTCCAGAAGCACCGTCGTGGTCGAGCTTCTGTCGTATCTGGGGGGTTACGGCGTCAAATGGAGGTTGGCGCATGTGGAGACGGAAGAGGACGAGGAAAACTACTCCCTCTGGCAGGAATCGATAACGAACTAGCTAGGTTGGCACGGCAGTGTAAAACTAAAATGAGGAAAAAGTCAACGCAACGAACGGTCGGATCTCCGTTGGCAAGTGGATGCGGCGGGGGCAGGAAATCGTTGTATATCATTGCATTAGGTATCAAGAACTATCCTATCCGCACCTGAAGAGCCGGAGAAAAAAAAGGGTACAGTGTCGAGCGGATTCCACCTGGCGCTAGGCGTTGATTGTCCTGTACGACAGACAGCTCGGTCTCCTCCGGAGCCAAGGCCCAAGGGAAGTCGATGGCGACAACGATTGCGCGTCTGCGGGCTTGGCCATGGCAAGGCTTGAGGCCGACTGGCCTTGACAGCAAACAATTGTCCCCGTAGTGGGGATAGGGCTTTTCCCACGCTTGTTCGGCTGTTTACCTAGCTTGGTTTACGTACCATGTAGTATTATCATACTGGGGTTGGATTTGGGGGCCGGTGAGTCAACGAGAGCGGTACGGTTGCATGGTTGCATGGTGCACCTTCTGCAAGTCATGTTCACTGAGGCAAGGGACTGCCCTGTCGCAGCACTAGAACATGAGAGAGAGAGAGAGAGAGAGAGAGAGAGTGTGTGTGTGTGTATGTGTTTCTGAAGGTGGGAGAGAAACATCAGTTGGACACAGACAAGCCTACTGTATCCGTAGACGTGATGCAATGCCGAGAGTTAAGGAGCCAGGCAAGTCGAAGAGGTGATGTGGCTGAAGTGTGTGAGTCGTGTCATGGGAATGACGGCTGCACAGCGAGGTGAAGGACCATGTCTTGAGTCGATGTCTCGGCAGCCAGCTCCTGGCCCAATGATTGGGTGGTAGGCCTGAGGAGGGTGCCGAGCGACGTCATGCACGCCCCCCATGGTCAATATTCGACAGCAACCAACTACTGTCGACGATCGTCACCGCCACGCTCTCTCGGCGTCACTCGGGCCTCAATACTCGGGAGTTTAAGGTATTTGTTGCACTTGGAGGGGGCTCGGCTTGCTGCGGTGCGGTGGCTAGCCTTGTTCGAGAAAGACGCAACTCAACAGTCATGCGCAGTTCGTAGCCCGCACTACCAGTACATCCATATTGGGAACATGAAGGGAAGGGAAGGAAAGATGCGGGAGTAGACAGAAGGGGGCTTGGGCTGTTGTTAGTCGTTACGCAACTCAGTCATCGCTGACGTCTAAACCAACTACTCTTCCCACCACTTTTTGTCCCTATCTTCACCCCCGGAGGTTCCACGGATCTCACGCCCACTCTTACTTATTAGCATCGATTAAGCGTCGCCTTGCATCACTGGCAAGAAGCCATCTTGCAAAAGCAGGACCTTGAAGTCTAAACAAGACACTGGGGAGGGAGACGCGAGTCCAAAACACTCCTCGTCCTTTTAGGGTATTTCGGCGCGTTACGGAACGCGATGCGTTGTTCAAGCAAGCATCCTCCCCCCTGCTTCGTTTTAGCTGCTTTGGTCGGCCGGTGGTTTTTTGTTTTTTTAGCCCCCCACCCCTTGTTCCGGCCAAACGACGCTTGTGTGCCGTCTCTCCGAGCTAAGATATTCAGATATCCATTGCGCTGGCCTGATGCGAGAGGAACCAAAGCATGCCAATCTTTCTGCCCCCTCCCTTTCCTTCGCCTAGGTAGGCGCAGCTGACTTTTGCGGTTGCTGCACACCCCCAAAAGTGTTCAATGACAGCCCTCGCTTCATGGCTCCTCCGACTTTGGAGAGTTCATTTCGTCTCGTCTTTCTCCGTGTCACTGTGCCGTGACCCCTCCGTTGGCTGGCCCCGGATGCCCGAAAAGACCCTCAATAAGCGCTGCAAGTAAAGAGCTAATGAACGAAAATAGGGAAGAGAGCATCTGAATCCAGGGCAGATGAGAGAGGGGCTAGGGACACAAACGAGTAAGCCCCCCTCCCAAAGACGGCAGAAACAGCACGCCGAGGTAAAAGCCTAAGCGGTTTGGGCAATAGCCTAAAAAAAGCCCTTTGGCCGGGTTCCCCCTTTAAAATCACCATAACCCTGCGAAAAAGGCACCCCCGCGACAAAGACATTGACTGCCAGCTACTCCGTCCACTACCTACCTACCTACCTACCTACCTACCCACCAACGCCTCACTGCTGCTTGCAAGAGCTGTCGTCGGCAGAAACGCCCTGGACTACCTACCCCGCCATACGCGCGTTACGTCGAGTGACCCGACGTCCAGCGCCCCCACTGAAATCTGGGCCCGCACCCGGCATCCCCCCGCCGGGGCCCCTGCCCACTGGATCTGCCGCGCACTTTGGGTACAGGTACCTGGTAGTGTACACTGCCTTAGCTTGGCTAACCACCTACCCGCCTACCTTGCCTCAAGTACCTACCTAGGTGCCTAGCGCACAGTCACCTTGTACCCTGCCGGTCTTGTACCGCTCTAAATAGATTATTACGTCGGGTCCCCTCTCTGTCTCTCGCTCGCATTCATCCCAGCTGTTGCTCTGACGCCAGTCAGCTTGTCCACCACCTCTTCCGACAAAGTCCTCATCCTCCCAAACCTGCAACACTCATCTTCTCCCTACGAGCTTGGCACCAGGAAAAGGGGCATCATACCATCACTTCGCCGGCCTTGAGAGTGGTCCGAAGACGCAAAATGACGGCGCCCATGGCTTCGACATCGCAAGAACAGCTGCCGAATGGCACTGCTGTAGACCCGGCGCAAGCGGTCCCAGCACCGGCCACCAGAGTCGAGCTTCCTGTCCGCTCAAAGAGCAACATGTCCAACCCCCCGCCAGGCCAGTCCTTGACGGGCAAGGAGGAACATTGTACGTGATCATGCGGTTGGTGCTGGAACGGAAACAGCACAGATTTGGCTAACACTTACTTCTACTAGACCTCAAGCGCGAGCTGATTTCAGAACAAGTCAAGTACGAAATCTCCGAGCTCAACTCCCCTACGGCCCTCAAGCGATTCGGCGCCCCCTTCAAATCCGACGTTGGAGAGGTCTCTCCCTTGGATTCCGAGCTTCCCATCCTCCGCTACATTTTTGTTCATCATGTCCGCGATTTCCCTTTCCTCGACAAGGCCAGAGAAAAAGAGTTCTGGCAGGACAAGCTCCAGGTCGTAAGTACAAGGGCCTCCCTCGCTGCCCGGCAGTGCCTTGCCTCCTACTCCAGAACCGCCCTGCTGATTCACCGGTGTCTTCCTATCCGCAGTTCCTAGAATCCTTTGCGACCAAGAACATTTCCTCCTCCGAAGACAGACTTGAAGAGACCAAGCGGCGCAAACTGGCTATAAAATGCCAGAAGCTTGTCGAGCTGATGATGGTGTCCGGCTGCAAGACCTCCTCCGGCTTCGAGGAGAGGATACGCTTTTCCGAGATCGAGGTCGTCGACAGCAACGCCATCGAAACGGGTGTCATGCACGCTGTACCTGAGGGCAACTACATCAACGGCTGGGATGTGAACATTGCCGCCGTCAGAATTATGACGGAAAGGAAGACTATCAGATCACACAAGCACGCTGTGAGTCTACCCTTATCATTGCTCGCCGGGGCGGCTACTAACATTGCGAGTAGGAATTCGTCATGCGTATACACCGCAAGGGTGAGCTTGAGTTCTTCATCGGTAGACGGTACGGTGATTTCGTTAGGCTGCATAAGAGGTTACGCCTCGAATTGCCCGGCAAGATTCTACCCACATTGCCCAAGAAGAACAAGTCGGACACAACGACCTCCGGGCTATTCTCCCTGACTGGCGGCGGCAGTCCGGATTCTTCTGCATCGTCCGTGTCGTCAGTGTCGACCATGATGACCGGCCTCACACCACACGAGAAGGAATCTGCCAAGTTGTCGGTGCTAGGTGAGCTCTCCCCCTATGTTTCCCGTATTTGTGCAATGTCTAACGGAAACCAGGACACAAACGCGCAGCCTCTACAGCTTCCAGTCGCAGGTCACCTCGCGTGTCAACTGACAGCAGGCCCAAGAGCCCCCTGCCGTTCCACACAAAGAAGAATGGCCAGGTGACGTTGTGGCGTGAGAGCCAGCGCGTCTCTCTCCGGGCTTTCATCCGCAACCTGCTCTCCAACCCCCAGATCGCGCAAACAAAGGCCATGGAGGAGTTTCTCACAAGAGACCCGATCACGCCGACTGATGCCGATATCGACGACATAGAGCGGAGAAGGGCGGTCGATGCGATGCGTGTGGAGGAACAGAAGAAGTTTTACGAAATCGCAAGGAAGCGTGCGGCCGAGCTTGATATCTACATGGAAGAGTATGTCACGTTACATGCTGCTGTGATCATCCTACAATACTAACAAACTTTAGATTCCGCCAAGAGATTGTTGAGCGCAACGGTCTGACCTCGCTGTTCAAAGAGATCAAGGACAAGGAGACAATCCAGGACCTGAGCATTCAGTACAGAAAGTTCGCCGAGTGGCTCCGGATCGAGGTTGCTGCCACGATATACCACTTGTTCCTGGCGGAGGACAACTCTCCCGAGCTGTTCGCTCAGGCAAAGAGGATCCACTCGCTCATCCCGTATACCGTCATCAAGAATGTCATCAGGATTGCGAACCCAGCGGCCGTCATGTCTGGTATTTTGGACGTCTTCCTGGCGCAACCTTTCGGCACCCGTTCGCTGCTGCAGCGCATCTTCTCGCTTACGCTCAACGACGGCATCAAGAGCTTCCAAAAATCTATCGACACTCTTGCCGCTAAGATCGGCGACGAGGTTTTCACGAAGAAGTTGAAGATGTACACGGAGGCCGAGGAGCATATCAAGCTTGCCATCCGGGAAGAGGCCGCGGCTGAGGAGATGGACTTGATTGTCGTCATTCTGCGTTCTGACTTCCTTGAGCCTAGCTTGACTTCGGACCAAATCGGCCGACTCTACAACGCCTACGTAGCCTTCAACAATGCTGTCGAGAACATCGATGAGGAGCTGAAGCAGGGAGCCCAACTCTTCTCTTACCTCAAGCAGTTCTTGAAGCTTTGTACCAGGCAACACGACAAGGCCATGATGCTGCAGCTTGTGGAGGAACCGGTCACGCTCCAGCTGTTCCGCGACCTCTTCACCATCTTTTACGAACCCCTCGTCCGGGTATACAAGTCGGCCAATGTTTACAGCAGTGTTACCGACTTTGCCGTGTTCATCGATGACATGATCCAGGTAAGCAGACTTGCATGCAGGCTATACAATCGGGCGTGTACTAATAGGCTTTGTAGGTCGTGGAGAAGTGCCAGGAGCAAGATGCGTCGGCAGACCCGAACCAGACCGTGCAAGCGTTCATCGACCTCTGCCAAAGACACGAGAACAACTTTTACAAGTTTGTGCACGAGGTACACACCCACGACAACGGGCTCTTCGACCAGCTGATGGGATGGATCGAAGACATCCTAGAATTCCTCAGAAAGGGCCCTAAAAACGGCACTTTGAACATCAATGCCCTGTTCGAGGGAGGCGTCAGCTCGGGCATCATCGACAAGGCCAAGGTCATCGAGGAGGTTAACCAACTCATCGCATGGCAAGAAGCCAGGAAGAAGTGGCACCATGACAAGACACGACAGAAGATGGCCGCCGAAGGAAACGGGGGCCCGGATCTTGCTCCCACAGGCTTCTCATCGTCAGACTTTGGCCTTGATCAGATGGACCTGGAAGACATGGCGTACGACGATGATGACGAAGAAGAGGAGGAGGCAGAGGAAGAGGATGAGCTCGACCCGATCGAGGCCGAGCGCCGCCGTCGTGCCAAGAGACGCGATAGACTTCGCCGGAGCGCCGGCGAACCGACTAAGCCGCCCGTCTCCGAGATTCACAAACTCAAGGAAAATTTCCTTGTCATGTTGCGCGAGGTTCTTGCCCAGTAAGCTTTGTTTATAGAAGCATGATATCCCTGGCTCGTAACTTGGGTTCATACACTTGGTGGAATTGTGGGTGGCACATTTTAGGGCATCGGGCCCCATGGATTCGGCGTTTGGTATGGAGTGTTGTCACAATACGGAGTTGTATTTTAAGGCTGTAAGCCGTCCGCGTGCCCCGATCTTGCGCGTCAAGTTACATGCGTTGTCTGGGAGTCCGTATGTCCTCCAGGGCAGCCAACAGGAAATACTGACTGTTTCGTTCGATCGAGGCAGGAGCCGTTCACCTCTGTCGCCAAGGCTTATGAGGGTAGTAGTCACTGAAGAATGTATCATTATCATTGCCGCCATCTGCCCGCTACCTATCGTAGATACGTAACACGGGGTGTGTTCCTCCTCAATTCCAGAACTCCGTCCCGAAACACTACCGCCCCCCTAAATCCCAATCAGTGCTTCGAGTATAGGTCCATCATGCCCGCCTTGAAGTCGGCGATCTCCTCCCTCTGCGCCCGGGTCCGCGCCTCCAGGCTCGCCACCCGCTCCTGCAGCGCCGCAATCTTCTCGTCCTTAGCCTTGAGCGCCGCCCGCACCGTTTCCCGCCCCCGGGCCAGCCCTTTCGCCTGCATCGAGAACCGCCGCAGCACGTCCCCGACAGCCCGCGCCGTCGCGTCGTCGACCTTTTGCCCGGCCAGCAGCGCCAGCACCTCCTCGGTCGGGTCGAGCTGCTCCTCTCCCCTGGACGGCGTCGACGAGCATAGCCCCGCGTCCCCGGTGGCGGTGCTCGTGCTCGTGGAGAAGGACGTGTTGGGGGACTGGCCGGCATCGTCGTGCCTCGGCCGCTTGGCGTCGGGGAAGAGCGTCCGCGTGACCGTCTGCGGCGTGGGCAGGGCGGCTCCATCCCGCACCGTACGCTGCGCTGCAGGCGTAGACGGCGACGGCGGCGGCAGCGGCGGCGCCGCACCACGAAGCTTTCTGGCGCTGCGCTCCATGGCTTCGTTCATCGCCCTCTCCTCGTCCGACGACACGTCGCCCAGCCCGTACTCGTCCGCGCCGTCGTCCGAGTCGAAATCGAAGAGCACCCTTTTTCTCTTGGCGGGACGGGGTGATGCCTCAGCCCCGGCCTCGTCCGGTGGACCGTCTGCCTCGAGGGCAGCTTGCGTCTGTCGGGTCGTCGAGAAGTAGGTATCCAGGAACTTCTGCCTGGCGACGCTCCTCTGCGCAGAGGGCGACGGCGGCGCAGCTGTTGCCGCGGCGGTAGCGGGCCTCGAGGCGTTCTTAATGGCGGAAGCCGTGCTCGGCGTCGGAAGCTGCGCCGTCGGGATGGTACCGGCAGCGGGAGCGCCGTCCGTCGGCATCGGCGGCAGGGTCAACGTGGACCCCTCGTCCCGGTTCTTCGCGTCCTCCTCCCAGAGGAAGAAGGTACACCCGCCCCGTCTCTTCTCGCACTTGTAAAAGAACCGCCCGTTGTTGGCATTCTTCTTCTTCACCTGGAGGTGCGCGGCCTGCTGCCGCGGCGTGCAATTGCAGTACCAGTTCCCCTCCAGGTAGAGCCCGTCCAGGCGCCTCTTCTGTGACGGGGGAGGCGACGGGGAGGAGCCCGTCTCTCCAGCGGTGTGCCGGCCGCTTCTGGGGGTGTGTGTTCTGCTCCGGCTTGCGCTTCCACCTGCGCTGCTGCGGCTGTAGTTGCTGTTGTACATGAGCCGCCGACCGCTGCCCCGCGGAGTTCGGGAGACCATCTTCGCAAACAGATGGGGGATGGTATTGCTTCTGTTGGTGGTGGTGGTCGTGGTGAGGGTATCAGCGGTAGCTACTGCCGTGGACGTTACTTTCCCTTTAGCGCCGTTGCCGACTTTAAGGTGCGGATGGATCCACGGGAGCCGGCGGACCATGTGGTAGGTCAGAGTCCCGGTTGTCTTGGGGAAATGGTTGGTTTTGGCGGCGGGCGGTTACGGAGGTGATGTCATAACTGGTACCTGCCGATCTCTGGCCGTTCTGGTCTATTTCTGCTAGAACATAAAGGCGATTTTTTTCTTCTCTTTTTCCTTGTGTTTGCCGTTCTTCTCCAGATTGTCGCGGGGAGGGAGAATGAGGCCTTGGAATCCTGGATGCAGATAGTTGTTCGATCGACACATAGCCAGCATCGGTCGTCGGAGACCTGCCCCGCCTGCGCAGCTCCATTTTATTTATTGGATGGCTGGGGGAGCAACCGAGTGGGGGTCCTTGGGGGTCGCCGGGTGATTTTTGGGGTCTCGCTCTGGCGGGACGGAAGCTTTCCCCGTTCACCTCAACCCGGCGCAGCGGTACCTGCTGCCGCGCTACCGTCCCTTGGACCCCTGTTCGTGAGAGACATTGATTCTTCTGAGGTCACTTCACATTCCCCGCCTTGGGTACCTTGTGTACCTACCTACATAAGGGTGATTCAGATCGGTTGACAAGTCCCGGTCATCTTCTTACGCTTCGTGAAGTCTGAGAAATGAAAGCTGTCTGCGGTCCAATTCATCGAACGTCACTTGGGCTCCCCGAATCATGCATTCCGTCGTATACATTGCGGGCCTCGTTCGAATGTCATCGCATGGAAACCTAATAAGTCGCTCCATGGTGGAAAATATTGACATGCATTAGAATTAGAATGTACCTGAGCGAGTCCTCAAGACCTGCGCTTTCGAGGGTATGTAATGAGAGCCCTGCCCACACTAGTATTACCACACACCAACGACCATTCCAATACGCAGCCAGCCTCCTCGCTACTTTGCCCACCACATCAGAGAAACCACGTCTACAAAATTCAAGCCTCTATGACCAACGACGCAAACTGACCGCTCGCCATGCACGTTCTGGGCAGCGCAGCCAACTTGCTGTAGAGTGTCGTCCCCAGCTCCGTTCGTCACATTCCTAACCAGATGAGCAGTAGAATAAGGCGGGTATATGTAAGCCAAAAACAGCATCACAAAGGAAATCAATGGGAACAAGAAACCATCCCCTGCTCTCAGTCCCATCCATAGCCTCACACCTCGTAAAAATAGTCCTCGTCTAGACCGTCCCGACTGGGAACCATCCCAGCGCCAGGCGTCGGCCCGGTGTAAGCAGCCTCTATCCGCACGTTCAGCAACCTGATCTTGAGCCCAAAGTCGCTGACGAGATTAACAAGCTTGTTCGTCTCGGCCGTGATGGGCGCCTGGTTGAGCAGCATCAGAAGGCCATCAAGCCACTCTGAGGCCAGGCTGTGCGTGACCGGGTAGAGCGTCAACACCGCCTGTTCCTTTGCATCGCCGCCCTTGGCCGCCTCGATGGGGTCGACGTAGCTGAAGATGGTGATCTTGGTTGTCGACTTGCCCGTCGCATGGTTCTTGAGCGTCGAACTGCTAGTCGCGCTGCGAGTCTCTTCGTTGGGCGCTGAAACGTTGGATACCACCGAGCTAATGGTGCTGAGATCGACCTTCTCCGTTAACACGTCGAGACCTAGGTCTTGTGCTGTTTGCGTTTCGAAGTCGGCGTAGTGGAGGTACCGGCGGTTGTGTGATAGCTTGGCGAATCGCCAGGGCCGGGGTGTGTATAGACGACGCTTCTGTGGCTCGCTTTGGGGGTTGGTATCCCGCCGGGGCATCGGTTTTGAAAACCACGAGCCCTGGAGCAGACATCGGATCCGCTGTTCCTTGACAAACTGGAGAGCCTCCTGCCTCAACTCGTCGCGGACCTGGTACAGATGCTGGCCCCACTGATCTTCGAATGACAGTTCTAGGAGTTCCATCTGCAGCTCTCGCAAGCGGGTGCAGTCGTACTCCAGAAGCTCCTCCTCAACCTCTATCACGTCCTTTGTCCTGCTGGCCTGGCCGACAACTTGCTCGATGAGTATGCGGACCAGCTCTGCCACCTTCTCGAAATCGAACTGCTCTGCGGCCGTCGACTTCCACACGCGGAAGAAGGCCTGCAGCCCGGCCGTGTGGAGTCTCGACCATTGGAGGATGAGTGGGCGGAATAGTTTTTCGTTATTCTTAGCACCATCCATGCCTTGATAACTCTTGGTGTCCTCGACATCCGATTTGTCAACCTCAAAATGGTCGTATAGGATCATCGTCACCGCGAGACTTGCGCGCGCGATCGGGCATCTCTCGTTCTTTGGTTTCGTCGACTGCTCCAGCAGCATCTTCTGAAAGCTATCTTCGTTCTTGCGCACGTAGTCTGTCAAGTCCATCATACCCAGGAAGCCAGGAACTTCAAACTCTTGCGCGGGGCTCTCCGTTTCGAAGCCCAGCCTCCTCCACTTCTCTGGGTTGTGCCGCCGGCTTCCCCTCTTTCCAACTTCGTTCGGCTCGTCCGTTCGAGATGTGCCGTTGACTTGCTTCTCCGGGTTGCTGGCAAGGTGGAGGCCCTTGAGTCCCCGTCTGTGTTCGGGCCGCTCAAGGTCAACCCTGACCTCACGCCATTTCCTCAGCAGGATTTTGGTCAGGGACTGGAATTCGAGCAGAGGATGCGCAAGATCCTGCAGCGAGGAGCTCTGCATCAGGCTGTACACCGCCTTGATCAGACCAAGATCCTGCAGGCGTTTGATGAATTTTGACCACTCCTCTATCGCGGGAGAGCCCGACCGGATGGAGACACTACTGTCGCTCGAGATGGAGTCCCGGATCATGGCGTTGATGAGCATGAGGGCATTGCCACACAGCGCGTGGTCGGCCGACTCAAGCTGAGCGATGACGAGCTCAAAGAACTGCGGGTAGACTGCAACGGCCGGTTTCAGGGCCCGGAAACCAAATGAACCCGGGGTGCGTGGGGTTGACGGGCGGGAAGACTGCGTATGGCCGACGAGGGCGACCAAGATCGACATAGCGCCGCGAAGAATGTTGACGAGTGGGTTCGTAACGATCAGTTCGACGATGCGTTCAACGAGGTCACCTGAAGACGACCCCTCAAAGATTTCCCAGCCCATGTCAACCTCCAACAGGCGCGTCAGACTCTGTAGCGAGTACGCCAAGGTGTTTCCTCCTGCACTCATGATGAGGCGTCGCAAGACAACCAGACCACCTGAGGATATGAAGACGTCGGCAAACGCAGGATCGTTGATGGAGGACTGTAGTTTGAAGACGGCCATCTTCCTGGCTGCGTCCTCGTCGCTCGCGAGGCGTGAGAGGAGGGCTGGGATGTCGGCCTGATCCATGGCGGCGGCGTGTATGCACGGAGTTCGAGACTGTTTGGCGTCGGCACGGAGACCGGTGTCGGGATAGAGAGAGACGTCAGCAGGAAGGAGTGACTGTCGTCTTCAAAATCATGGCCCGCAGTCGTCGTGGAAGAAGCAGCGCCTTCGGCCAGGCTATATAAAGCAAGAGGGCGTCTGGGGTATCGATGTCGGACGATGTGCGGCCGAAGGCCCGTGTCAGCGAAGATGTAACACGGATAGAAGCCTCTGCAGATCGTTCTCCCACACGGGTGAAGTGAAGAGGCGTCAATTGTGTGTTTAAAAAAAGAACTTTAGTATGGCGTCTTCGGCGAGAACGGGAACATAAAAAGTATACCAGGATGGACAGGAAGAAGATGGTGGTGGTGGTAGACTAAAAGGAGGGAGGGTGTGCGTGCGAGGGCTGTCGCGGTATCAGACCAGATGTTGACTTTGGTCCGCATTGGACGCGCACGGGTGGGAAGTTTGCGCATGTCCTGCAGGAGGTGAGAAAAGCGCAGATACGTATCGTGTACGTACCTGGATCAGCAAACCTCCGACCGGCCTTCGGTTTCTGGGCCGTTCGCTCTCTTCACCCGAATGGGGGCTAGCCGATGTACGACTGCCTAATTGCGCCAATGTTAATGCACGGCTTCTGTCTGCACCCGCTATTACCAATGGGTGGTTCCTTTTTGTGGGTTGTTGGAGGGTACCTAATCTGGCTCCGAACCGTGAAGACGGCCGGACCAGGGTGACTGGTCAACAGGAGGATACCTAGCGCGTCCAACGATGAGTTTCACCATGCCTTCCCGCCGGAGACCATAGGTGATTTGCATCGTGTCTGAAGAAACTCTATGGAACGAGGCCAACAGGAGCGACTGTTCGTTGTTTCCTTTCTTCAATGTGGTGCCACCCAGGAGCTCTGACCTTTCAACTGGGAGTTTGGACTCTCTTCGGCAAGACATCGTCATCGAGTGAGTCAACCTTTACATGCAGAGGCTGGTCAGAACGATAGCCAACAGCACAACCACAAGTACAGATCTAGGGACATCGCCATCTCCGAGGATCATGCCAATCAAAGCTTGGGCTGAATCTCTCGGCGTCATCTCATCCTATCCTCCGAGGTACCGAATGACCCCTTAGCGGGTAGATCACTACGTTTCGAAAATGAGGCCAAAGAAGCAACGCTGCCGTGTATCGTTATCGATGGTGACGGCATTATTGTTGTTCAATGCTTATCCGTACTAGAGCGCGGAATGTGCCCTATGTAAGACTCTCATAATTGCTCTGAGGGCTATGGGCAATCCTGAGCAAGAGAGTTTTCCAAGATGAAGATGCCGCAGAGGACTAGAGTAATCCCGATTTAAGGCTGGTGCGTATGAGAAACAAAGGCGTTGCGAAAAATGTTCTAGACCACAAATAGGAAAGGCCCGATACGTAGCTATCCGATACCTGGAATGTGTGGAGACGAGGCAAGAGCAACCTCAAACCCACCACCCATCGCTCGAGCCACCATCGCTCGAGCCACAGCTTACTATTCACCGCGTCCGCCACACAGCAAGCTTCAGCCTCCGCATTAGTAATTGTTGTGGCGCAAGGCTGCTAGATATTTCCTCGCCGTCGCATCGTCGCCATCGCACAGCAGTCCCAACTCATCCTAACGCGGCGCCATATTCATTTCCCTCCCTCGACGGTCAATTCATCCGCGAAGTACCAGCCTTTCACGACCGAACCGGCACCCCGAACACAACTCAGACAAAGACCGATATCGTCCCTTAACACCGCGACAATGGCTAACTTCCTCGCCTCCATCTTCGGCACCGAGCTCGACAAGGTCAACTGCTCATTCTACTTCAAGATCGGCGCCTGCCGCCACGGCGACCGCTGTTCCCGGAAACACGTCAAGCCGAGCTACTCCCAGACCATCCTCATGCCCAACCTCTACCAAAACCCGGCATACGACCCCAAGAACCGCATGAACCCGTCCCAGCTGCAGAACCACTTTGATGCCTTTTACGAGGATATTTGGTGCGAGCTCTGCAAGTACGGCGAGCTAGAGGAGCTTGTTGTTTGCGACAACAACAATGACCGTGCGTGTTGCCTCTCTTTTTCTTCCCTTTCCTCCCAAGCTTCCCATGGTCGTCTGCTCGAGAAATATGCACACTGACTGACGGGTCGCAAACAGACCTCATCGGAAATGTTTACGCGCGCTTCAAGTACGAAGACTCGGCCCAGAAGGCCTGCGATGACCTCAACTCGCGGTGGTACGCCGCGCGACCCATATACTGCGAGCTCTCTCCCGTCACCGACTTCCGCGAAGCCTGCTGCCGCCTTAATTCGGGCGAGGGCTGCGTCCGCGGCGGCTTTTGTAACTTCATCCATAGGAAGAACCCCTCCGAGGATCTGGACCGCGACCTCACCCTCAGCACAAAGAAGTGGCTCAAGGAGCGTGGCCGCGACGAGCGCAGCCCATCGCGCTCCCCCACCCCGGAGCCCACGCGCCGCCGGTACTAGACGGTCGGAAGAGACGGCAGCGGCGACGGTGACTACTTTGGTACCAACTCCTGGCCGTACTGGCGGCAGCGGCGGGGAAGTACGGCGGTGGGATCTGAAGCTACGGATACGACGATCCTTATAATTCCTCGTCAATCCCTCCCGATGGTGCAATTCCACAGGAGAGTAGTAATGACCTCACCGAGAGCTTTTTACTAGGGACTCGCGCGGCACTAAAGGAGGAGAAACTCTGCCGCCGAGGCTAGAGGGACGAGGCGGAACCCCCTGGAAAAATTGATTTGATACCCAACCCCCGTGTTTTCTCGTCTCGACTGGGTGGATTGGACGACCTACAGAAAAGCGAGAAAAAGAGAGGAGAGAGAGAGGGAGAGAATGTGTGTGTGAGCAAGAAAGCGGCGTTCAAGGCGTTTCGAGGACGAGTAGTATTACAGGGGACTTTTGAAAGGCGGGAGTATCATGTACAAACCATGTCAAAATAGTTAGTGGCTCGAAACGCAGAGCAACTACAAATCCCACATTTTCCAATTATGAAATCTTTCTCGCAGTTAAATGCCATTATTGCTGGTCCGGAAACAATGCTACACATATCTACAAAGGTATCCCATTTCTACCAAAACCCCCGATTTTCGCCAGTGCACTCAATTCGTACCACGTACGTCTCTCTCCTCTAGTCTGAGATTTACCTCCCTTGATGAATCAAAGGGAATGTGAAAGTGACACAGACTTTGCGTATGACAACCCGAGAATACCTCATCGTAAGGTTTGCTGAGCTTAACTTGATGGCTCCAAAGCATCATGGAAACTATCCTCGCTAGTGTCGGCCCGCTTCAATGGCGGAACGTTCTTCATGTCTGTCGTGAAGTCCATTAAAGGACCCTCGGCAGGTTTTGACCCCGTCTTGTTGAGCATGCTCTCGATGTCCTTGGACCCGCTACGCTGTTCTTGCGCGACTGGAGGAGCAGCGGCCGAAGGCTCAGTGGCTGGCGTAGAGGGTGTCGCGGCAGCGGAGGTGGTAGCCGGAGCATCACCAAAGTCAATCAAGTCGTTCCCACCGTCCTGCTGTCGGACGACCGGGGCCTGTTCAGCCGGTGACTGAACCTCGGCCGTCAAAGGCCCGTGGGAGGGGTCAGCGGTCGTCGCAGATGCCTTCTGTCCTGGAAGAATAGGGTAGATGGCCAGGATCTGTTTAGTTTGCCCCTCCGGAGTCGTGCTGTCACTGCTTGATGTCAGCTAATTGGTTCTAGAGGCACGGGTATTTCTGTTGGCGGATACGCACATTTTAGCGTTGATGATCCATTCCAGCTCTTCCTCTCCTTCGTCATAGCCATCAGGCCCGGCGTGTACACTTCGGAAGAGCCTGGGATGCCATTCTATGCCTTCGCGTGCTCTAATCTCCCGTTCTTCTCGTTGCCTGTCCTCGACCTTTGTCTTCTCGTCTGTTGCGAGCTCATGGTTGCGGTCCTTCACGGCCTGAGCCGTTGCCAGCCAGAGCTTCTGAGACTCCCGCTCATCCTGCTCTTCGATTGGCCGGACCAGAGGGTTGCTCGGTTTCGACTTCCTGGCATTGAAGAACATTTCCTTGTGCCCAGTCTGAAGCTACGTCAGTTGTCGTGCAGTGAGGAGCAGCGCAGTTAGGAGTTTACCTTGACATCCTTGACATACATCTCTTCGCTCCAGAGGCCTGATAACTCGTACAGAACTTCGCCCGTGCTCTCGTGCTTGATGTAACCGCCAATGGCATTGTAAGTGCCACTGACCCAGCCCTTCGTCTTGAACTCGATATCGGCAACCAAATCAAGTTCCGGGCAGCGGACGAAGCTGTGGTCCCCCAGCTCGTACTTCATCTTTCCGAATAGAATGCCTCGGGCGTACATGTTGGGCTGCGTTAGGATGCTGGACTTGGCGTTAGTATCCGATTGTCGCATATCACTTTTTGGACCACATACTATCGTTCGCCCTTGGACTTGTCCTTGCCTCTGTTGAGTAGAGTCAGAACGGCTGTCCCTTCCATCATGCTTGCGGCCGAGTTTCCTAGAAACTTGCTTCTGGGCTTGAGCGTGCCATCAACGCGAATGTGGTGTTCGGGAACCATGTAGAAGTAGCTCGACTTGGGAGGGTGATGCGACGTTTGCTCGGAAACATAATAGGCCTTCGTGTTATCGGGCAAGTCCCAGTAGCAGGTAAATATCTCGCCGAGGATCGGATTAAGCGGCTTCTTTACCCCTCTATATATAGATCAGCGACACTGTAAGCTCCCGCGGGTAGCTCGGGGGAACGAACGGTGGTCGAATGTGCCATCCGCTCAAGTAGAACTTGACGACGGAAACAAAACGCAGCAAAGGGTCGTCAATCTCGGGAATGGGGAGGAGCATCTCGGGGTGGCACATGAAACTGTGGTGAGCGCGAAGGGTCAGCAAAGGAAGCTCCGGAAGACGAATCGGCAGCCTGAACCACTGACTTCGTAATTCTCTCAAGCATGCTACGGGGCTCAAGAATGAAAGTCGGCAGAACAACGCGACTCAGGTCTGCTCCAGGTCGCAGCTGGGAAATAATATGGCCGAGCACTGAGCTGTATGTTAGCCAAGGTGCATGCAAGGTATCGCGCGGGGAAGCTGTTGCGGGCGCGCCGATGTTTCTCATAGAAGCTTCGCTCACCATTACCCTGATCGGGCTCAACCACAAGGGTATCATCATCTTCAGCGGCGGCAGCTCCCCTGGCCTCGTCGACGCTTGACCGGTTGCTAGCTGGAGGGTTGGAGAGCCAAGAGGTCAGCATTGTTGGCGACAACTTTTTTTTTCTCCTGCGACGCACGCACGGCGGGAGGTTGGTTCGAGTAGTGGGGTGAGAGAGAGAGTCTTTTCGGAATCCCGGGAGAGACTCCAAGGCTACGGACGCAACAAAGGAACGAGCGGGGAGAGCAGGAAACAATAACGAACTAGGGGGGGGTGTTGACAGAGCGGGCGCAGTTTTGTCGCTGTAGGAACGACTTGAAGGGCGCGACGGGGAGAGAACGACAGCTATTATGCGTACATTGGGCAAAAGGCAGTTGCACTAGGGCGGATAAGACTCACTGAGGCTGGACGCTCTGGAGCGTCTTCCTGGCACATGGACCAAACCCATGACTGCGACTGGCTCTGGATAGGCGGTGCGTGCAGCAATGCCCCGTCAGTTGTACTTGCGGCCGCTATCGGTCTTGTCGGCGCGCAGCCTGGGACCTTCTTGGCTGGAATTGAGGGGCAGTGGTCCCCAGGCAAGAGAGGCGCTGCTGGTGTGTTTGGATAGGGATAGAGTCGGCAAATGACGGCCCCTCGCAGCCCGGTACGTAGGTAGTTGAGCAAAAAGATGTGGACTGGCGGTAGAAACAGCGGATGGTCAGAACTTGGGGGTGGGAATTTGCCGTAATAAGAACAGTTGCAGGTCAGCGCGCAGAACAATGGTTGAGTTCACGTGGAACAAGGAGATGCCGGTGAAGGAAGCGTCCGAGGGACACGGTTGGCGAGGTATCCGTTGGAAAGCAAGCGAAAGGGAAGATGTCGAGTGAGCGGAAGCCTTGGGTAATTTTTCGAGAAAAGATGGGTGATGGGCCTTATTAGGCGGTGTCTCACTTATTCCTTGCTCGTCTCTCCTGCAGCTGCTGTTGGCGTGTCTAACAGCACAAAGTAGCGAGGGTAGAAGAGCAAGAGAGCGGACGAGAAGGCTAGGAGATGAGTGGAATGGATGTTTGATGAAAAATGTGCCCCGTAACGTCCGGCGTGCCCGCTGTGGCCGTAGGAACAGTCAGAGAATATTGGTTCACTGAGGAACGGCCAGAATTTGGACGAGAATTAAGAATCAGGAGATGAGTTACCGATATCAAAGTTGGCAAGGGCGAATCAAAACAAAGCCATGCCTTCCTTGCCTTCTTGCGTTATTGCCTTCTTGTCCGAGAAGAAAATCTAGTAGATTCCTTAGCAATTTAGCAACATACTATCCGTAGTATAAACGCATACAGGTAGGTACCTAGGCAAGTTGGCGGCAAGGCATGGCAAAGGCAAGGCAATAGGAGGTAGCAGTGTAGATCGCAAATCCAAACAGCACCGCTACCAAGCCACCAAAAGACTGGGTTCCCATGCAATCCTTACGTCGCTGGTAGGGACCCCCACCACCGAGGAGGGGTGATGACGTCGCATCAACTATTATTCTAGGAGGGTTTTTTTTTTCGTACTGGTTCCGCGCACCAATGGCCTAGAGCCAAGTTGGCCATAAGCTGCACTACCTACTGCGGGCTTGGGAACCATGACTGCATGACAACGCAACCGTCTCTAGTTGGATCTATGAGTTAGTCTCCTCTCTCACTCAAGAGATGAATCTGGCTTCCGGCTGATGATGAGACGGGGCTGTTTCCCAGAAATCGAGATGCAGCACGCACGCATCGTTTGCACGGGAGTGCCACCCCAGCTTCCTTCCCCTCCTTTCTCTTCCGTCCCATCCCCATGTCTGATGTCTCCAATACCGCCAATGCCGTGTTACCATGCTTGCATCCAATCACATGCCCACACCAACTCTCCTTACGAGCCAATCAGTCGGTAAGGGTCTCCTCTTCCGTTGAGTGGTTCGCCCACCCATGTACCTCTGGGTAGTCCGGTGATTAGGTAGCTACACTACGCACTATGATGGGAGCATACGTACAGTGAGTGGCATAAACGCCTGACGCAGTTGTATATGTATTACTGCTCTATCATCATAATCATCTCCTCAATATAATGTTTCAAGCTAAACACCGGATAAAGGGAAATGATGGGAAGGGGACATGTTGACCTGGACGGCACATGTTGGAAGAACAATTGGATGAATCAGATGCCAAGTAATTGCTAGAGGTTGCTTTCTGTTAGCCTGTAATATGTCTTTCTCTCGCACGCATCCCACCATCATGCGGGTGGATTGTGGCAGTGCCGTTCATGGCTTCCTGCACAACAGGCACCATTCAAGAAGCTCGTCGACCAAGGTGTGCTCGCAGGTTATTATGGATCCAACACATGAACATGACTTCCCAATCCAGCCTCTCACTCGGACATTTCGGAAGTTGATATGCCACATGCGTCACGATATACACGTTTCGTTGACAAGCTGCCGTCTAGTGTATCTACCTAGAGACGCACTTGCTATGTGTGCGCAGTGCTTATGCTCATCTGTCTGCTACTCCATGTTACCACCAACAGCATATCCTACCAGGCAGACACAAACCTGACCACAACCCTGGTCACTTTGCACGGCTGTCATATAACCACAAAAGCTGCTCGGGATGCTCTCAGCAATATTTAGCCTCCCGCACCATACACGGTGTCAACCCCGAGTCTTCCGGCCAAATTTGACCAAACTTAACGCGTCGCCCGAACCCCTAGGTAACCGTCACCTCGACTCACTAATGCCACTCAGACTGGCGTGTATCAACGGAGTTTGCCGTCTCCATCTCCTATGCTTAAATCGTCTCTCCGGTACCGATGTCCGTTGTCTGCGAAGCAATGTGACGAACCGACTAATGGGTATCTCGTATTTCGAATGTCCGGACTCTGCTTCTCAATGCAATGCTCTGGATGGTGCTTCTTCCCTTTGCGCAGCTCATCATCCCTTAAATTCGATTAGTCCGCCTGGACTTATTTGCCTCTCAGCGATCTGGAGGCGCCCTTGACAGGTGCCGGGAGACACTGGCACAGGCGGTCGCGTTCTAGTCGCAAGTTAGCACGAATCCGAGCCAATGCCGATACCGGAAACCTTACCCGCTTCGTTCTCGAAGAGGAGCGATATGTCATCGTGCTCTCCCGGCAGATCCGGAAGGTCCAGGCAGATGAATCCCATGTCGTCTGACGGTCCGTCGCTGCCGTTAGGCATCCGCGGCAATGGGAATTTGGCGTCAACAAACTTGATACCTGCCTTACCACTTCGCGAAACCATCTCATAGACATCTGTGCCCTTCAATTGAAAGTTCATGCATTGTCCATGTTGGAAATCGGGGAAGAATGCAAGCAGCTGTATGACGGAACCCTGCTGTACCACCTGAACTCGGGTCAATCCAGCCTCCCATTTCTTGTGGATCGGGACCACCATTCGCCGACGAGATATGGCAAATGCAGCCGCAAGGCCATCAAAGATGACGCTGAAGCCTGTAAAGGCGGCCTGGAAGGCGTGGAGATCTTTCTGGGTCGGGAAACTGTAAGTGCGGATGGTCTGAGTCGTCTGCAGCATCTGGAGCAGATCCGACATCGCCTTGGGCACGTCCTTGTCAACAGACCCATCCGCTACCATCGAAGTCATGTCGAATTGCGGCTGACGCATCACCACCAGAGATTTTGTGTCCTGAACCTCCAGTCTGACTCTCAGCTCGCCAGGTTGAAGGTTCACTCGATCAGTAAGGGAGCCTTGTTTGGATTCGACAACCACCCTCAATCTGTCTGACAGAACCGTACGTGGATAGTCCTCATCCGCGTCTTCATTGATGACTCGAAGGGACGTCCAGGGAACCTGACTAACACCTGGAAGATACCTGCCTCCTTCCAGGCCGGTGGAAATGGAGAATCCGAGTAGAGGGACATCGGCATATATAGTTTCATCCTTGTGCACGGAAGTGCCGGCGAGCATGTTGTGGAACTGGGACCGCTCCCTCTCATCGCCGAACGAGATCACCATGGTCACCTTCTGACGACCGTTGTCGTATTTGAGCAATAGAGCCGGTTCGCCTGCGTCCGATCTAAGGAATCCAAAGGGAATTGGCATCTGTGGCGAGTAACTGTGGTTGATGCCACTAAGGGTTCTCGTGTGAGGACCACTGACAACTGCGATTCTGAAGCCGCGATGGTATGCGCGAGGACCGGCAGCAGCGTGCTCCTTATGAATCTTCTCGAATAGCGCGATGTCGCAACCTTGCACGGGCTCCTTGGGAAATGCCCTGGCTTGGGGGTCTGAATCGAAGTACTGGAATGAACGCAATGTAGAACGGAAAACACAGTGCTCCTCTGCTCTGGGGTAAAGTGTTGACTGGACCTTAGCACCAAAATCGTACATACTCCAGAGCATTCTGTAATCTTGCTGCGAGCACTGCGCAACAATCATGAAGCCACGAGGTAGTTTCACCTCAAGCGAACAAGTCTCGTTGCGCCAGCGAACATCGTCCCAGGTCGGGCCAATGGCCTTGTTTCCCTGGATTCGGAGGTTTACTTCTCCATGCTGGCTGGCAATGATGAAAGCAAGGTTCGGCTGTTTCTGGGGTCGGATCATAGTCAGCAGGCAGGGGAAGTAGAATCTCCGAGAATCCATGCCCTGCTCCATCAGAAACACATCAGTGTTGATTCTACCAAACGTGAAGTTTTCAGCTGTATCGCCGGGAGGCAGAGTCTGCAATATCTCCAAAGGCGAAGGGGTGCGGACGACGCCCGTCATAGCCGCAGATGAGTCGGCTGTCAGGAGCGCAATCATGTCCACGCTGAGTCTCGGATACTCAACCCAGATGGATTTGTCGATGGTCTGAGGCAAAAACGCCTCTTCAGGTGGGAGGGAACCGTTTCTCTTCATTGAGACAGCCAGCTTCTTAAGCGCTGTCACAAGTGTTGACCGAATTTCATTGATGCCCGCATCTGGAGCAAGTTGCTTGTTCTCCAAGAGCTCAGGAATGGCCTCCTCCGAAAGCCAGTATCCCTTGGCAAGGTTGGCGTAAGCCTGCTGGCGGTCCATGTCGTTCTGTATCTGACCTTGAGGGCTGCTGGGTCGCGCTCGGACTGCAACTTCCAGAGCCATACGGCCTTTCAAGAACCACCACAAAGCAGCACGCGCCATTTCATTCTGTGAACAGGCCGAAAGAGGCTTGATTGTCTCGGCGTGAAGTCTAAAAAGCTCGTTGAGGTGTCGAGTGCGCGTGACAAATGCGTCAAGGGCGTCATCGCCAACAGCCAGAACCGCATCGTGCATATTGAAAGAGGGCTGTCGGGAGCCCATCGCGGCAGAAGGAGGGGCCATGTTGTGTTGAGAGCTAAGAGAAGCCTGTCGAGAGAAGCTAGCATTGCCCGGTTGGGTGTAATCAGTGCTGCTTGAATACATAGAGGTTGGACTTTGATCAGGAAGCTTTCTCTGATCTTCCGGGGATCTCGGCGGCAAAGGAATCTTGGCGGGTGGCAGTGACGATCTTGTCGGTGATTCCTGTATCTGAGGTGTGAGAGGTGTTTGGCCCCCATACTGCTCGTGCTCGGGATGTGAGGGCTGGCTGGCAGAGCGCGCAGCCTCCGCAAATGCTCTACCCTCGGCCTGCCGCATCTCAGCCTGTTGAAGTTCGATGAAGGACTTGCGGTTCTCGTCCTTTGCATTGGCTGAAGTGTCAAGGTAGGGTGCAGAGACGGCATTGCCTGGCGCAACCTCCCTATGAGTAGGAAGGGGTTCCTTGGGCTCAAAGGGCTCGTCACTGATGGTTGAAAAGCCTGTCTGTGTCCGTCGCAACCGGCCTGGGATGAAGTCTGGGTCCTCTTTGGGCGCAGAGGGTGGTCGAATAGGAGAGTCGTGGACAGCAGCAATGGGTCTGCGGCCGGGAGATGGAGGGGGGTGCTGCTTCTTGCGTCTTGATACCTCGATGGCGGGGATCTCCGACTCCTCACCACCCTCTCCAATAATCTCAGGGTAAGTATCCACGAATCGAACGTTTAGTCCCTTCCTGTTGTTGCGCCGCGGGCTCCGAGGTGGGACGCCAGGGCTGTGTCCAGGGCTACGCGCGGGATGGTATGGGAGGGTCAAGCTCTGCTGGGAGTGATTATTAGCAACAGACAGCGCTTGAGGGTAGCGGGAGGCAGCTGTTGTGTCGAGCTTCGATAGAGTGGGAAGGGCGGAGGCGGGCGTCGCGTGGGCGACCTGTAGAGTGTCGGAGGGGCCGTTGAGGAAGTCGTTGATGCTGCTCCCCTTCTCTTCAGCCGTCGGCTTACGATCTTTCTCCTTCATGGCGAAGAGCTTGCCCATTAGGCGACCCCGCCTCGAAGAGGTAGCAGAAGGCGGTTCGTTCTCCATGGCTCGAGGTCGTTACAGTCGTTGTGGGTAGTTGCGAACTCATAGAGGTGGGCGGGATTCTGAGCGGAAAGGAGGCATTAGCAAAAGTAAGTGAAGGGTGGCTACGTCCCTAATGGGATGTTGGTGGTTTTTGGAAGACTGATTGTCTCAGCTATGAGGAAGGGGAATTAATTTACCTCGAAGGTTTGCAGGCCTCCGTTGAAGTTTCCCACCGGCGCTTGCACCTGCGCACGTAGAAGGTGGGGTCTTTGTAATTTATTTAATTCCCGATCCTCGAACACTGGCACATCAAGGAAGGAGCAATCGACGAACCGACGAAATGGCGAGGCAAGTAGTAGGTCGTATGAGAATGGCGTACCCGGCAACAGCAGTAAGGCGAGGTAGGCCGCCGCCGTCGTCGTCGTCGGTCGGCCCAAGGATCGGAACAGATAGGCAGGCGGGATATGGTCAGGTAGTCAGTCGTGAGGATGCGTGGTTGCCAGCAATCTGGGTTTGGCGAGGCAAGACGGATCAGGACTATTACCCTGCAGATGGTGGTTCTTGCCGCAGAGAAATGGAGGACTGTGACCGTGACTGAATGGCGGTCGGTGGCTTCAGCCCGATTGGGGTGAGATTCGTCGTGTTGGGTTATTCGAGTAGGTAGCAAGGGGTTTCAGTTTCGGGGATCGCAGGTACACTTCGTACGCACCACTCAGCAGTACTACCTACCGTACAGTGGGGGTACGGGTGCAAGTGCGGAGCTCAGAAACGAGACGAGAGGAGCGACACATGTACCAACCACGTTGAAGGTAGGTAGCGAGCCAATTAGTTCCAGCGGCTCCAGCAACACACACACACACATACTGCTTAGTTTTGGGTTGAATAGGTATGGAGTACAGCGTGCCTTACTTTACTTACGTCGAGCGTGGACCCTTGAAGACTGACGTTTGCCCTATCATCGGCCAGGGGTTATCGTGCACACTGCGAAGGAGCCCCCTTGACCATCTCCACTTCAGCAGTGGCACCTTAAAGCCAAGCAGGTACTCTGTACCGCATGTCTAGGTGCAGAAAAAGGTACGTACTACGTGTATTATCCCGATATCTCGAGGGCAACCGCGCTGTCCAGTTGAGTTGTCGTACAGTATCTTCTCCTTCTCCACTGATTGTCTTGGAGAACGTGGTATTTCCCGCCCAACAGACTCTGCTTGCCGAGTCATCGAGGCTCTCGTCTTACGTGCAGGTGATATTGTACACAGGTAGTGCACAGTAGACAAAAGACCGAAGGCCACATGCCAACCGACGTGAGTCTTGTTGACTTAGACCTGGCGGAGGTGTTGACCAAGGAGGCCTGCTTGATGGGGAAACCCCCCCTAAGAGACCATGTGCGATCCTACTACCTAGGTACTGACTGTATGATACACTCAGAAAAGACAAGCAGGGCGCCTCTCGACCTTGTTAGTGCGCATCTTACCGTCGTCCTCATCATGCAACACATCTGCCGCTGTCATTGGCACGGCCACAGCACGGCTCAACATGACTTGACCTCTCCTTGCTAGGCTGTAGGGCGGCCATCCCGTGTTGAGTGACCGGGGAGGAATGACGTCCCAACCCCCAAGAGCACGGAACCACAAGGGACCTTGTCCCTGACTTATCCTTCCTTGGGTTTCTTAGGCGCCATCTGGAGACACATAATGCCCAAGCTATTTTTGGGGTTCCATTTCTCCAGGCCCAGGGGTGCACTGGGTTTACGGGCTCTGCTTGAGTAGGTAACAGGAAAGCAATTAGGTACCTAAGGAGTGGAGGTGAGCATTGGGGCCGTTTGGTCTCACTTTTCAGGGTCCTCCTGTTCGGCACGGATGGCGCTATACGACGAAGGGAGGCGGGCAGGGGCTTTTGGGACCCGTTCACGACACGAATCGTACTTGATTGCCCATCCTCCCATTTTTCTATGTCACTGTGCACTCAACCTGTTAGTGTAGTCTCGTCTTCGTGTTCACTTTTTCCCCCGTGCCATCGGTCGTATTCATTCTACACCATGGCCTGCAATACGGGCTGACAGGACAGTATACTATCGTCTTCAGGGACCAATGACGCGATGTCTTTTTTATGCCCATCATCCGAAGCAGCGCCCGTCGCCTTGGCCGTCGCATTACGGATGACGCAGTGGTCAGATCGGCATTCAAGCCAATACCCAAGGTTCAGAGTTCAGACGCCATCAACATGATAGATGGTTTGCAGCCCCTTGGGTTTCAAACATGGGACGAATCTACCGATTGCCCGAACCTTGGCCCGTCGTCCTGGCAATGCCTATGGTGGGCGGTACGTTCCTGGGGGTTTCAGAACAACCGCCGCCATCATAGTATGCCAGCGTGTCGCGTGAGGAACCTTCACCAAAAGCTGTTCCCTGCCCAAGCTTCTGCAACAAATAAGCAAAACCCACATGCAGGATCCCGTCGAAGCCGAGATGCACATGGGCTCATTCCACCAAGGTTTTCCCCTCCTGCTCTTCTTCTTTTTCTTCTTCTTCTTCTTCTTCTACGAGTCATTTCGTCACGCCTTTTCGGAGGGACGACCCGAAGAATTAGCAACATCTCCACTGAGTAAAAGGCTGTTAAAGTCAAGCCGCTTTCATCATTTCGTCTCCTAATTAACTATTGATCAGACGCAATCAAACCCTTTCCGAAATTGTTCGTAGTCCTCCCGCATGTATGTAACCCGCCAACATGGACGACGAACAATAGCTTATCCAGCCAAAGAGAGAACCGAAAATCCTGACAATGCTTCACGTGTCACCAACAGCTATCTGCTTCACGCATGGACCATCTGGCGAAGTCTCTTCTCGATCATCTGGCGCCCGTCGAGCGTGTCCCACATATTGTGAGGAGCCTTGTCCACAATATCCCAATGCTTGAGGTTCCTTGTCAAATGGCTGAGGTCCCTCTGCTTGGGCTCCCATTCGCTGTCCTCTCGGATTTTCTCGCCGGAACTGATCAGCACCAGGGGCGTACCAGGGTATTGAATCGTCTTGCTGCTGATGACCTCTCGTTTCGTGAGAGTGTTGGCCACGAGACTCTCTTGCAACTTCGCGAACAGGTATTTACCATTCTGTCTGGCAGAACGGCCACAGACACGGTCTGCGCTGGTACGTCCTTTGAAAATGGCGCCTGAAAGGCGTTCAAGGCCGAGAGGCGAGATGACGCCGCGCAGCCAGTACATGAATCCCCTGCCAGGGTCCGAGACACGCACGAGGAGGTCTTCATGAAGAGGGTCGATCAAAAGGAGACCGTTGACCTCCCTGCCGTGTCGAGAAGAGAAGATCTGGGAGTATACAGAGCCAATGCCGGCGCTTGCCAGGACCCAAGGACCATGTTCACCCGCTCGAGCAAGAGCCTCACTCAGCGCGTCAGTAGCCATGCCGGCGGAGAGCGGACTAGGCGCGGTGTCGCTCCATCCGTAACCTGGGCGGTCGGCAAAGCAATATCTCGAAATGGATCCGTTCTTCAGAGCGTTCTGCGCGAATTGCCAAAGTCCGTTTTCGACCGGTAGGTCGCCGCTCTCTAAAAGGACAGTAGGCAGCTTGGTGCCTGCGGCATCGGTGGTGTTGCCCTCGCAGTAAATGTGGATACGGTACTGGTCGCCATCCACCCAGTATTGCTCACCCGGCGGTCCATATCCAGCATCGAGAGATCGGAGGATAAGAGTGGCCGTGATCAAAATGATGACCACGGAAAGAATTACATAGGCAATGGTAGAGATTAGCACCTCGGTCCATTCCCAGACTGTACGCCTCGTCTCGACGCGGCCGGTCAAGCGCTCCTCTTCTTCGGCCTTGCCCCATTTTACGGTTCGGTCGCAAGCCAAAGCCCACAAGCTCATTAAGAAAGCCCCTGAAGTTGGCTTGTCAGCAACGTCTTTGTATCGAATACGGTGTGTGACTTACAGACAACGCTTGCAACCCCGACGCCCGTTTCTTCGTAGCGGTTCTTCTGCACTGCAAGAATGAGAATCATGTCGACAAGCAACATGACGGCCATGAAGATGGACAGGACCCTAACAGCCTTGGATGGCGCGCCAAAGAACACGAGGGTAAATAGAAGGGTGAAGAATGCCAGACTGGAATAGCTGAAGGCGAAGAAGCCGGAGCCGCGCGTGTGCATCCCTGGCGGCGTGACGAAGGCGGAAACCAATATGAGAGTCCACCACGTCAAGGTGAGGGCTGTGAAGAGCACCGTAGCCCATCGCATCACCCGCACCGTCCATAGATTATATGGCGACACTGCCGGGTCATCGGGCGTCAGGTATTGCCTGCTGTTGCTGTCGAGTCGGTTCGGAAGCAAGCGACTGTGTTCATCGGGGTCCCGAACCGTATACTCGCTTGAATCCCTTTCCTCCGGAGGTCCCTCTAGGACATTGTCGTTGTCCTTGTTTCTCGTGCTCCAAAGAGAGGACATGATGATGTCTTTGCGACTGGCGTCGTCCTCGTAGGCTTTGTATTGTCAACTAGATGCCTTTCGTGAGTGGGCGAGACTTTAAGTCAACGGGGTATTTTGATGGATGCCGCTCGGTCCTTTGACCAAAATGCTACAGAGCTGAAGGAAGCATGCATGTGGAGGAAGAGAATGAAGACGTAGAATCCCCCCGAGATCTCGATCGATACTAGACCACTAGAAGACCGACGACTGTCGCAGAAAGCCATCCCACCTAGAAAGACGTCTCAATGACGGTAGGGGTGCTCAGAAAAAGCACCCAACCGCAGACGGTACGGGGAGGCCAGAGCTTCATGCAACCAATATGTGATCATTTACGTCATTCGACGCGAATGAGTATCTGGGCTGATACCGAAAGCGGAAAGGTGGAACCGCCGATTGGGCCAGCAGGCTATCTGCGGTGATTTCCTTCCCGATTGCAATGTCCACTGATCCGGAGCTAAATTCCGAGCTAGTGCGTGCGGGACGGCGACTGGACTGCGCGATCGCAGCTGAGCAAAAGCTCCTGGTTTCTGCCGGAAAACAAGGAACGTTCACGAACGTACTCTCCTGTTTGAAGCGCCAAGAGCCAGCCGACACCGAGATGCTGCGCGTTGGGCCGGGCACGTTCTGCCCACGAGATCCCAGCTGAGGGCTCGTGTCCTTGGCCACCTTTATGCCCAGGACCTACCAACCATCATCGTGTTGTTCGTATCCGGTGGCGTACGTAGAAGAAAATGTGTGTGGTGTTGTCCACTTGTCTGTTCCCCCCCCGCCCCCTTCCCCCAGAAACCAGGTCCGATCACGACCTAGCAGGAAAACACAATGCCTTGCCCGACGATCAAGGCTGTCTGCTACACGGTAAGACATGCATTTCCCGACAAGCGGAGATAAAATGTGACACATTGTACTGAATAAATGTTGGTTGAAGACCTATGGAACGTGAGATCCAGGGAACAGGACACAACTGGTCTCGACTTTCTTGGGGTCAAAGGAATTTCGGAGGTTAAGAAGAATACGCAGAAAAATAAAGAAAACAACCCCACGGGGTCTGTCCCTCATCAATGTGCTTGTAGTCTTCATTAGTTCCAGATCTGCATTTATGGGTCGACAATCTCCACAAACGTCATGCTTGTTCCTTCCGAACCAACATCAATCCCGTCCAGTCTTCACCTGCCAAGGCGTGGGGATCCTCGCGATAGCATGTGAGCTGTCGCTCATGAACGCGATGTTATACAACTAATTGATTTTCATAAAACCATGGTACTCGCACAGGACAGCGTTACAAACTGTTTGTTCTAAGGTGCTCTTCGAGCAAGATCTGAAATTCCAACGCGGCTTCTGCAACGGGCTCGCAGATTCGCGGCGTGCAGAAGCGGGTATACTGCAAAAGTGATGCGAGCAAATTATGGTATCCTCCATGACTTCGTTTTAATCATTAACTCCCTCCACGACTCCCTAGCCTCTGCCTGATGAAGTCCAAGGACTGTTTCCTCCCCCACAAGACCAGATACGCGCACGCCTACGCCCAAGGTGCAATAGGGTTGACCTCCTTGCTTCCCATGGAAGACTCAGAAGAAACGGAACTTAAAGCTCTCTCAGAGTAATTATATGTCCGGGGAAGTTGCTTGTGATTCCTGGCTTTCTTCTTGGCAACAACCTCGGGGTCAGGCCCGCTAGATGGCTTAATGGCCTCTTCAGGGATGGCTCCAATAGGTGCATGCAGCTTTGCGCTTGCTTCGGGGTCGTTCATGGCGATTCCATGTTTATGGAACTCTCTCTTCCTCAGCTGTTTCCAGTCCTGAGAAGATGGCTCGCCAATGCTAAACCAGTCTTTGAGCTGGTTAACCCAGCGCGATTTGCCATCCTTGACCTTGAGCTTGTCTTCAGACCTCATCCCCGTCGGGGTTACACAGAAACGAGCAGGAGTAAATACAATAGTGTCGGGGTGCTGCACCTGATCGGGTAAGACACGTCTCGAGGGAGACATTCTCAAGTCCATCTCCGAGATTCTGCGTCTGAGACCCATTTCGTCGTCGAGTTCGAGCAAGGTGCCCGGATGGTTATCTTCTTCGTCTATGGCTAAGCCAATTTTTTGCGGAGCTGTTCTTGTGTCGACAGCTGCCACGCCCGAACTAGATGCAGGTCGTGGTGGGACTGGCAAGCGTAGACGGGCAGACGACAAATCGATGGATTTGGCGATTTGGTACCGGATTCGAAAGCGCCTTACAGGAGATGCTTTATTGGACGAATCTCCGACAAGAGTTCTGGATGATGATCTGAAGCCCCGGGAGTAGTATTCTTCACCAAGCTGCTGGTCTTGGCTTGCGTTCTCTGCAGACCGGGTGCCCTGCAGCGTATTTTTGGATTTGTTCGACGTCGGCCGTCCAAGGAGGCTTCTTCGCTTCTTCCTTTTTTCACGGATTGGCCCCTAGCCGTAGGCAAATGCCTCTGGTCCGCTGAATAAAGTCGATGTTTCCAGATCTACCGATGTGAAGTTGTCTTCACCTCGTAGGGGAGTGTAAGAGGAGGCCCAGTAAAATGGGGGTTCAATGCTTCCACCTTGTCGGCAAGGTTGAGTCTTCGTGCTGGGGTTTTGGAGGGTGTCGTCCACAGATGATGGGGCCGCTGACTGTGAAAATGCAGGTGATGTCTGTAGAGCGGCAGCCGGATACGAAAAGTTTCGAATGGGTGGCAGCGGTGTTAATGAGGCGGATGGTACTTGGTGGTCTGTGAGGTCAGCAAGAGGAGGCGGGTGTTTCTGTTTGTTCCGATGTCGTTGGAATAGGCGCATTGTTTGCTTCAAAAGCGAGGGAAAGATGCCTCGTATTCAAGCACCAATGTGTTGGAACAACTTGTTAATGGCAGCAATAGTAGTGAAGCCTGCTGCCTTGGTTGATGGGTGTGACCAACGCTGCTAGGGTGTCTGATGGGGGCAGAAAGCGGCTGTGAGTGAAGCAAGATATGTCGGAAGGTGGAAGACAGGAATAATACAGTTGATAGAGATTCCGAAGTCAAAGACGCCTGGAGGGATCTGATTTGAAGAACGGAAGTTGTGAGATTGTATATCCCATTCACGGCGGGTGGAGGTGGAAGGGGAAGGAGAACGCTAAGGCCGATGTGGAAACAATTAGGAGTTGAACATATCGACCGGATGGAATGGAGCGACCTCGTGGCAGTAACGTGCGAGACTAACGCCCCCCCAAAAGGGCGAAGAAAAAGAAAAGTATGGTTCCAGGAAAGAGTAGAGCGAACCGGCTTGGCTGCTCCTTCCCCTGGTCTCCTTGGTGAGTTGTCATGCCTTGTTCATGCCCCCGGCGTTCAGCAGGAGAGCCAGACACCCCAGCGGAGCGCCTTCCTGATGCTGCGTAGTTTATCAGCTTTGCATCGCCAGTGGACGCCACTGCAGGACTATTGTAGACACGCGCCAACGCCAACGTTGGCAAAGGCTCTGCCACAGGGATAGACGGCCGGCCCGACCACCTGGGGTTGACGTGTTTCTCGTCACCCTGTTGCAAAGGAACCATTGGATTGGTAGGCACTTTACCCGATACGCTCCAAGGCCCGTGTCCTTCAAGGGATGAAGGAAAGTAGGGGCGATGTGTTGAAGCGACTATTGCTTTTCTTGCGATGCCTTGCGGTGTTCGGGAGCCTATCTAACGCTACTAGCCAGCCGACGGCTTCGGGGGTTTGTCCTTTGTCGATCTACCCAGAAACCGTCGGGTCGGCCGCCGTCTCTCCCGAGAATTTGGGTCAGGATGAAGATCCACTCCAGATACATTGAGGCGCTGCGTCCTTTGTCAGAAAACAAAAGAGACCATGATCCGGTTTGAACGGCAGTTGTCAATCTCAAGGGTGGAAGGAAACCAAACACTTGCTAAGGATCCAGGAAACACGGCACATCCTCGCGATGCCTCAACCCGGGGCCTGTTGGTGATGGGGCTAGAAGTGGTGGACAGGCCTGTTCAGACACAATTCCCCCACGTAGGTAGTTTCCGCATGGATTTTGGGCAAAAATCAATAGTTGGCTAGGCGCGTGGTTTTGCAACCTAAGAGGAAAAGAAAGAAAAGGGCAAGGAAAAGCAACGCCCATGCAAGTTTCCAGGCTGCAGGCGCAAAGCTGAAGTTGTGTGTACCCTAGTCGCCTAGATCCCAGGCTGTAGTTCTCGATGACCGACTCTCACTATCTGCACTCCCAATCATCTCCGACCGATGAACCATCCTTCTCAAGAGCAAGCCTTTCAGATAAGCTGACTACGAGTGGGGTTGAAGAAAACATTACGGCCGAACGGTGTTTTGTCCGAAGGTTGCAAGCCGAAAAGAACAAGTCTGAGATTGCATCATCAGTGGGCCTAACATATACCAGCAAGATTCAGTACTAGTGGAAGACAAATCCGTTTTTCCTCGGACTGGAATTCAATGTCCATGCTGGCCCTTTTCGGACCTGGTGCGGCATCGTGGCTTCACAGCTGTTGTAACTGCCGGAAGAGGAGTCGAGAACCAATCACACTCGTCTCAACTCCAAGCCTCTAGTAGTGTAAGAAGACCGTGCATTGCCCGCCTCGGCCCTGAGTGTCGGGTTCATGACATTGAATAGCCTCAGCCAGTGGTAAGAGTGTATTTGAATGTCAGCCTCTCAGGGCGCATGTTTCGATCCCCCCGTCTTTTCACTAGTACCGATTTCTTGTATTGGATTGGTGACAAGAAACAACAATCAAAGGGCGTCACGCCTCGGCCCGCCCTCCGTTTCAAATGCCTACATAGTATTTTCACCTTGCCATACTGACCTCCGTTGGCTTGGAGTATTCGGCCAGTTTTCGACCGTCTGAACTGTCGCAACATTTTTTTTTTGCTCTGTAAATCTTCCACAGGCTCCGGCGTACTCGACTTAATCCAAAAGCAGCCTGCTCGCGCCAGTGACCCCGACGCTGACAAAGTTGCCGAACCATCTCCACACCACACGCGGCGGCTTGAGGAACGCACGGTGCACTTCCAGCTCCGACCCCCTGACCTTACCCTCCTCCGTCATGCGAACCCCACCAAGAGAAGGACATTCCAACCTCTGATATTCGTTTCTTCCGCTTACAAACCCACCACGAAGAAGACAAACCAACACAAATCCCCCTTTCCTGAGGCAGTCGCCAGCCTCGCCCACCATGCCCGGCCTTACGATATCAACAGACCCGGTCTCTCCGCGGACATCGAGCGCTCCAGTACCAGCGCCATCTGCGTCTGCGGCTAGCGTCGCGACACTTGCAACTACGTCGACGGCGGAAGCAACAAATCCCATGGCGCACCAGACCCCTCCGCGCTCCTCTCGCTCCTCATCCCCCGCCCGACCCCCAATCAGCCCCATAACCCCGACTCTGCCCCCCGCCCGCCTTCCCGACCCCGTGGCCCCTTTCGCCGCCGACCGCCCGGTCCTTACCCACGCCTCCCAGCCGCCGACGGCTACCGCCATCCCCCCTCCGCGACCGGAGCCCATTGACTTTGAATCTAATCCCGACGTCCTGGCCCTCAAGTCAGCCATCTCTATCCTTCAGATGCAGTCGAAGAAGGCTGCTGTCGACATTCAAGCGCTCAATGCTGCGAAGAATGCTGCCGTGGAGAACCCCTCTGCCTTCCTCGCTGATCTCGGAGCAGGCAAGGTGCACACGCAGGGCGACAAACTGTTCCCAGAGTCCGACTCCGACTCAGATGATGAGACGGAGGACAAAAAAGCCAGGCAGGGTGCTGGAGAGGGCGGCGCCGGACAAGGAAAGGCGAAGGCAGACCCGCAGCCTTGGGAGACTTTGCCCAAACCCCAGAATGTTGTGCGCTGTCCGCCCATCAACTGGTCGCAGTATGCTGTTGTCGGCGAGTCTCTCGATAAGATCCATTCGGACCAAATAGCGCGACCGAGTCAAGGTACGCCTGCGACGTTGGGACCGAACGGGACATACGAGTTCAAGGGAGAGCCCGGAGGTAACCAGAGGCCCTTCATCGGCGTTGCGGCACCCTACACCCCTGGGAAGGATAGAATCGACAAGAAGGTGAAAGGAGGCAAGCGCTAAAGAATGTCACATTTGCGACCAGGTGTGTTTCTAATCACGATATATGAAGAAAGGAATAATATCCTACGGATGGATGTATGATTAATGCTGTATTATGGAAATCATGAGATTATGAGTCGGTACGCATATGGTTGCTTAGGGATGGGTCGGCGTCACGGCGAGCATAGGGCCTAGGCCACAAAGGGACTTTGTATTTTGAGTCGCGTTCTGATGTCTCCTTCTGACTGAGGCAAGCACATGGAGTTGATATTTTGTGCCAAAACGAGGAGGAAGAAGGCTCATTTCGTTGCGTCATTAGTTGAGGTATCTACTGGAGTCTAAAGGATTCAGCCCCCTAACCCGTTCCTGGTATGCATGATTCCGATGCCGTAAACGCCACCCAGTTCCTTAGAAGCCATGATGAACCCAGGTAAACCCAAAGCTGACCGTTATTAATCCCCATCGTTCCGACCGAAGAGTCCAAGCCGGCTTATGTCCTGAAGGTGTACCAAACACACGGTTGTATGCTTGCGCGGCTGTTGCGTGATCTGAAACTTCAAACGCGCAACGTGACATGCCACGCAGACATCAGAAGTCCCTAAAGACAAGTTAGCCGCAGCAAACGATGAGATGGCAGGTTGTTGTTTACTCCATGCTTAGCTGTACTGATCTGCGAAGTTGACGGTTGTATGTTTTACGTCCATCAGCGCCTCCCCAATAGAGCTTGTGCGCCTCAGGGTTCACCAGGGTTCGAGGGTCGTAGGCCGGATCCTCTTCCTCCAATGCCGTAAAGACAGCCTCGATGTGGGAACGCACATCGTCCTTTCTGAGTGAGTTCGGGAAGTAGCAAGTCGTTCCATCCGCCGAGATGCGATGATGGAAGATGCGGGTTTGGAACTTGACGCGAGGCTGCTCCTCGGGGAATCTCGGGCTGAAGTGCATCTTGATACGGAAGAGGCCGCCGTCAAGGTTCGTCATAGGCCGTCCAAAGTAGGTGATTACCCATATGAAAGGGTTGTTATCCTCCAGCTGAACATCATGAGGAATGTCCTGGCGTTTGAATGTTTGCACCACCTGCTCGTATTGGTGCCGTAGGTTTACCGAGACTGTCATCTCCTTCTCGCTTGCGGTGTGACCCTCCATGGCCCATTTGAGAAGCTCGTTGTCCAGCGCAGCCTTGACGTTGCGGAGACGCCTTTCCAGTTCCGTGTAGTTGAACTTGCCATCCATGGAGTTGCTAGCGCCTTCGAATGGCATACGCACAAAAGCTTGATGGTCCTTGACCTCGGTCTTGGCCTTCTGGATAGCGAGCAGATAGTTGTCGTAGTACCAGAGGAACCTTCGCTTACACAGATCCTTGAAGGGCTCGAAGGGGACGCTGGTGCCATCCATGTCCTCAGTGTCCATATCCAGCTGTTCTCCATCTACCGCCGACTGTTGGGCAATTGCGTTGCCATCGGGAGTCAAGCCCAAATACTCCTCCATGCGTTGAATCACGGAAATTCGTAGAGTCTCGTGGCGGATCTGGGCATCCATGTTAATTATGTTCGTTTCTCGCCACCTCATGACACTGAACCTGCCCACCTTCTGAACATAGTCCTTCTGGTTCTTCTTGTCTGACGCATCATTCGCCTCCTCGAAACCGGGCTCGTTTTCGTAAGGATTGCCTGACATCAGGCTCTGAATGGAGATGAGGATGGACTCAAGGCCCTGTGCCGCGGACCATTCTTCACCACGCTCTCCACGCCAGGTGCTACATGCTATTAGTCAGACGTTCCATGGAAACCCTAACATGCCTCGTTGTACCCAAGAATTGACCTGCAGCAGCGTTAGCAACCACCCAGTCCAACATTCTTCGTTGATTTGAACCCACAAGCAAACCTTGCCGGACGAGTATATGTTCGGGTTGAACCGGCATCGTCCTCCGTTCGTCGTGATTCCGTTCACGCTTGGTGATTTGCGAGGATACTCTGTTTCTACGTCAGGCCAAGAACAAAATGGCAAAGGCAGGCACAGTAGAGACGCACCCTTGTTGAACCGGATTGCGAACTGGCTGTAAGTCAGCATGCGGTCGAGACTGTGCAACGCCAAATATAATCCATGTACCTCGAAGAAACCGAACTCGTAGGGGGTGTCGTGGGGGCCGATGATCAAGGCCTTGACATTGCGAACATCGACATCCCGGCAAGCGACAGCCAGAGCTGGCAGGTAGGTCAGCGCAAGTCTTCGCTCAGAGAATGGGGCAATCGTACAGAGATCTGATGTTCGCTGGATGTCACTCAGCTCCTATTGTGCAAAATAATAATAATAATAGCGTCAGCCTTGCGATTCTGACCCTCCGTTCCGAGGTACCTAGGAAGATGGGCGGGGGTCAGGGAGGCTACCTTGGTGATGCGAATGATGGATTGATCCGCCATGTTTAATGGATTGAGCGCTGTGCGGCTCCCTTGGCGAGCAGTCGCGTGGTCCTTTTGGTTCGGAATGCTGTAAGTAGACGAGAGCAGTCGCTTGCCTTGTTGGAGACTTTAATGTTGAGCCGATCAAGCGGGCGCGGCCTGAGAGCCTGACGGAGATGAAGTCCAGGACAGTCAAGAGAGTTTAGCAAACGGTCAAATGCAACTTCTGTTGGTTGATCAGTCAGTTCGGTTGGTCGGTCGGTGGCGGCTGCCCTGCTGGTAGAAGTAGAAGTACTCCGGGTGGGAAGGTGCCTTGTCGGGATGGACGCTGGGACACTGGAACGCTGGAACACTGGGAGGAAGCAGCTGCACAAAATCAGCAGTTTGGCGGGGCAGGAGGGGTAATTTTAGTGTGCATTGATGCGGTTGAATCGCTGCAGTGCGGTGTGGCAATGAGCTGGGCCGCTTACATAGGTATACCGTATCCGTATCCGTAGTATCCCGTACATTCCCCTCCCTTTCCCAGTGCTGGACCGGGATGCCCCACAACGGCTGACGGCACTATGATCCGAGCTTGATCTTGCACCTCAGAGAAAGTGGCCTTGAATTTCCCGTTTCTCCCTTAGGTAACTTAAGGGCCAGGCAGTCATGCTGTTGCCTTCCGGTGTCTCGCCCAAAGGTTATACTTCCTCTGGCGAGCCATAAGTCAATTATTCCTTTACTGCCCTTAGCTGTCCGTGGCTTTCTTTTGTATCTGCCAAGGACGCCGTCGCCCTTTGTCCTTGTTGCTCCTGAGCGATGGATAGATGTGCATGTTGGGTACATGCTTTTTTCTTGGACAATACGTAATGGCAATAATCGGTATATTAACAGCACAAGACTTGTCTCAAGATCCCTAGGCCTTCTGAGACCCATTGCAGGCAATTAAGGCAACCGCAACATGGATAGCTATTCAGAGCTTACGTTGCAATAATAGCAAGATTGAATGATACCGTACCAGCTCCCGTCTCGAAATGATTGAAGACCAAATAATATCAAATTCTGGGCCATATCGCAAGGGTTGCGGCTATGATACGATGTCCCATATGGCATGCTCGTTTGCACGTACGAATAGAGGCAAATGCTCATATCCTTGAGTGACCTCCAGGTGCCTCAGTTAGAGTGGGTGCATAGTCGCCGCGGGGTTCCGTGCGTACCGTGCGGCACGTAGAGAGACGCACGCACGCGGTGGGTGCACATCCCCGATCCCTGTCAACCGAGAAAGCTGCAAGACGCGTCAACTCCACGGTCAGCATCGCGTCTGGCACTTTAATTGAACTTACTCGATTGTCATTAGGTACTGCACCACTACACCACTACGCGGGGTCAGCCACGATTGATCCGACCACAACCAGCGGAGCACACGCAAGAGCTTACAGCAATCAGCCAATTCTATTTCCTCATGGCGAGTTGGTTCGACCTCAAGGCCCGGAAGGCGGCCGCTGCGAACGGGACGTCGGCCCAGAAACAAGAGAAATCTGCGCAGCCACCGAGGGCACAGCCGTGGGTTGAAAAATAGTTCGTCTCCCCGTTCACAGCTCTGAAGATAACTTGTTCTGTTTTTGCATGTTGACCCTCTGCGAAAGCCGCCCAAAAACCCTCAGCGATGTCACAGCGCAGGACCACACCGTCACTGTTTTGCAGAGAACACTGCAAGCCTCCAACGTATGACCGCCCTGCGCCATTCGACAGTTGGGCTCTGTAGAAAGCTGACCTATGTACGCAGCTCCCTCACATGCTCTTCTACGGCCCGCCTGGTACGGGAAAGACATCGACAGTTCTGGCCCTAGCTAAAGAGCTCTACGGACCTGAGATGATCAAGTCGCGAGTGCTCGAACTAAATGCTTCCGACGAGCGTGGAATTTCCATCGTTCGAGAGAAGGTAAAGGACTTTGCTCGCATGCAATTGACGAACCCGACGAACGAATACAAGAAGAGATATCCTTGTCCGCCCTTCAAGATCATCATCCTCGACGAGGCCGATTCGATGACACAGGATGCTCAGAGCGCCCTCCGTCGGACCATGGAGACATATAGCAAGATCACGCGATTTTGCCTAATCTGCAACTACGTCACGCGCATCATTGATCCTCTTGCTAGTCGTTGCAGCAAGTTTCGCTTCAAGAGCTTAGACCAAGGTAACGCCAAGAAGCGACTTGGGGACATTGCCGAGAACGAAGGGGTGCAGCTGGAGGATGGCGCCGTGGATGCGCTCATCAAGTGCAGCGAGGGTGATTTACGCAAGGCCATCACATACCTGCAGAGTGCAGCGCGGTTGGTGGGCGCTGGAGACAAGGATACCTCTGGGGATGATGCCATGGATGTCGACAAAAGGCCTGTCACTGTCAAGATCGTTGAGGATATTGCTGGAGTCATCCCCGAAAACACAATTGACGAGCTCGTCAGTGCCATACGTCCACAGGGCACCGTAGACACATACCAGACCGTGGCAAAGGTGGTTGAAGATATGGTTGCCGATGGCTGGAGCGCCGGGCAAGTCGTTACGCAGGTAAGTCGCTCATTTCTACGAAATCGAAACCCGCCTATTTACCATTGTGCAGCTCTACCAATCCATCGTTTTCGACGAGACAATTCCAGATGTTCAGAAGAATAAGATCGTTCTTATCTTCTCCGAAGTTGATAAGAGACTTGTCGATGGCGCGGACGAGCACTTGACCATCCTTGACCTTGCCTTAAGGATATCAGGGGTTATGAGTGGACGGGGCAACAACTAGTCAGCCGGAGTAGCCGTGAATGGATTTGACGAACAACAAATGGCGTCCGGATCTGGACAGTAGAGGCGTTGATAATGGTATGCAAAAAAAAACCAAACTGTACAGGGTATATACCACATTCGGGCTTTCTTCAAATTTCATTTTCTTCACCGATGAGACCAAGTTTTCCATCGATGGCAGACCAGATGTCGTTAGGGTTAACCGTTGACCCCTTCCTCTGATGGGTCGCATGCTTCCTTGCGCCCGTCTTGTTGGTCGACCCTTGCGTCAGCCAAATGTCTTCCTCCGTCGCATCCCCCACTGCTTCCTTCTCAGGCTCCTCAGGTCCTTGGCCCAGCAGTTTATCGACTTCCTGAAGCGCCACCATGGACCCTTCCAGCGCGAGCTGGCCCTCCTCGATCTTTTCAGCAACTGCTTCCAGTGTAGCAATCTTTGCCGAGTCTGCCGCGAACACCCAGGGCTTGACGCGATCCGAAGACGTCGGTTTCTCGGACACGGCGGTGGAGAAGTCCTCTCCGAAGCCAGACTTTGGCCTGCCTGCGCCAGGCATGGGGTGCCCCGGGAGAAGCTGACTTTCTTCAGCAAGGTGGTCAAGTGCCTGCTGAGTTTCTTTGGCCTGCTTGGCTACAACGGCATGAACGTGTGACTTTTGTGTTATCATGCCCTTTTGTTCCCGCGACAAGGAGAGAAGCTTGTCGAGGTAAGGAATGAGGAGGTGGGCGGCCGGTGCCGCTGGTACACGCTGGCTTTGGCCAGAGCCGGTTGTGCCCTCGCCCCCGGGTTTCAGAACCGGCTGTGTCGGTTCTGAGACGAGGTTGAGTACTGCTTTTCTCGCTGCCGTGTATCTGTTGTATTTGTCCTTGATCTCGGCTAAATATTGGTCGATGGTCTCCTGTTCAGTATGGGAGTTGAATCCGTTTCTCTCTGTCGCTGCATTGTCATCCGACTCTCCCGACGCCTTGCTAAGCTCAGCCTCGATCCAGTTGATCAGCTCCGTTCGAGTCGCATCCAGAGCATGCACCTTTGCCTCGTCACGGACCTGGCCTGCCAAGGCCCCCGTCCTCTGTCGAACATCTGCCAAAAGCTGTTCCTCACGTTGCAGGAGCAACTTGGCCCTGAGCACGACCTTTTCCAACTGACCAGCCAGCCCACCCAGGTCCGTTTTGGTAGTGCTCGCACTGACTGTAAAGCCGTTCAAAACTTCTTCGGGCACATTTGGAAGAAGGGGGGAGTTTTTGAATATATCATCCGGGTCGAGAAAGTCCGGAGATGCTGCAGGCTGGCGCATCAACAGATCCAGGTATTTCTGTACCGTCTGTAGGCGTTGGCGTTTCTGTCGCAATTTGACGAGAGTAACGTGCTCTTCGACCTGATCTTTGGTATCGATATTTTTGGGCCGGGAAGAAGGGGCTGTCGTTGTTTCATTTCTTGTGTTCTCGTACTCATTGCGAGCCTTGAGGTTGGCGTCCAGTGCTCTTAGATATTCCTTTTGTAAGCCTCTAACTTCTTGCGTCGGCGTAACTCTGCACGAGAAATCGATGAGTGAGAGTGGCTTCTGGATGGAACTGGGCTGGCCACAAGCTTGAAGGTGAAGAGCTAAGGCGCGTCGAATATAGGCCACTTGCTCCCGTGATTTGATGTAAGGCTCAAGTGATGCCTGGACCTTCTGTATTGATTTGGGTACTGAATCCATGTTGTTTTCCGCCAAAGCTCAAGCCATAGAACACATGTCCGGTTTGTTCGCATGCTTTGGGCCACCGCCGTTTGTGTATAGCGCCGAGATTACTCTCGTCATTGGCGTGTTGACAATTGTCAGACTCATGATTTACACAGCTCGATGGGTTCAGGGGGGGTGGTGTGGATTGGTTTGGCCTTACTGGTCCACCCTGTATCGATGTTTCACGTCACGTGCAGCTATCTGCCTGAGTTGAAAGGCCGCTAGCGCGTTTATCGCTTAGCGCCATATTTCTCCGGTTTTGCCATCGGCAGCAGCAGACGAAATTTGTTCCGCGCGACAGGCGTCGAAGACACCAATACACGCCTCCGCCCACTTTAGCCACTCAGCGACAGCCTTCTCATTGAGTCGATGAAGACTGAAACAAAATTCATTACTTTAATATCTGAACGGATGAGCTAGACTTCGAGGCGAACACGGCGTTTCCAACAGGATAAAGGCTCGGCGCAAGCCGTTCGTTGCTGTCGCTTGACAAGCTCCTACAACACTTCGAGATTCAGGTGCAAACGACA